GTCAGTGGCAATACTGTCATGGTTGGTATAAAGAAAATTTGCGCTCTTGGTGATGATGCAGGGAACGGAAGAAAGGACGCAACCAAAATGAGACAATTGTTCGGCTGATGATGCCCAAAAGTCAACTCACCTGCTGTAATCCCGATAGTTATCCATGGACGCTTGCTGTAGCTTTTCTACACGTGAAGAAAAAAAATAAAAAAGAATATACAACGAAACCAGGCTGAGATGAAGACAATGCAAAAGGTAGAAGAAAGGAAAGAGAGCGTAAGACTCCCACACAGTTGATGTTCAAAATTCAAGCGCTTTCACTAATGATATAGTCTATATATACCAAACTGCCCGGCGCACCCTGACCGTTCGACTTACACTTCGCAATGCGCCTTCTTATCCCTCCATCGCAATACAACCCTAGGCGCGGAAGAGTCAAGAAAAAAAAATTTAGACACCGGCCCCAACTGGGTCAAGGATAGTCTGCTACGTGTGCATCCATGAGGGGGTTTCGCAGGGTGGATTGACCGCCAACATTGTCGCGATTGCCAGCGATTATTCCCCTCTTATCACAAAGCAGACCGTAAACCAGCCACTGGATTTCCTCATCTGCAAGTGAGTCAGCCCTTCGGTGTCTCTCATTTGTTAGAAAAATATGCGATGCATGGCGGAAAGTGGGCACAGAGAGAGGGGACCGCATCGTGGCATCGAGGGTCCCCTACTCGAATAGTTCCCGAACGTTGTGGACTCGGTTCCATTGTTCTCACCAATACTCTGTATTCATGACCGATTCCCCATCGTCCATGGACCAGTTGGACAGCTCATCTCACTCTTTTCAACATGCGACGAAAGCCTCACGCGAGCCACTGTGGGGATCAGACAGCTTGCTCGTCCGGAGGGTCGAGAGAAGGCGAATGGTGGACGCGGAGACACTAAGGATTTTAGTCTGCCGTTAGGTTGTTGCCCGATGCATCATTCATTTGCCAGCCTCCTCAGGACCCAACTGAAGACTTTTTTTTTTTTTTTTTTTTTTTGTCAGGTGCTGTACGGAGTACCTGGATTGGCACTTAATTTAGTGGATACTATTCATAATTCACTCGCATCCCTCGACGGAGAAACGAACATAAACCAGTGAGCTGGCAGTTGAATAATTCATCGTGGGCGAATTGCGAGTTCTTCTAGGGGATATTGTTACTACCAAATTTGCGTAATAGGCCATTTTGGCTCAGATTCTTCCCAAATGAATCCCTAGATAGATGGTAGAACGGTTGAGCGAGGGAAAGCAATATGACACATCGATTAATCTCCGCTGCAGGTGTTTTCGTCTTGCGACTGATGTATGCGCGCAGTATATAACTATGCGGTGAACGCCTCCATGTTCATGACTTCCCTAGCAAGAAATTCTATCATCTCAACATATTAATCCGTGTTATTAAGCATAAGCTATTCCGACATCTCAAAAGAAAATCCCCGTTGGTGGAGGCCCTCGTTTCCTCTTTGGGATATGCTTCAGACATTATATATGAAGCCCTTCATGCCATACGTTTGGCATACCTCTACAGTTATTATATCGCCTTTAATAATCGCATGAATGAATGAAAGGGTAACGACGGCTGCAGTTTCAATCAAATTACGGAGCATTACATACATATCTCCGAATCCCAAATATACTACTCTGTAGCGCTCACACCATCTCCCAAACTCTCAAAATAACTATACCGCTCAATCGAGTACAGAGTTTTAAACCCCAAAACCCAAGTCAGACAACGAGCAAAACCACATCACAAAGCCACTAACAGCCTCACATCCTAAGAAAGAACCCACCACAGAATCAAGCCAAGCTTGATTCCTTGTCGGGATCCACGTCCCAGCCATCCCATCCCAACCTCAAACCCACTCACGGCACCAATGAAGTCACCAAGGTACAAACCAGGAGCCAAACATTGGTGATGTAAATTGATAATTGAATCCGCTGTCTTAAACGCGGCGTCTGTACTATATGGTTAAATTTGTCCGCGTCGACTATTTATAGCGACTTCTCTGCGGAGATGCTGGTGGAGTAATCCTTGGATAGCTTCAGTGACGCGGCGACTGCCACCAAAGCTATTTAAAGACAAAAGTGTGGATAAGGCGCGGTTGTGGGTAGATTTGCCGTTGTTAAAACTCTGGGTGGCTGGGAATGGACTTTTTGGCGAGCTTCACCGATATTATCAATGACCATTTTCGCTTGGGAATGCTGGTTAAGGCATGCCTTTCGGGCGAGAGAGAAAAAAGAAGGAGAGGGCGTCAACCAGTGTGCCGGTAATCGACGAAGTCAACAGCCATTAATAGGTAAGTAAGCATCGGCAAGAGGAGGCAAACTCCATGTCATCTGATTTCATACAAAATTGTTGCTCCCCGGACTTCATGACCATAGACTCTTATTGTAGCAGCTCTAAATGTGAAAATGTGAAAACTGTTATTGCAATCCACAACGTGCTTACGAGTACGGTAACCACCTACACCTCTACAACATGATGCCTCGTCATTTGAATGAATTTGATTGATATCACAGCCAGTCCCCCTATTCAGGTTGCGGTTGCATCCGCGAGGCCAAGGGAAACTTCCCATTTTATGGGTAAAAACCTTGACCAGGACTGGAATAACAAGAGAGTGACAACACAAAAGGTACAACCAGAGAACTAATCACAAAACTCTCAAGACAGGAATATGTCAACATCCCCCAGCCAAATTATCCAACTCCTATCTCCGGTCACCTTGGTTGATTCGTTCGTTCAAAAGTGGTGTGACCGGCCTTAAGAATTGATGGACGCACAGGGCGTTGTGGTGGGACAGGTCGAGAAAGCAATCAGTGCAAGACGGTGTCTGAGTCACTGGTAAGACACGCAGTTGGCTTGCAAGAAGGCCAAACTTACATTTCCCGACAATGGACTTCACTTCACTGCGGTGTGACGGGTATTTTTTTTAGCCAGCCTGAAGAGCCCAGTCAGTAGAGGAACCCAGCACTAGACGTAGGCCGCACGTACAAGCTCTGTCACTTACTGGGCTTGCCACGGTGCAGCTAGTGGGAGGGGCTGTTCTCTGGTGACCGAAGGCGTGTCATGGCTCAAGGTCGTGAAGTCGGATCAGGATGTAGTCGCGTCTGCCTGCTCACTGCCTCCATAATGGCGAGGTTATGCCGGCGAACGGGCAGTTTTTTTTTTAGCCAGCCTACAGCAGCCGTCAGCATCAAAGAATGGTATATTGAGGGAAGGTATGCATACAAGCTCTGTCACTTACTGGGCCTGCCCGCGGTGCAAGGCAAGTGGAGGGTGAAGGAGGCAGGAGTCAGTCGTAGAAAGACGCATATGAGCATGAAGCTGATTGGGCGTTTGTCCCCTAGCTACCTGATTAGAAACATGTCATGCAAGAAGGGAGGTGTGTACGAACAAGAGCATGTCCCCGTGGGGAGCTGGCCTGCGGTGCGGGCGAAGTTTTTTTTAGCCAGCCTACAATAGTCGTCAACATCAAAGGATGGTGCATTGAGGGAAGGTATGCATACAAGCTCTGTCACTTACTGGACCTGCCCACGGTGCCAGGCATAATGCTCAGGGAGGTGAGACAGCTCAGATCTCGGCTGGTGAGTAATTGGCGAGTCAAGATAAATGTCGAGCAGATAAAAGGACCGAGTCTCATCCAGTTCCAAGCAAGCAAACAGTTGCCTATAAGCCGAAGAGGGCGTCGTCAGCAATGGCGCTCATCTCCATGAGACTTACCAGCAGGCCAGCTTGATGAAACTCGAAACCTCCACGACGGTGAGCTAACTTGGAATATGAGCTATATTCGGTCGTCCTGCCTCATCAGTAGTAAAGGAACATGCTGACTGGTACCTCGAAGAGGACTTACAAACACTGTTCCCTAATGATTCTCTATGTTAGAGCCAAGTGTGTGAAGGAAGCCAAAGTGTGGAAGAGTAACAGTAGTTGGGACGAGGACGAGGCACGAGGGGGGAGGGGAAGAGGGAAGCAAGGGGGTGGCGTTGGGAACACTGCGACGAAGATTATGACTGAATGACGATACGGGCCTCGGAAGTGGACTCGTGGTGGTGGTGCGTTCCTCAGTGGCATCGCATTGCCTAATATGGAAGGAGCAACTCAGGGCGTGTTGAGCTGGTGACCTCCAGATGGGTGTCGAAGGTCAAACACAGCAGGACATGGCCGAGGGTTCCATGGTCTACAGGGATCACACATCGAATCTATCTTCGAATTTCGAGGGATGGACGATGGAGGGTCATAGATCCGATCGAGACGGGGAGACTGACTCTTGGTGATGGCGTTGAAAGCGTCCCGAATATATCAAATGAGGCCTTCAGTGGTTTATAACCTTCTTCAGTCCGACTGTGAAAGAATCATGGAATGACCAAGAAGGAAAAATTCCATGGGCACCGCTCCCTTGTCGTGGTCAGGCAGACAGACAGCCGGGCTTACGCCGTAATCGGTGAGAAGAAATCTCCGGTTCGTTGCTGAGCTGCTTTTTGAGTTGGTTAACTCGAGGCGATTGCGCAGACATCAGGAAAAGAAGAAAAGGAAACATAATGAATGAGATAGACGTAGACGAGTCATGTGAAAGACAATACAACAGGGGAAGTAAAAGTATAAGATCTCCATTGATGCCGCTTATATACATAGTTTTCAGGAACAGTCTCTCCACGAGGTGTGACTCATGATCACCAGAATCAAAGCCCAACATACTCCTAGCCCTAAACTGCGAGATCTATACCCACTATGGGGTAGACACCCAGCGGTGAGGTGGACATTCCAAGCACCAGAAAAACAGTGGGTATCATTTGAAATACAACAACTAAGCGTTTCATGAAACTGCAAGGGCCCATCAAAGGGGCGACATCTCTTTGGAATGTGAAGCGAAAATGTCAGAACGCCGGCTGCGGTGTGGAAAACAGTTGTTGTCTTGGCGAGACCCTAGACACGTGGCGGAGGTCTAAGGTAGCGGTGAAAAGAAGCGCATGGTATTTCAAATCCCACCGTCCGACTACCGAGGTCAGGCACTTGTAGAGATAAGAAGTGACGTGTAATCGGCCTCCCTGCGATCGCGAATTATGAAACGCCGTGAGAATTCACGCTGTTCGGGTACCAAGGTCGGGTTTCATGTCGATCGGCTGTTAAATGGTCGAATTCTGAAACAAGGCTGTTACCTGGCTATTGAACCTCCAGTTATCGATGAATGTAAACTTGCGGCAGCTGACCAGAATGGCTGCACGAATCAAAGTGAGGCTCGCACCGTGAGCACGCAATCAAGCAACCTTTCGTCCAACATTTCCAATACCCCGTCCAACCACACTGACAACGACGTCACCACGCTCATTTTCTCCGGCAGCCTCTCTAAGACCCCAACCAGGCGCGCCAAATGTTGCTAAGTCTCTTGCCAGCTGGATTACACCTTCGTCGGCAATCACATCACGGCCAAGTTGAAGCCGGCCAACATCCTCGGAGCCCATTGTCATAAGACCCAACATGGTAGCTGCTGCAGCGGGGGCAACACAACCACCTTTCGAGATGGTTTCAAGCAGCTGATAAGCGCACTGCTTTCCAATATCCTCAGGAGCCTGGCCACCTGAAGGCGGGGATGCCACATCTGCGGAAAAGAGGCAACCAGTCGAGGATTCTGCAACAAGCGACAAACCGAATCCAAGACCGATCTTCTTCTTAGCCGAAGGATTGTTCTTCTCCGGGGCAGGAATCAGCGGGGCGGAGGACACATCAGAGAAAACGTAAGTATCCGGTACAAGTGGGTTGAGAACACCACGAGCGGTTTCGATCATTCTCGCGTTGTTGGAAGCTGAGACACCGACGGCATAGGCTACACCGCGAATCTTCTTTATTCTACCCGGGTTCATCATGTGAAGAGTTTTCGGGAGACGCACTTGGTGGCCGAAGACCAGCTGAACTTCTCCACCACCTCCTCGGCCGTTATGTCCAGGGTTAGATCTTCGTAGGATGCGAAGTTCGATGTTGTTGAATATGCCGAATTGATTGTAGAGCGGCAAGATCGCGGTTCGCACGCTGTCCACGGACATATCACCTGTTGGCGTAGATGAAGTGATCACACCAGGGCCGGTAAAGAGAACCTTTATAGGAGCCTTGGAGAACGGAGCCAAAAGGCAAAGAGGCAAAAGGTAGTAGCTCACACCGCGATTACAACCTGCCGGAAGCTCATGTCTGATCACACCACCACTGCCTGCTCCTGCACCACTCCCAGTAATAAGACCCGGTTTGTAAACCACAATTGTTCCTGTATACGAAATTTCAAGTTGGGAGCCATTGGTGACAGCCTCTAGGAGACGAAGAAAGGAAATTTCATGCGGAGCAAGACCAGGGTTGGTAGGAGATGAAGGGCGGATTTGGGAGATATGCACCGTGCGGCCAGTCAAGGTTGCAAAAACCAAGCGATACACAAAGTTCTTATGACCGGTAAAGCGGAGAGGGGGCTGTGAAGTGGCCATGATTATTTGATTGAAGACTCGCGATATCTCCGTCGTGGGCCAGCAATGTCGCAATCAAAAGTATGCTTTTGAGCCGACAAAAAAAAGCGAATGGAGAAAATCTGTCGGGGTAATAATGTTCCGCAATGATGCCCGGGCTTAAGCAAAATGATTATCTCCGAGCCTGATTATCAATGTCGACTGATAACTATGCGCGTTCACCCCTCCGCCGATCTTTTCAACTTTGAATACTTGCAAGACGGCCTTTTAGACTGAGAAGGGTGCATCGTGCTAATACAATATTTGCTCAAAATGCTTCCCCCGGCCTTGAACATTCCGAAATGGTACTTTCTCAATCCATGCGCTACCATATATATTGTCCTCATTGCCCCTCCCCCGCAATGCGTCACAACATGCGACCAGACCCAATAGAAGCTACATAACTGTACAATGACTGAACTGACCATGCACTTACAGGCTTGAGGCCAATTCTCACCTTCTCCAACCACCAGTGAACAATTACTGTGTCTATCACCCCTCTTCCCCGGCAACAGCCGGCTACACAGTGATGATCGTGGGCGGTCCCAACGCCCGCACGGATTACCACATTAATACAACCCCAGAGTTCTTCTACCAGTATCGAGGTTCAATGCTTCTCCGAACTGTCGATACATCCTCTTCGCCCCCAACGTTCCAAGACATTCCCATCCACGAGGGTTCGCTGTTTCTGCTACCCGCCAATACGCCTCACTGTCCGGTGCGGTTCAAGGATACCGTGGGTGTTGTGATGGAGCAGCCCAGAGCTGAAGGTGCAGTTGATATCCTGCGGTGGTACTGTAAGAGTTGTGGAGAGACTGTATGGGAGAAGCGTTTTGTGTGCACGGACCTGGGAACGCAGGTGAAAGAAGTTGTTGAAGAATTTGGCGCGGATCAGGAAAAGCGGACGTGCAAGGCTTGCGGTGCTGTTGCTGAAACCAAATACCAAGAGGGGGAACTGGTACAGCCACCCAGGTTCCTTGAGTAGTTGATGTTTGGAATGATTTCCAGAGTAACTTGATGATGTAACATGTAGAGTTTACGGGGTACATATAACGATGATGATTATGATGATAATTGACTACAAATGGTGATTGGGTGTCGGTAGTAGACTGAAAGAGAATAATGAAGGGCATGGAAGAGTTGAAGGATTGCTTATGTACCTATAGGAACTGGCATTTCTCGAACAACTATATCTTGCCTTGTTCTTTCGGGTTGGAGCAAGTTCTACCACTAAGTACCTCTGAACAGAAACTACCCTAATTTAGATTATGCCTACACTTGTTCGCGACATCAGAACCGACAATACTCAGAAGAGAACTTCCAGAGCTGATTGATGAAGCAGACCGTCATGCCTGATCACTTTGATGATCAATAGTGGCATCGAAACCACGGACGCTCATGGACGACTCGGGGACGACATTCTGTGCGCAGCGCATAGAACCAGCCACCACGGCAAATGGAACGTAGAAGTAGGCGACAACAACCCTGGGATGCAGACACAGAAACCGAGAAAGCTGTATTTCTTTGAGTCCTTAGACCGAACCAGTAGCATCGCTATCGTATGCTGGGTGGTAGCTTAGATCGACATGCAGTCATATACCACTATGGAATGCACTAAGAGCCCTCATGCCCTTGGTCGCTGCATTATCAATGTCGTTTTTCGCTGGGAATCGCGGGTCCCTCCATCAGAAGAGTATAGGTGAAGCAGGTTTGGTTACGCTATAAGGGTACGTATCGATTGTAAATTAACTAAGGGTTCCTGGAATCTACCTAGCCTGATTTAATCGGTTATAAGTGACTCATAGCTACTGTTCACAGAGTATTGGACCCAAGTTCTTCATTCCTTGACACTCCTGTATCTGTTATAGTATATATCGTGGAAGAATTTCAAGAAGCTTATTTTTAAGTCCTTGATGCTTTCCTTGAGTTTATAGTGTGTATAGTATCAAGTGAGACTAATTCATCTAGTAGGGTAATTGGACGTATGCCTAGTCTACTACTAGGTAGGTAATTGAATCTCGTTTCTTAGACGATGTGAGGGAATCGGCCTGCCTTGAGGGTCTGATGAAGATGTATTCGTCTAGATTAGGTTGAGGCTGACCACGTGTAAAAGGAATGCCAGGAAACAGAATGTGAACAATGAATAGAAGGAAGAGTGGCCAGCTCTAAGGGTCTGGAGACACAAGGGTACACGATTATTAAAAATACCAGAACGAGTGACACCTGCGAGTAAAATAAAAAAAAAATTCAATATGACAATAGAAAGAGAACATGCTGTTGAACAGATCTGATCGGGGTACTCTGTAAGGTTCACACAAACTAAGTTGGTATATGATAAAAGAGTCAGGATAGCAACTGAAAGGGTGGAGAAAACAAAAGACCCGGAATAATACAGTGTATAGCATATCCAAGAGAAGAAAATGTGTCCAACCCACTATTAAAAATAAATCAGGAACGGACTCGCTAACCGATCAGAATGTCATCTCACATCACAGTTGCGAGAAACGTGCCAAGCCACAGAAAGAACTGATCCCTGGATCATATACCTCATACACCAGTATTCTAACCACCCAACCCCATTAATCATCAAATGGACAGTCGATGCTTTCATGACCATCCCTTTCACAGAGTGCACACCACTTCGACTCATCAACTGCTCCGCTCGCTTTGCCTGCTACAGGAGCCATGGAAGATGTCGTCGCGACTCCTTTCAACCCTTCTAAAACGACATCTCGGCCAGTTTTCTGAGGGGTGGTGCTATCCTCATGACTAGATTGCGCGGACTCAGGAGCTGGCGATGTCTCTGGTGTGAACTTTTCATCAGCTGAGTCGTCTTGAGATGGTTCATTAGTATCGGTGTTGCTCTTGTTCTTTTGCTCGGCGCCAAACATATTCGTGCAACTCAGGATATCGTGACCACCAGTTTCACAAATCTCGCACCACAAGGAAGCCCCATCATCAGACCGGGCATCGGATTCGTGCATGGTCTCCAGTCGCTGATGAGAAGACTCCGAAGCGCTACGGAGTCGTCCAGGGTAAGCCTGATATTGGTCATCATGCTGTGGTTGATCATGCCAGTCGCCTGGGACCACAGTGCGGTCAGATAACCGATGGGCATGGTTGACGGTATGCTCACCGCCGATCTTTCCGAGGGAGCTTGAGGATTTGTGGTAGGCGTGCGAGCCATTGGTAGTGGGGTTGCGATGATGATTGTCACCGTTGAGCTGTAACTGTTGAAGCTCATGCTCAAGTTCTTCAATACGGAAAGTCTTCCGTTCTGTCATGCGTTCGAATTCCTCGACCCGCCGTTCCAAGTGGGCTACATGCTCTGAATCATACTCCGGCTGAGTACCTCCGAGTCCATTTGGCTCAAGTGCATGCAGATTGGGGTCACCCCGACTTAAAGAATGGATAATAGCTTTCAGACCGCGGATCTCGTCATCCTTCTGATCAAGCTCCCTTGAATGCTGTTGTCCATCCCCCACCGCATGAGAAGAGCTTTCACGCTCCTTCTTCAACTCGAGTTTCGTTCGTTCGACTTCACCCCTTAAGAACTCGACTTCTGCTCGCGCCTCGGCTTCACCACGGCGCGCATCTTCCAGACCCTCCTCCAATTCCGAGACCAACTCTTCGAGCTGCTTCAGTTGCCTTGCAACGGCCTCGACATCTTCTCCTCGGTCCTGCAGCTCTTTGTTTTGCTGCATCAGTTCATCTAGACGCTGTTCGTATACCCGCTCAGTTTCGGCTGCAGCTATTTCCAATGTATCCAGAGTGCTCCTGAAATCGGCCCGATGGAGGTCGAACTCCGTCGTCAGTTGGGCAATCCTCTCGTTTTTATCACGCAACTGAGCGCGAATGGAGATGGCATCCGACCCCTCAAGGTCCTCTAGCATTCTCTGGAATTCGGACAACGTGTTTGCCTGCTCATCTAACTGCTTGTCACGGTCCAGGAGCTGCTTCTCCAGACCCCTGACTTGGTCAGTCAGCTCCTGCACCTCCGCAGCCATCGCCTTGCGCTGAATATCCGAGGACCTCGTAGATTGAATGTCATCATCTACACTCAGGCGAGAGGGCGGTCGGCTGGTCGAAGTGCGGGACGGGGCTTTGACTGGACTCCTTGGACGGCTATTCGAACTCGGGGCTCTCGACACCCCGGATGGAGTGCGTAGTCCAGTGAGACTCAATTTTGAGGGCGGTGGGCCACGTGGAGATTCAGCTCGAGGAAGTGAAGGCCGCCTCATAGGACGGGGAGTTCGAACCGCGGGGCTCAGGCCCGGGCCGACGGATTTGCTGAAGTTGACGGGTCGGGAGGGAGTCGGAGGGTTTACACTAGGCATGCTAGGAGCGGACAAGCGTTTCGTGACGTACTTATTGTTGTTCATGGGAACGAAGATGCCTGAGCCGGGGGTGGAGGTTGTGAAGTATTTCTTCCCGTCCACATCACCGCTGTTCTTCCCTCGTCTGGCATGCTCAGCTGCCAGTTCAATGCCAGCGAATTTCCCCGGTTTGCCAGCCACAGTTCCCAGATACTTTATGGTACCATACATACCCCCGGGAACGTTTACCAGGTCACCGACCTGGATGTCGTCGAGGGGAGCCATCAGGGTGTCGAGAAAATGATTGGCCTTGACCGAGGGGACGAGGGGGAGGATGGCAACCGGGATATTAAATCATTCGAAGTCAGAGGGAGGGACTCAGTGTAGAAAACAAGTCCGATATCGAAGGAAGGGATAAGCTGCGAAGACGGAGGTAACTGCGTGACTGATCATAGACGGGCAGTCATAGTGTTGATAGTCTGAGCGAACTAGTACTTGAGAGGATCGGAGGATTTTCTGCGTTGGTTTCCTCCTGTTCTGGTCGGGCAGCGAGGGGACCACCGAAGGAGAAAGAATTGAGTTGATCGCCACACAATTTCTCTCGTGTCAATGTATAAACAAATTGTTTCAACTCATCCCCAGAATTATCAATATGCATCCCAGGGGTTAGTTCCAATGATAATCGCAGCAAACATAAACAACCACACGAACGAACCATGGTTTGTGCTCCACCCATGCATGGGTGTTGAGTGGCCATACCGCCAGTTACTGTACAATACATACAACAAACCACCTGCTCAGGCAACAAAGTGCAAGCCTCAGGGATCTTGGCGCAGACCGCCTACTCCGTTTAGTTGATGCCTATGATTCTCATGTCCTGACGGGTACATTGACAGTACTTACTAGTACTACTAGTAGTAGTTGGACTGTACTGCGTCAACATGGAAAAGCAGTAGATCTCCTAGTACCTACCCCGTACTTACTACTCTGCTCAAATTGGACTTGTCTGGCCCTGTTCAGGCCTGGCATTGTTGTGATTTATCAATACCTCTTAATATTTTCCCCGAGTAATGTGTTCAATGAAGTACTGTCTGGCCAGATTATCATCTTTGACATAACATCAGCACAAATACAGTATTTGATATACATAACATCTACAGCCTTAGTTTTTTTAAGGGGGAGCGTAGTCGATGTATATTTGGTATACTGTGTACTGCGCGTTCGGTAGTTGTGACGAGGTGTACTGGTTGCACGGGCTACTACAGCCGCCCCAGCCTTATTATTCATCATATCTTCCACCTCATCATTATCTCTCTGGCTTACTCTCAACCGTACCAGTGGGACTATCAAACAAGATTTACCACCCCATTAGTGGTAATTTCCTCATTTTGCGTTTCATTCTAAAACATACAATCTCCCGATCTTTCCTTCCTTGCCGTTCGACTGCATACCGGCCTTCTCTCCCTTGCCGCACCTGTTCTCCTCTCCTAATTTCCCCGGATCCGCTCGCATTCAAACGGCCGGCTGGCCTTGCGCTGGAACAGACTCATCACCACGACAAAACAGATCAGACCATTGAGTGCGCATTGATTCGGCAGTCTAGCTGGATGTTACAAGTGTGATCAACCGAAAATGGCGCAATATTTCTTCGACCTCCTGTATAACTTTACCGATTGCATGTGCTGCTTCCCCAGCACGCCGCAGCTTAAGATCAACAATCGTAGCTTTAAAATGCTCCGTCTCTTGGGCGAGGTAAGATAAAAGGAGCAAACCAGGCTTAGCTCATTGGGCTTTTACTGACGAAATGCTAGGGTGGTTTCTCCTACGTGTACTTAGTCCAAGACAAAGCAACGTCCGAGCTGTTTGCGCTGAAAAAGATCCGATGTCCCTTTGGTCAGGAGTCCGTCTCTCAAGCACTAAAAGAAGTGGAGGCCTACAATCTGTTTGCATCACAATCCAATATCATTCATTCGATTGATCACTCCGTGTCTACCGAGTCAGGCTCGAAGTTCCGCTCCGATGGCGGAGAAGCCGGGTCTAAGACTGTTTATATCCTCCTACCTTACTATCAACGAGGGAATTTACAGGACGCCATCAATGCCAATCTAGTCAACCATACTCGATTTCCGGAGAAGCGATTAATGGTGCTGATGCTGGGTGTCGCCACTGCGCTCCGGGCCATGCATCAATATCGTGTCCAGAGCGGTGCCGGGCCTACTCGCAAGGCGAAGGCTGCAAGAAGGGAAGGCGAAGAGGCAGATACGTCAATGCGCATGAGCAAGCCCAAGCGCCGAGCAACCCAGGGTGCAGATGACGAAGATTCTGAGAACGAACCATTGATGGATGACGAGGTTACAAGGAGTCAGGAAGGCGTTCAAGATGGAGGTTTGCGCCCATACGCACACAGAGATATCAAGCCTGGTAAGGTTCCCATTACCCATCCCGTGGGCTCGGCCACGTAGCTAACGATAGTAGGCAACATCATGATTGATGATGACGGACAAACACCAGTGCTGATGGATCTCGGTTCACTCGCCCCCAGCCCCATTGCTATCACCTCGCGTTCACTTGCTTTGGCCGTCCAAGATACTGCTGCGGAACATAGTACGATGCCATATCGAGCACCGGAGCTTTTCGACGTGAAGACCGGCTCCATAATTGACACCAAAGTCGATATCTGGTCTTTGGGATGTACTCTCTACGCTTGCTTGGTGGGCAAAAGCCCATTTGAGGCACGTAGCGAGGAGACCGGTGGTAGCCTAAGTATGTGCGTCCTGGGTGGAGACTGGCGATTCCCTGATGAGAAACCGGGTACCAGCAAGGGCAAGGGCAAAGCTGGCGATGAATCCCGCAAAGATGCTACCACAACGATCAGTGCGCCTGTCAAGGATGTCGTTCGGAAGTGTTTGCAGGTTGAACCGGCAGATCGACCGGACATTGATGAATTGATCCAAATCTTGAAAGATGTCATCAAGGACTTGCCCGACGATGACGAGCTTGCTGGCAGCTCACGCTGAGGCAGGCTGCTATTGTCATTGCACCTACCATATCCCCACCACGCATCACGTCTGATTCTTATAAATTGTCTGTTGCGTTGTCCGGTAGTCAGCGACCGGACTGTACAGTATGAGCAAATCTTGCACACATTGTCCGATCTCACTCCACGCCAACCTCGGATCTCCAGCGCGAAATTTATGGCTGGCCTTATGGGGACATCTTTCCGAATAGTTTTTGTATTTCAACGTTTGATACCATAATCGCATTCGCTGCAGGCTGGCCTTTTGCAGATATTCGCGCGATACGTTTGTGTTCGTTACATCTCCGCTAGAGTTGAGTTGGGGATGTATACTGGACTGGTAGTTTGAATGTCTACCTACCTAGTATGGTAGGCTTTAAGTCACCTCGGTCTAAGGTGGACTAGTTAACTAGTTAACTAAAGCTAGTGGCTTAGTAACCTGTTCAGGGGTCGCAACCAGGGGAGGACGGAAAACGTGCTAGAACGCCTCCAGTCTTACTTTATATATACCTTAAATAGAACTAGGTTATCTAAGCTTAGTACACGCCATCTGACAGTTGGTCAATTCTAAAGAGATGTTATGGATTAGTCGACGATAGTAAGGTTTTTGTGGCGTTTACGGGGAACGAACGATCCCGATTTTTGGGATGGCAACTACTACCAGTAGTTCCAACACTTGGTGTTCTGATCCATTGATTGATTGATATCAAAGGGGATTAGCTAACGAGTTCGTGAACTAAAACTCTAACCAGGCCATCTCCGCTTAGTAAGGAAAGATCGTCGTCGCAGGTTTGAAGATCGATGAAATCCAGTCTCGAACTCTTGTCATCATCAACACTCGGGCCTTGTCGGGGGTTCGGCCACGGAGAGAAAAATCCCCGATCTATGATAGATCGATACCCCTATAGAACACGCTTTAAAACAAAAAGATCTGCCATTCAAGTACCTCCCAACACCGCTTACACTGCCTCAATGAAGTTTTTGCCTCTGTTATCTTTAGTCAGCGGCAGCCGGACTTTTCTTTTCACATCCCCCGTTGTGGTCCCGCCTCTCAAATTAACGAAATTGAGCGATCATACCGCTAGTCTCTGTGGAGGCTGACTATCGATGTATCCGTCTCCAACGTCCGCCGAGAGGTCGGAGGATGAAACTCGACAGCCGAGGAAGCGCACAGCGAGAGCCTGTGATGCATGTTATAAAAGAAAGGTATCACTGCAGCGTCCCTGGCTGTGGGCATAATGCTTATTCATGCACAGATCAAGTGCGACGCAGCTGTGCCACAGTGTAACTGGTGTAGTCACCACAATATCCCATGTACATTCGAGCGAGTCATCCATAAAAGACGAAAAGATAAGACAAATGCAAATATGTATGCCATAGGAAAAACCAAATTTCATGATTTCCTCAAAGACACTAACTTGTTACCCAATCTTGCAGCCAACAAAAATCTACCGGCCTGGCCGAGCGCATCGACCGGATAGAGAAACTCCTAACAGATAGCCTGTTCAGAGAACCCAGTTTGTCTGCCTGATCCTCGGCATGCATACATCGTAGGACTGACCATTTCCCTTCTAGCGCCTAATGCGTCTCCTGCCTCCTCTGGACCAAGTGGGTTCGGGATAAAGTTGCCTGGGCCATCCCACGGCCAATCGTCCCTACCGTCCTCGGTGCCGCTTCATTTCGCAGGACGAGAGTTGAGCGTTGTGAGCCAGCTTACAGGTATCCCATTCTTGTTACCGGAGGGCCAGGAATGGGTTCAATCGCGAACTGGGCAGAAAATCGACGTCGACAAGCTAAGTCCTACTAGGCCTCCATGGGAGAAACAGCGTGCATTGAATTCATGTGCAATGTTCAACGATCTGCAGACAGGGCAAATATTTGATCTTCCGGATAGAAAGGTCTTGGAGCTTCATCTCGAAAGGTATCGATTATCACTTATGCAGAGCATATTTCCCATTGTGGACCACGAACTTTTCCAGGAGACCATTGATGCCGTCTATCAGAAACCTTCGCCCGATTCTTCCTACGCAGAGTCAAGTTTAAGGGGCTGCATCTTTGCTTTTCTGGCATTCTCGTCTCTTATCATGAACCCCTGTAATGAGGTGACCGCACCGACACCCCCGCCTGTTGATGGTGAGAAATACTTTATGAAAGCGCATCTCTTGGTGCCCCAAATTCTGCAGGGGACTCCAACACTGGATGGTGTCCAGGCGATTACAGCAATGGTAAGCTTTTACATGATATTGACGACTTTCTCTACACCTCTTCCGTCGACTTGGTTTGGCAAATGAGCCCTTCCACCATCAGTCATACATCTGATCATTATCGTTCCCTGCTACTTGAATTTGACAACTGATATGGGTCTTCGAATCAGGCCTTGTTCGAGTTAATCACCGGTAGCCTGCAATCTGCAAACTACTTTGGCACTCTTGCAGCACGCATGCTATTCATGTTAGGTGCTCATACTTCCTATCCAGATGAAGCCGAATATCCCATAAAAACCACCAGAGGCCGTCGCTCTCGAGTGCAACGGCAACTCAGAATTATCTTCTGGCTTTGCTTCACCATCGAGAAAGATGTCTGCATCCGGATCGGCCAACCTCAGATGTTCACAGACGAAAACTGCGATCTAACATTACCACCCGGCTACGTGGAACAGCTATACGCAGACATGCAGGTACATCATTGCGTGGAGGAACTACGAACATGCGAAATAACAAGATATCCGCTATTCCCCGTCGACCTCCGTCTGAGCATCATCAAGTCTCGCGCCTACAGCGCACTCTACTCATTCAAAGCCCTCAAGAAAACCGACGCCGAGATTCTAAAAGATATCCGCGAGCTCGACGACGAGCTAGAGCGCTGGCGAATGTCCATCCCCCTCGAATGGCGACCAACCCTGTCCTTCTCCCATGAAACCCCCGACCCAAACGTCAGCATGCACTCTGTCATGCTACGCCTGAACTACCACCTCTGCATGACCATGATTCATCAGTCCAGCAGCCGCTGCAAATCCTGGGCCAAAGGCCAGGGCGGCATGATGGACGGCGTGAGTTCCAGTCTCGCGCTCTCCGTCGAAGCCAGTCGCTCGACCCTCCTCTACATCGAAGCAGCGGAGCACGTCCTCGTCGACGGCATTTTCTGGTAAGTCTCGCATGACCTACCTACACACACGGTTCCATGCTAACCTAACACCACCTAGGACTCTAATTTTCTACCCTATGTCCGCCCTCCTCGCAATCTTCTGCAACATCCTCCAGAACCCATCCGACCCGCAGGCCACAAAGGATGTGCGCCTCCTTCGCACAGCAACGGGTATGATGGAGCGGTTGTTCTCGCGACAGCCCTTCGCAGTCGCGGAGATCGTGCATATCAAGCTCGTGGCTGATTTCGTCTCCGAGTTGTATAGACTTGCTACTTGTGCTATTGAAAAAGCGTGGAATGAGCGTTCTCATTAGAATGGGCTTGTGTTGAGGTGTTCGAAGGGTATTTTTACAGGGACCGGACTGGACTACGGGGTTATGGGACTTGAAGTTATGGTTGATATATATGGTACGTATGTGTGTTAGGTCTTGATTAGGGGGTATTCTGTTGTTTCCCTGTTTTTCGGGATGTCGATCGCATATATACCTACTAGTACTTGGGTTAAAAAACGGTGGTATCGTGTGGTTGTGTTGTGGTTTTGCTGCTTTGGCACTATGGTTTTCTCAGGATTGCTCGACTGGGTGGGTTGCTCACATTCATCTTGTGGGATGCTACAATTGCGACGCTAGAGTTTACAGGACTTAGACTACAAAAGGCAAACATAAATTATACAATGTGAACTGAAAAAGTGTATATTCATGACTATCCATGGCTATGTGATCATTGGGAAAACCTATTTGAAACCAGTCAGCAAATGGTTCGCGTAATGTCCAATGCTTTGCAGAACAAGTATTTCAAAATCAAGCTTTAAAGCTTGAATTTTCAGATAGTAGATGCGCGGATATAATCAAAAAGCACTTGTGTGCTCTCAGATGGGGTTGAAACAAAGAATAATAGGCATCAATCATCATAGTAGGGAGACTAAGTGAAAAAGTATCAACTTACCAAGCTGATTACAAGTCGCAAGGAGTAATTGTGTGTCGAAAATGGTGAACAGGGGACACTCAAAACAGTTCAATCCTTTAGGCATCATCAAGCCAGGCAGAAAAGACCATAATGAGAGTCTTTCAAGTAACCAATCTGGTCATGTCGAAGTATGGATGAAGGTCAACATGAAAATGTTCGTCACGGCAAAATTTGGTGGGATTTTAAAGGCGCGTAATTAGCGCCACACGTGACCATCCCGGATCAACCATACTCCGCTATGTAAAGTGGATATGGAGATGGAGCTCGAAGAACGCCAAAAACAGATGCTCGAGATCTCACGTCGGATCCTGATAGAGGTGAAGGATGGGTATGTTGCACTGTAGTCCAAGCTGTCCCATTTTGAGTCCACGGACTGTCCAGTCGAGGAACTGATCACGAGTGCGAAAGAAACGGCGTATTGGACTGATGGCTCATATGATGCATCCCTTGCTGTTGCTTGTGTGGGTTCCGAATGTAGACAATGTAGCTAGCGCTATAACAATTGAATTGTTATGCACGAAGAGCATGGTATTGGACGCTTGAGATGCTGGGAACTAAGTGCTTCATATTGATCAAAACTTCAGCCTCAATTGTTCTCATCCAAGAGGTCCCAGACCAATCGCGCATCTCCGGTCACTTTTTCTTCTGAAACACTGGGTTTCTTTGTGTCATTATCAGGGGTTTCGACGGATGCTGCATCCACGTCAATGCCGTCCTTCTTCAGTTGATCGAGGGCTCCAGTAATTTCCTCCTTTAGCTTGTCCATTTGCTGAATCTCCTCCCTGGTACGGCTCAGCTGTTCCTCCATCATCAGAATGAGCGATTCCCGCGCTTGGTGAGGTCGATACAGGTTCAGAAGATGATGCGCGTTGATGAACAAATTGCGCAAGTCCTCTACCTTGGATTCAAACTGCTCGGGAGCTACCGAAAGAATGCCCACAAATTCCAGGAAGTTTAGAAGCAACGATTTGCTGATCTTGAGGAGGTAATACGCGTGGTTTAGTGGCCGGGTGGGTTCTGAGGATTGTTCCCGGTCGGCGTCACCTGTTGGCGGGGAAGGATAAAGCTGTGTAATGCCTTGATCTTGGAGGGAGGGGAGAGCTGTTGAGAGCTGCAATCGCTTGTAAGCTATGATCCTCAGCGAGAGACACGAACAGCTAATGCGCTTACGCTTTGTAGTTCTCCAAACACACTGTAATGGCCTGATTTGGGTATCTCTGGTGGAATCAGAAAACGAAGCTCTGGTGGTACATCTAAAGCTTGCAATTCAGCCGGCGTCCACTTCTTCTTTTGCAGTTTCCCGTCCTCATTTTTCGACGCATTCTTCTTGATCTGGTCTAGCTTTTTGAGGTTATCCGGCGTGAAGTGTTTCCACAAAGGAGGCGGCGGAGCGAAAGCTGTGAGAGGCCGTTGCTGTCCGGCGTCGGCCATATCTTTTGCCTTGTATAATGATACCCCAGAATAAAAGTTTAAATACGCTATAAGAGGACCCGACGATGGGGAAGGTCAGGTTATGGCGAGGTAGTTTGGGTGTGATGGTACAGAGTAAAGTGTCTGGGAATGCGATGCGGAGATACCGCGGGAGTAGCGGTGGTCTGTGCGTCTAAAGGCGGCAGTGGTCTCATGGCTGTCGCAAGCGTTTCGGATTCCTGTCCTCAGTCTCAAGGAGACTGTCATATCTATGAACCCGTACTTCAATTGACACCACAGAGATGTCTCGTAGTGGATTATCTGCTGCATCCTTTGCCCGCCCGGCACAATCCGGGGTACCTGGCGCTGTGGCTCGTTTCTACCAACGATCGTTTCCGGCGGTTGACTATCTGGCGCTAGGATGTATTGTAGGAGGATGGATCTTGGTCGGTGCCTTGTTTATCTAATTTATTGATCTCAGTTTGCTAATACGTTCACATTCAGATCCAGCTATTTGTGAATCCATTTCATCGTCTGTTTTCCCTTGACAACAAGGCCATTCAATATCCCTTTGCTGTAGTGGAAAGAGTTCCTGTTGGTGAGCGTCTTCCATATCGAGACGTTGCGCTCTAAGCACTGATAATGTACACTAGTATGGTCTATCATATACGCTGGGGTCATTCCGTTTGTATTAATGCTCTTGTGGGCTGCCACGTTCCGACCGAAGCCCTATAAAGTCCAAGTAACTATACTTGGTTTCTTAGTCGCCTTGATGTTGACTTCGCTGCTCACGGATATAATCAAGAACGCGGTGGGACGACCTCGCCCCGACTTGATCTCACGCTGTATCCCCAAGAAGGGCACTCCTGAAAACAAGCTGGTTGCGTGGACCGTATGCACCCAGACAAGTCAACATATTCTTCAGGAAGGATGGAGAAGTTTTCCAAGCGGCCACAGCAGCTTTTCATTTGGCGGGCTGGGATATTTGTCCTTGTGGGTTTTGGCCCACAAATCAGCCCCTCAACATTGCATATCTCTAACGGTTGTTTTCTCCCAGCTTCCTTTCCGGTCAAATGCATGTGTTCAGGCCGAGGACCGACCTTTGCCGCTGCCTTGTGGCTCTTTTGCCTTTTCTCTGCGCATTGATGGTTGCGATTTCACGTCTTGATGATTACAGACATGATGTATACGATGTCACATGTGGCTCTATCCTAGGTACTGTGGTTGCCTATTTCTCGTACCGTCGCTACTATCCCTCTCTGCGGTCCGTTATCTGCGACACGCCCTACGACAAAGCAGGAATCACCGGCGAAGAGGGATTCCACAAGCTTCCCAGTGACGAGGAACAACAAGTACAGAGACCTGTGGTTCCTTCCAGTCAATGGGGAGCTGAGGAGGAGGCTTACCAACTTAGTGAAACTTCATCATCGCCACGTCGAGTGTAAGGTTCTTTTTCTCTTTCTTGTAAAATAATGATACCCTTCAAACTATGTATCGGATTCGGGGTTATTCTCTACACTAGTGTATATATGAGCTGTAAGAAAACCGTTACTGTGTTTGAGAGCTACGGATAGAACGTGACTAAGGAAGTAGCTGAATTATCATTAATTATCTATACGTATAGCAGCTCCTCTACAGCTTCGCACTATCCTTGTTCTGCACGTTAGTCCATTCCTTGACATCATGGAAGTCCATGACACGGTTGGGCCCCCCAAAGCGGCCCAGAGTGTCTCTCCACTTTCTGTCAACAGCAATGTCTGGACTCCATCGCGTAAGCTTGTGAACTTTCTCTGGAACTTTGTCTTCAATGGCATCAGCAATGAGGTTGCCGATCGAGGGAAGATATTTGAACCCTGGACGATAACTAATTAGCATCTATAAGCATAGAATGATCTAGTGCATATACTCACCCCTTCCAGAAGCGCCACATCCCAAAACAAGAGAGGGGTGTTCAGGGTGGCGGTCAATGATGAATTCACGGTTTGGGGTGTCCGCACACCAGCAAACACGGGCGAAGCTAAATGGGCGATCGGCTAATTGAGGCATGGTCTCCGACAGCAAAGCTCTGACTCTGGTCTCAGCCTCCTTCGGGATCTGGGTTTTCTCAAAGGGAAGGCTCATCAAGTGGCCGTCGGCAGACTTAACCATGTTAGTGTATCCCGGATGTTCATCGCAGATCTTGATCTCCCCGCGCTCCTCATCGGGCTCGAAGAAAAATCCTTTCTCGATGTTAAAAATCACTGGCAAGTTCTTGTAGAGAGCGCGTTCCTCAGGTTTGAGCTGGATATGGGCGAGTGTCCATGCCGTTGGGCGGAGCTGGTCCTTGAAATCCAAAAATTGCGCAGCATTTGCGCCAGCGCAGAGAACTGTTTGCTCCGCGCGCCAGATCTTTCCGTCTGCGGTGACGGCACCCTTGACGTCGTTGTTCTCGAAGATAAGGGTGATGACTCTTCCTTGCGTGCCAGTTACGAATTTAACACCGAGTTTCTCTGCTTCGCGTATAGCGGCCACGAGGGCGTTTCGGGCGTGTGCCCAGCCAGCGTTCGAGCGAATATGGTAGCCTCTCCATCCCGGGAAGTCTCCTTTCAGCACAGCGGGGGCCAGTTGGCGGAAGTGCTCCGGCTTCGTGACTTGGGCAACATCACGTTCCTCTTCCGGCCTTACTCGGATTCCGAGGCGATCCAGGCCAGCACTGCTGCAAGCCGACATTACAACGCCAGTATCATGATAATATGGCTTGAATAAGGGATCGGTTGTCCAGCCTTTGAAGGCCTCCTCTGCAAGAATTTCGTTAACTTCAATCTCATCCTTCTTGTTGCTGTATTGCCCCGAGGAGATGATCTTGTTCACGTCGTTTCCCGCCGAAATTGGCGAGGGCACTGTGTATGGGTCCAGGACGGTGACATTGGTGTATCCCCTGCGACCAAGGTGGAGGGCAGTCGAAGCACCCCAAGTGCCAGTACCGATGACCAGGATCGAGGAAGATTTGGTGACAGTCATAGTGATTTTGTGCCTTGTTGCAGTGAGAATGTTGATGTCAATAATTAGACAAAAGAAGGAGCTCCGGCAGCAAGACTGCCGTAATTAAGATGGCCCCGAAATGGTCTAGAAAAGCCAATTTGGTGTGGGAGGACTTTCGTGGAAGATGTCAGCTTTCATCCTTTATACCACCGGCAAACGAGCCCGACGTATGAATCATACGAGATGTTGCAATCTGCCGGACCGGCGGGGTGGAAGGTCCACGCGGTTTGAACTTGTTGGAGAAAGCTATCGTGCGGATTGACCGCTATCGATTAAAAGTAGTCATTATCCAATAAGACTGGATAAGAAAGTTCCCCGCGTGCACTGTCCACCCACGCGATACATGGTTTCAGAGTCAACCATGCACTGGGTCTGAGTGAGACGATCCACGGCCCTCTCGTATACTTGTTATAATAAGTCTGTACCTTCCTTATGTTTGACCGACGTCGGCCAGGATCGGAGCCACACCGAGCAATGTCTCCACTAAAACTTATCAGTTGGCCCAGTCCTCGTATCGATTCGGATTATTGGATGCCGGTAGACAGGTAAGGCTGGTCCGTCCGTACGTTAGCACCGGGATTGTGGTGGCAGATAACGCTAAATCTTAGGGATATTTAGCCGCCTTAGCTAGTCTTGATCAGGATAAGACTTCTGCAATGCTGTCGGCTGGTGCCGTGTCATCCTTCGCTTGGACCTTACCTTCCTATCAGTGTCCTGCCCTAGGCTTAAGAATACTTGGATGTACTACTAGTATGTAGCCTGGTATCGGAATGGACCCGATCCTGGCGCCCGTTGACTCTCCCCACATTCTAGCTTGCGACAGTGCGCCACCCATGATCGACGGGTCAGTGTCTGGGGAGGACCTTCTATCTGGTCTAAAATTGTTATCTTTTCAATTCTCCGTACTATTTGCCTCCTTTCCGGTAATGTCAAAGTCTAGATAGATATGGCCCTCCGGTTGAGCTACATGCCACTATATAAGGGAGGCCAATGACCACCCTCAGGATTGAAGCCCTCAATGCCATAGCCTCCCAATTGTAGCCTTTGTGGTTTCCGTGCCCCCGCGTTCCGTTCAAGCAAGATTTTGGGCTACTGTCCGCTGGATTGCACGCTCCCATGAGTCGATTACGGTCTCGTGGACTGCAGGATGCAGATGTTGAGGAATGCCCTCAGGATCCAACCTTGGAGGGTGATGGCGCACCCAAAAAGCCCGTGACGGCCGAGGAAGCCTTGGAAATTGCGATTGGAGAAAGTCAAGATGTCGAGTATACTATTGACTCAGACAACTCTCCTTACCTGGAGGTCCGTGCCAATGTACCGAATACGGATGATCCGACGTTACCGATCAACACCTTTCGAATGTGGTTTTTGGGGATCGTATTTACCCTGGTATGTCTTGATTAAACGTGTAGGAAGGTGGCATTGCAATGCTGACAGGAAGTGGAGGTCGGCACGGGTGTGAACCAATTCTTCTCTATGCGCTATCCCAGTGTTACAATCACTTCCCTGGTAGCGCAGCTTATCAGCTACCCCGTTGGGTGCTTTTTCGCAAAAGCACTACCCATCATGACGATACGCGTGTTTGGTCGGGAAATCCCTATCAACCCTGACCACCATTTCAATGTCAAGGAACATGCAGTAATTACGATCATGTCAAATCTTAGCTTCAATCAGTCATGGGTAAGCGTTCACTTGCGACAATTTGACATCAATGCTGACAACAGATCAGGCAAGTGCTATCATACAGGCACAGAAGGTGTATTTGGGCATGCCGACCCCAGTAGGATACCAAATCTTGCTAGCGTTGTCTATGCAGATGTTCGGACTCGGCCTTGCGGGCCTATCATACAGATATATAATAGAGCCACCACATATGGTAATTCACATCGAACCATGGCTGATACGTGCCCGTTACTAACACCCCACTAGATTTGGCCTTCTACTTTGGCGAATGCAGCTCTATTCCAAACTTTGCACAGTGGCGCAAATCCTATAGCCGATGGCTGGAGAATTTCCCGGTATCGGTTCTTCTTGTACGTCTTCATTGGCAGCTTTTGCTGGTACTGGCTTCCTGGATATATATTCACCGGGCTAAGTACATTTGCTTTTATCTGCTGGGCAGCTCCAAGTACGCTTCTTACCAATGAATCGCATAGTAAACTCACTAACACTATGTCCAGACAACAAAGTGGTAAACAATTTGTTTGGAATGACGACTGGCCTCGGATACATGCCCACCACATTCGACTGGAGCCAAATTGCCTACAACTCTTCTCCCTTGACAATCCCATTTTGGGCACAGGCAAATGTCTTTGCTGGTTGGTTTTGTATTTATGCTGTCATTGCGCCAATCTTGTACTATACCAATACCTGGTACACTGCCCACCTACCTCTGACCGGCTCTGACGCTTACGACAACACCGGAAATCTCTACAACTCGACCCGGATTCTGAATGACGAAGGTATAATTGATGATGCTAAGTATCGGGACTACAGCCCTATTTTCTTACCCATCACATTTGCGCTAAGCTATGGCGTTGGGTTTGCCGTTCTGAGTTGTCTTTTGACTCACGTAGTCCTCCATCATACCAAAGATATCCTTGATACCTTCAGGGGTCAAAACAAGAAGGACATACATGCACGTTTACTTTCACGCTATCCTGATGTTGCATGGTGGTGGTATGCGATCTTGACAGTAAGTCCTGGCTATGCAATCATTATACATCGTATGATTAACATGGAAAGGTCATCGTTGTGGCTGTTGCCATCATGGTCCAATATGTCTGGAACACCGGGCTTCCTTTCTGGGGACTATTCATTACCCTAGCTCTGGCTACGCTTTATGTGATTCCGGTCGGAACTGTGTATGCCGTGGCAAACCTCAACGCCAATGTTCTAACTGTTTTGGGAGAAATTGTGTCTGGTTATTTGCTCAAGGGAAAGCCGCTTGTCCTTCTAATCTTTAAGGTCCGATTCACACCTACCATTGGCATAAATCTGGCGCTGACCAGCCGACTAGTTTTATGCATACACTGGTCTTAGTCAAGCAATGTACTACGGTGCTGACATGAAGGTACAGTAGCTCTGAATCTTTTTCATATATGACATGCGCTGATAACTTTCGGTGCACCCACCAGCTTGGTTTGTACATGAAGGTACCACGGCGAACACTGTTCGTCGCTCAGTTGATTGCCTGTATCCTCGGCACTCTGACACAGAGTAAGTAGTGGAAGGGGTACATGTCCTAAAAGGCCCTGCTGATGATTACACCAGATGGTGTCCTGCTGTGGATGCTTGGGCATGTCAAGGACGTATGCGCAAACGACCAGCCAAACAATTTCACCTGCCCCCAAGGTCGAGTCAACTATAACAGTGCTGTATTCTGGGGAGGTGAGCAAGTACACTTCCATTCTAACAAGTACGAGTGACTGATACCTGTTACAGCCATTGGACCCGCACGACTTTACAATATTGGGCAGAGGTATTCTGGACTTCTTCACATGTTCTGGATCGGTGCACTACTTCCCATCATTACATTCTTTCTTCGAAAGAAGTATCCCAATAACCGCATCTTGAATGCGATCCATTGGCCTATTTTCTTTGCTGGGACGGGAAATCTACCACCGGCGGTATGTGGTGCGCAAAACGATGTTAGATTACTCTTAACTAACATATGACCTATAGACTGGCATCAACTACTCTACAGCGTTTGTAGTCAGCTTGATCTTCAATAAGGTAAGCCTACTGAGCATAGCACCGTGTTGCCTTGCTGGCCATTAACAATCCATAGATCATTAAAGGTCGTCGACCAAACTGGTGGGCCAAGTACAACTATGTCCTGTCCGCAGCCCTAGACTCCGGTGTTGCTGTCTCTGCTATTCTGATTTTCTTTTCATTGGTACTTCCTGGCGTTAGCCTTAGCTGGTGGGGAAACAATGTCAATGGCGGAACGGTTGATAGTAAAGGCACTCCGTGGTTAGAGTTGAAGGCGAACGAGACCTTTGGCGAGAGCACTTGGTCATGAAAACTGTGCAAGAGATGACCAATATTATTGATCCTTATTCATGTGGGAACCGAATTCGGTGGTTTTCTGAGATAGCCATCTATGCTTCTTGTATTGTATAGTATAGATCACAGCCTCAGGCTGCAATGGGCAGGCAAAAGTGATCCAATCAACATTGGTTCCCCGCCGGGTGGTAGAAAGAGTTTCTATTGGTGGAAGGCTACATGAGCAGAGCGGATCCCACATGATTCCACTCTTGGCTTTACTATCAATCAATTGCAAGTCCGCTCCACAAAAACTCTCTCTGATTTGACTCGATAAGCGTTGTTCCCCCATCATTAATTATAATAGACCCAGTCAAGATCGTCCTTATCTCCTCACTGCACTGGCCCACGTATCATAGCCTCTGACAGGCAGTCATTCGTTTGTCCCAGTTTTGGGCCTCTTCTGCCACGAGTATCTCTGGCTAACTGAGTCAAAGCCTGGTTCTCTTTACTGTGAGACTGCTCCTGCTCATCAACGTATTGATGGCGCTAGGAAATTGATCTTGTCCGGAAGACTGGCCATGTAAAGTTTCCTCCTATCGGATGCCGCGTAAAAAGGCTGCAGACCGCGTGGGTCCGGTCAAGACCCGAAGCCGTAGCGGCTGCAAGGAATGCCGCGCGAGTCGAGTCCGTTGTGACACACAAAAGCCGATCTGTACCAGGTGTCGGGAAAGGGGCCTAGTTTGCTCAACGCAACTGGTCCTGAAATGGGAGTCGGAGTTTGTGAGTCGAGGGCTTGCCTTCGGTCGAGCTGGCGTTTGGAGTAAGTCCGGCTCTCAATCCAAGGCATCGCCGCCCTCATCTTCGCTTCTGGATGATGACCAAGAATGGTGCGATATCCCTTTCATTGAGTCTTGGGGGTTTGTCAATAGCGGGGTCTCGACTTTTGAGCAACCGGACCAAGTCAACGTTGCTTGTGATGAATTAAACGCGGTGGTGGTTCGCGACAAAGGAAAAGAAAGACTGGCAGTCAGGTCAAACTGGCCTGCGCTAGTAGATATCTCAGAGTATGGGCCAATTCTACAACAGCTGCCGCAGCCTATGGCCTCCTTACCGTTGTTTCCCCACGTTGCTGGACAAAACCAGGGACACCTCTTCGAGTATTACCTTCAGCAAGTGTGTCCCCGTACAACTGCCAGCTCAAAGCTATCATCGCCATTTGCATCAATCATTCTTCCATTCTGTCTATCTGCATCACCAATACTGTTCAAATCGATCCAGGCACTGGGGGCATGTCACTGGTCTCGATTTGATCCGACCTACGGGGTCATAGGACTTCATCTTAAGTCCGAAGCGTTGAGGGGCCTCCGCCACCGACTTGCAACAGAAGGGACCTTGAGCTGCTCGACCGACCCTGAAGTGCTGGCTATCATGATGATGCTGTGCCTGTATGAAATCGTGGATAATTGTGATGAGCGCTGGACGATTCATCTGAAGGGAGCCAAGGACCTTATCCGCCTTAGAAGACAACAGACAATGCTTTCTAAGTCCCGTGGTGTCCAAGACCCTATTACAACCTTTGCCGAGTTATTCTTTGCATTTCAAGATGTCATGGGCCGCACGGCATGCGGCGAGGAAGTGTTATTTGGAAGTGACTATTGGCAAGAAAATGAGCGTAACATCGATTTGTGGATGGGCTGCAGTCCGGAACTCGTCTCTATACTGTCTTCTATTACAGAATTGAGCCGGACAAGACGACAGCTTACTTCTGATTCCGCCCGGGCGGCTTTCTCTCTACGATCAGCTTCTCTGGGACAAAAACTTGAGAACTTGGTCCAGGAAATCGATGGTGATGATGATGACGACCCAACACTCCAGACTGCCGCAGAGCTAAAGCGGTTGGCTGCGGTGTTGTATTTGCATTGCGCCTTATATGGGGCGTCACCATCTACCTCGTTGGTTGTTAAATACGTTCGGAAGGTTCTACGACTCGTTTCAGATTTACTTGATTCTGGATCACCAGTCAGTATGACGTGGCCTGTCTTTGTGGCTGCTGTGGAATTAGACCCTCTTCATGACGAGGTGTGGTCCGATGGCGAGACCGTTGTATACGGCCGACCGCTTGTGCTACGTGCGTTGGCTGCGATGGCGGAATCGAGTGTCTCGAATGTTGCGCGCACCAGAGCAGTCATCGTCAAGGTATGGCAAGCTAGGGACAGTGACATGCTGAAAGGATCCTCTGTTGATTCGTTGGATCACGCGACGAGCTGTAACGATTGGGAATGGTATGTTGCGCCAATCAGTACTGCCATGAGCTTGGCGTGACTTGGACACAACCATCACGATGAGACGAGTTTCTTTGGAATCATGGGACATTTTCCTTTGGCAATTTCTATTCTTCTGTGTTTTATGCATGTAAAATATCCATTTTCTCTGAACGAGACCTCTTAGTGTTAGAATGTGTAAAGCATGACGGGTACTCAGATCTCACGATGCTTATCGAAAGTGGTGCCATGGCTGCCGGACCAATCAGCATCGCCAGACGAGGAGGAGGGGCTACACAGAGCGTGATTCGCCAAATCCAGCGGCAAAGGACGTCAGTACCGATTTCAGTAGCAGACCCAAGGTCCGACATTCCTAGGCGTCCGTCCCATCTTTCCTTCTTGGAAACCTCTCGACTATATCCATACCTTGTTTATCTTCTTGTTTTGCCTCTACTCAACTATTGTTTCTGTGGGAAATATCAAGAACTACGCGAGAAAGATCTTCTTTGTGCCGCTTATTGATCGCGCGCCGTCGTATACTCATTGTGACACTGACCTCCCAAGTACTTAACCGCCGCCAGATCGTCGCACTGGAAGACTTCATCATGTTTTAATTTCACTGTTCCAAAGCATTGACACGTGTTGAAGCCGAGTATTCAATCGCAAAATGACGTCGTCGACTACTTCATCCACTGTATCGCACAGCGTGCCGTCCCTGCCATTCGCAAGTAAACTAAGTGAACAGTTATCGCAACGGAAGGAACAAGGTGAATCTGCAACCGATACAGAAACTTCAGGAAAATCTGCTTCACTTGGACCACCATTGCGCCCTTCACCGAAGTCACGGTCGTTGTCCGACGCGCCAAAACCGATATCTGCACGTTCCACCTCCGAAGAACACCGGCCGTCGAGTAAAGATGATAACTCTCTTTCATCTACACCAGAAACACCTCATCGGCCTTTTATGCATGGCTTACCTCTAAACTTGCCTTCAAAACCATCCGGATCCTCGTCCTTATCTAGCCGTGCTCCACTCTCCCCGAAGCTTGATTCGTCCCAGATCTACGGCTCCCCAGGCTCTGTCCTCCCTCGACGCTCCCGTGGCCTCGACTTTTCTCGAGCTTGTACTAACCTTCATCATTCTACGCTTGCCGAATCATCGCCCGATTCTTCACCAACGATTGGTGGGCGGGGAATGACAATCCCCCAACGTCGTGGTTCTTTGGGATCGACTTCGGTACCTCCGTTTTCTACATCCGGGCCAGCGGATAGAACGGCAATTTCAAGCTCTGTATCAAGTGTGAACATGATGGAATCAGATACTAGTAGCAGTGAGGAAGATGACGAACCGATGATTGGCGATAGGGACGACATGATAATGAATACACCCCAAGCCAACAAGATGAATCATTTTGCAGTGGGCAATGTGCCCAGTCCGGGTAACGATTGGATGGGTGGGTATTCGCAGGCAGCAGCAAGTCTCATGAGCTTTCAACGGGCTAGGTTTCGTAAAGGACGCAGTAGACATAGCTCTAGCAGTGCCAGCGGAAACAGTTCGAAACCCAGCCCTGGCCCGCTGTCTCCACCGGTGATGAAGAGCATCGAGAATCAGAATGGTTACTTTGGCTCACGGTCTAGCTTGAGTGCACGGCGTGAAAGCTTGAGTTTGGGTACTCGTGATCTTCGTCTCTCAGATTTGAGTGATGAAGGGGAAAACCGAGGTAACAGCCCAGGTACCTCGAACTCCGAAGGCGGGCCCTTGGGTGTTATTCGACGAGCTGTTACACGTAGAAGTAGTTTATTGGTGAGCTCTTCCATTCCATGATCGTCTGAACCTCCGCTCACACCTCATCTAGCCAAAGACGAAGACCTTCGCACGTATTCGAGCCGCACTGATGGAGGAATCGGCCCCTATCGACTGTGAGGCAAAGCGGGAAGCTGAGGTCATTCGGCAGGTCCGGGAGAGCGAGCCAGAAATTCCGCAGACGTCCCCCAGTTTGGATGCCCTCTCGTCAAGTAATCTCTTCCAGCCAACTGATCTGCACCGGAATCTGGATGACGTGCCGGCGAAAACTGGGACCTCTGTCCCCGATGAACCTAGCTTTAGCGAGGAAGCCCACCGAAATTCTGCTGGTGCTGAGTTTTGGAATTCTTTTGATGAACGGTATCGTACGCCACCGCCGCCGCCTTTACGTCAGATGGGAACTTCGGTATCTGAGGACGACCTCTCCATGGATATCACGCCCTCAACTACCGTGGGATCGACATCTGAGTTTGCGAAACCGAGCGAGAGGCCCAGCTCACGCTGTTCGACTCCAATCGCAACTCAACCAATCTCGATATTGGAATTCAAAAGGAAACGGCGCCGTGAGGACGATTTCGATCCGAACCTGTTCAAGCGAAGGGCGGTATCTCCGAGTATGAGCGTCCAGAGTAGTCCGGTGATGCCTAATTCACCTGCCGTGAGGGATACGGGCAGCAGCATTTGGGGTCCACCCAAAGCCAACATCGGCTCTCTCTTCCCTGACCAGCCGAGCACTGAAAGCGGTACCCGGAATCCATCTACACCCAAGCATACAGGCCATCTGAAGCGAGTGGGCCTGCAAGGGATGACTGAAACGAACGATGGACTCATGAATATGAGCATCGAGTGATAGTCGACGCTCTTGACATCCAGGCGTTCTTCTGCACGAGCCGGGCTCGTTTCTTGTTATCACTACCATAATAGTTTTACTTCTGCATGCCTTTCCTTTCTGGGTTTAATTTAGCGTGGAGCTGTTTTATATTTTGGGCTGGTTGGACATTGCCTTTGATTATTTCATACATGGCGTCAAGTGGGGGCCTTGTGGTTGGGTAACAATAGTACTTTGCTAGTATAGCTCCATCTGCTTCTGATGCATCGACATCATAGATAGCACCTAATCAAAATATCATACTTTAATCAAAATTGCATATAACAGAGGGTTGAATCATACAAGTTGAATAGCCGCGGTCCTCGTTCCCAATGGCCACGTGCGAGGTGCGGGCGCTTACGGCGCTAAAGCTCCCGCTGTTGACACTGGGGAAGCACCGCAGTTTCAGGAGCTCTTTCATCATCTACGGTCGTTTACCTGTCTACTGGATATTTGTTTGCATATATTTTCATACCCTGAAAGAATATATCCACCAAACCTACTCACAACTTGTTCTTAATTGATCGTCCACATGGCATCCACAGTTGACATCGCTTCCTCGTTCATTGAGGGTGCCCCGCCAGGCGAGGTATGCCTGTGAAGTCGAGCTCTACTCCTATGGTATATTTTCGCTGTGTCGCTAACATTGACCTTTTAGCTCGCGGACGTTGTTGCCGGTAATTTTTCTTCCTTCGTTCATATTGCCCACTCCCCGCATTCCAGACTGCATATGCTCCCCCGCCAGAGCTTCCGTACCATCCAAATTCAATAGCTAAACAAGACCGAATGACCAGATGTGAAAACGCTTACCTCTGACGGCGCCGATATCATCCCATCCCTTGCTCCCGCATTTGAGCGATACAATGAGACGCAACTGGCGACCGTGAAGCTCCCCGGGGCGAGTCAGGAGGTGGAGTGATCCTTATAATCGCTGTGGAGAGTCAATGTCTGACAAGGCAATTGCAAAGGTCCTTATCAGCGAATACAATAAACTGGAGGGTAACCGCTACTTTGACGTCGAGAGCCAGACGTCCTTCGAAGTCGATCATGTCACACAAGTATGGCCGCTCTTTGGTGGGGTCTCGGCGGGGACTAAGCTGACATTGGCTTCAGGAAGCCTCCGCGGCGCAGTCGTATGTATTGGATTCGCAAAATGCGGACTTGATGTGAGTTGGTGGATACCGGGTTGGAAGGCTGCTGCTGATAACAATTGCAGCAAATCGCTACTCAAGTCGCTTGGTGCTCACGCCCGGGAGCACTACCCTAATTGCGCCTATGGTGTATACCCCATTGAAAACGACTCTGCGGTGGCAATTTTGCTGGTTTCGAACCGCTACTCACCTAACAACTTCTGGTGAGTCCATATCAGTCGGTTTGTCGGATATAATGGTGCTAATGGGTTATTCGTTAAGGAACGGGCGCTTCCGCGCTACCTACCAGTTCCCTGTTTCTGAGCCCACGACCGTGACCGGCAAGATCCAGGTTGACGTCCACTACTACGAAGATGGCAACGTGGCGCTCAACACGAATAAACCCATCAAGCTTTCCGTCCCATCCACTTCCGCCGAGAGCATCATTTCCCGCATTGCAACTGCGGAGCGCGACTACCAGGAGGACCTGAACCGCGCGTTCGTGCAGATGGCTGAGGGCGCATTCAAGGGCTTGCGCAGACAGCTCCCCATCACACGGCAGAAGGTGGAATGGGAGAAGGTCGGAGGATACCGCCTGGGACAGGATATCTCTGGTGGCAAGGGCCGCTGAAATACCACTGATACGTGGGAATATGCTGGCATAGATGCGGATTGAGCGTTAGCGTGATTAGAAGGATCCATTCTAAATTGATCTTGAATAATGTATAGGCTTTGATAGGGCTATCTCTAGAGCTGTGCTGTTTACAAAAGATAGGTCACTCGCACTAACTGCTAGCTTGTCAACTAATATCTGACGCTGAGCGACAGTATGATTATCATGAACTGTATATAGCGATATCTTGATGCGCCCACAACAAGTACGTTCAAGCTACATTATTAGTATTTATAGTTTCAGAGCTTTGCATATAACACCATAGGAAGAGTACTTCAAGCAGTGATTACCTGACTTCGGTTAAAAGCGTGGCTTTACCTCCTTTGTATATATGTTCCTCGTGCAGGAAGAGGATGCCATAGCTGGTAATTACCGATCTAGTGCTCGTCTTCATCTTTCCCCCTTTGTTAGACTAAGATGGATTGACGGAAACTGTCTCACTCTGATTCAGGAGGTGTCATCTTCACTTAGGCCATTGAAAAAGTCACTGTGATATCGGCTCAAATTTAAGAGAATGCTCACATCCATCTGGATCCTACAGGTCATGGAAACTAGAGCTCTCATTCCATAACAAAGTCTTGGGAGAGATTGAAATGCCACTAAAAAAGGTCAGCTTTGTCGACGATCAGCTGGAAACGTGACCTCTCCACAGTCATTTGCTCTACGCCTGGTTGGTTTTAATATATACACGTACGGGAATACTCTATAGAGATGGAGAAGAATTGGTTGATGCTAAACTCAAGACAGCTCCATTGCTGAGTGAAGTACGAGGTACTCCGTCCGATGTGTCTTAATGATGTGGGAAACTGTTTCTAGTCATGCACCAGCGCTACGTCAATTAACTTGTTTACTGCACTCACGACGGTCCCAGGGGCATCCAAGTTGGCAGTCGCATCCCGGAGGTCAGCCACAGTCCATTCACAAATACCAAGGCAAGGGATTGACCTCGAAAATAGAAGGAACCATGTGATATTACATATAAGAGGGCTCTTCGCCCAGGTTGCAATTTAGCAACGGTCCTACGACTAAGAGATTCTACACGGCTCAATCGCAACCAAAGCAACTCCGGTTGAGGATGCTACTCAGGCTGTTTTTGACAGCGATTGCTGCCGCGACTTGTCAAGCCGACCTTGAGTATGACTTTGTAGGGCCACTGGGGATCATTTTTCCGCTCCCACCATCATCTTCTAATACTCTCAATAGGTTATTGTCGGGGGCGGCACAGCCGGTCTTGCCCTGGCCTCACGACTAAGTCGTGGACTGCCGGAGAGTTCTATCCTTGTGCTGGAAGCTGGCCCTGATGCCGCGAACGAGCCTCGCATCAATATCCCGGCTATGATGGGCTCGGCCATCGCATCATCGTACGACTGGAATTTCACTACTGTCCCACAACAGCATGCGGGCAACCGTTCCCTGGCTCAAGGCCGAGGAAAGGTCCTGGGCGGAAGTTCCGCGCTCAACTTCATGGCGTGGAACAGAGCCAGTAAGGTCGAGTATGACACATGGAAAAAGTTAGGAAATGATGGATGGGACTGGTCAGAGATGATCCGCTCTATGCTCAAAGCTGAGAATTTCACTTTGTCAGACAAGTACGGTGACCAAGGCGTAGGTTTTGGTGGTCCCGTCCAGACGATGATCGGTGATTGGGTGCCAGAACACCAGGAGTTCTTCATGGAAGCGTTGAAAACCCTGGATGTGACAGAGAACCGCAATTCACTGGGAGGAAATGTTCTTGGCCGCGTGTTCCAGCCTTCAAACGTCCGGTATTTCGATCGGAAAAGGTCGTATAGTGCCCACCACCCAGGATATCCCTCGCTTGCAGGACCCAATCTTCATATACGGGTAGAGACTAGGGTGCGCAAGATTGATTTGGTGAGTATGGATCGAGGAGATCTGGTAGCAACAGGCGTCACTCTGGAAGATAACACAACTGTCTGGTCAAAGAAGGAAGTCATTGTTGCTGCTGGCACCCTGCAAAGCCCCGGCCTGTTGGAGCTCTCCGGAATCGGTCAGAAAGATGTGCTGCGTGCTGCCAATATCCAACCGCTAGTTGATCTCCCTGGTGTTGGAGAGAATCTGCAGGATCATCTGCGAATTGAGAGCTCCTATCGACTTCTCCCCAACTACACCTCGCTCGATCTGCTTCAGACAAATACCACTTTCGCGAAAGAGCAACTGAAAGCTTATAATGCAGGTAAAAAGTCCATATACGACTATACTGGGGGTAGCTACGCTTTTCTTAACTGGACTGGCGTGGCTGACGAGCCTACGCGCATGGAATCTTTAGCACGCAAAGCCGCTGATAAACCCCTCTCATCGTCGCCCATCGAGCGCATCAGAGCTCATATTCAGCTTCATCAAATACAACATGAAGAAGAGAATGTTCCACAGGTTGAGATAATCTCCGGAGATGGATATCTCGGAACAAAAGGGTACCCACCAAAGACATCTCCACTCTACGGTTCAAACTTCTTCACGTTGATCGCAGTCATGCTGCACCCCTTCAGTACGGGGTCGATACATGTGACGTCGTCCTCGATCTCGACAGCTCCGCAGATACAACCAAACTACTTCTCCCATGAATATGATATCCAGGCTCTCGCATCTGCCGCGAAGTACATGCGTAAGTTGGCATCAACAGCCCCTCTCCGGCACGCCTGGACCGAAGAATACGAACCAGGCCTTTCGGTGGTTGGTGATGGGCCCGATAGTGATAAACAGTGGATGGAGTATGTAATCAACAGTGCTTCAACAATATGGCATTCTGTCGGCACATGTGCGATGTTACCGCAGGAACTCCATGGGGTGGTCAATGGAAATCTGACCGTGTATGGCACGGAGAATCTTCGGGTGGTCGACGCCAGTGTCATTCCAGTTTTGTTATCCGGCCATCCACAGACAGCTGTATATGGGATCGCTGAAAAAGCGGCGGAGATAATCATTAACCGTTGGCAGTAGATAGCTTGTGGACCATTGTATGGACGTAGTATACTAGCCTGTAAGATCGAGTACTACTGGCCTATGACCACAAGTCTTGGTATTAGGATTAGACTCCGGGAAATGCATAGGAGCATCTGAATATTAGCCAGTTTTCTCCTTAGAGTTGCCAGGGAAGCTCTATAGTCTTACAACATACTCCTGAGTCCACTTGAATAGAATTTGATATCGATCACGTGGACATGATGACCCCATCGTCCTTAGAATGATGTAGAGAAATACATAATACAGAAGGGGTTAGCAAAGGACGAATAGCAGGATACACTCTCAGATTAATACCTCTGATTTATGCATGGCGATCCATAATTTGCTCTTTGCTTCTCCACGGGGGTGACACACACCTTACGTCAGGGCAATCTCACACCGAACACATAGATATAGAGCAACTATATATATTTCTGAGGTCAATCAACTGATCCTACGCGTATAAACCTATTTTCTAGTAGTTGAATTAGTTGTTCTGTCCTTCGGCATCTCCGCTCATCCGCTGCACGAGAAGTACAACTATATAAAAGTCACCATGTTGTCGAATATGCCACGCCTCTCCCCCGTTTCCTCCAAACCCATCCTGAAATCTGCCTCCCAACAGGTCCCGAAAGTCGCATGTTCGATGGGACCTTGCAGATATCTAACTGCGACAACACCCGCAGAGAAGAATGTAACCCTGCTCCAGGATAAGAAGAATGGATTCGGGTTCGCACGGTCCAACCCTAGGCCGCCAAAGCCGAGGAGCAAGGGTGTCACCGAGATCAGGGGCCCGTACTACACGGTATGCACTATATACTTTTGCAATTGTACCGTTGATTGCAGTTGGGCTGATGATATGCGATGCACTATAGGTGATGGGCAAGAGATACCTGGCCGATGTGCTTGAAACGTATGTTCAGCAGCAACGCCGATAATAACATAGTGTTGCTAACGTACGGCTTACAGAATGGGGACTCACGTGGATGGTCTCAAGTTTGCAGGAGGTAGGTGCAGCGTCGAGTCTTGTCGAACCAACGATCTGACCCCGGTTATAGGCTCTTTTTCACTGTTTCAGGAGAAGCCCTTGAGGGAGCTGATTGATCTGGCTCATGAGCATGGCGTTTATGTTTCGACGGTGAGTTTTCCCTGTACAATGATTGGGTTTAAGGGGGCATATCGTCTAATTTAGATGTGTAGGGTGGATGGGCCGAACACCTCCTCACTCATCCAGATACAAATGCTGTCTTTGACAAATACTTCCAGAAGTGCAGGGACCTAGGGTTTGTCGCCATTTGACCTAGTTGTGCGCCACATACACCATACTGACACACCAGTACTACAGCTTTGACGTAGTCGAGCTCTCATCCGGCTTCCTATCACTCCCCGAAGACGACTGGCTGCGCCTCGTCGACAAAGTCCACGCATACAAGTTAAAAGCGAAGCCCGAGCTGGGTATTCAATTCGGCGCAGGCGGCGACACCCCAGCCGCCGGCCTAGAGGCAACCGGCACCTCGGATCCTGGAAAGCTGGTCAGCTTAGGCCATAAGTTCCTCAACGCGGGGGTAGAGCGCCTGATGATCGAGTCCGAGGGCATCACGGAGAATGTACAGTCCTGGCGCACGGATGTGGTGTCCACGATCATGAAGGAATTGCCGTTGGAGCGCGTAATGTTTGAGGCTGCAGATCCAAAGGTCTACAATTGGTATATCCGGGAGTTTGGTATTGATGTCAACCTTTTTGTCGACCATAGTCAGATTGTGCAGCTGTCGTGCTTGCGACATGGTATCTGGGGCACGGCTGATACATGGGGGAAGATTGTCTCTTTCCGCCCTGAGTAGATGACTCTGTTTTTGCGAGTCTCATGTATTTTCTAGCTACATAGTGGTAATGGGATGTTTCAATTCGATATACACGAAATGGTAGTATGGATTGATGACGATAATTGAATGAGTGTGGGCAGGCGGTCTGGGCGATGCTTAATAATCCGGCGTGGATGTGCTCCGCATTTTGTTCCGGGGAAAGCAAACCATCCCGACTTAATCCTCTTCGCAATGCAATTTCTCTCGCTAGACACAACTAACCACGTCGGCAGGGTGACTAGCCGTGATTATCGATCGCCTGGTATAGACCGAGGAGTCATGTCTTGAGTAGCCTTCAGTCGGCCGGAGTAGGCGACCCTCATCACAGATCGAATATCAAATAACCACCGGACCCCGCGACTTGGCACTTCGGCATTTACTCTATTCGCGGCAACTTCGCTCGGCCGGTTACGAACTTCAATTTAACCTGAGATCCGGAGTCTATATCCATCAGGTGCCCCATTTGTGTCATGCCGAAGGTCACCGCGCCTCCGGGTGGCCGGCTACGATGCCGACGAGCGTGCGATAGTTGTAAGCGGAGGAAGCAGAAATGCAATGGAGAGCAACCATGCACAATCTGTGTTCAACGCCACAAAGAATCAGAATGCCATTTTTCGGACAAGCCGGCCCGCTTGCTGAAGCCCAGCGAGAGCTCGAAAGATACAATGTTGCTCAGCGAACGCCTTGTGCCTACTCCGCAAAGACAAACCGCCATGGACCGACTGCTGAACTCCCTCGAAGATCGTAGCGCAAATCTAGAACAACAGGTGGTGGATGATAAAGACGGGACGGCTCCGGTTCCGAAGGTGGCCAGGCTTCTTCGCGATGGACAAGGTAAATTCATGTACATTGGCGACTCCGCGAGTTTGTCCTTTCTCCAAAGTGTCCGTCGCATAGTATCCTCGTCAATTGGCCGTTGCGAATTCACGGAAGATAATTCACGCCATTCAATGCTTGAGGCTTTTCAAAGTAGCTCCACTACACAGACGGGACCATTGATACCGCCCCCAAGAAATGAAGAAGCTCAACAATTGGCTCGCCAATATGTTCTTGCAACTAGTCCCCTATTGAATCTCTTTGACCTTGAGGAATTCCATCCACGACTGGCCAATTGGATTGAGAACCCAACGGGCGACGAAGACACCGTGAGCTCAATATTTTATCTAGTGCTCGCCATTGGGGCCCAAGTATCGGATACCAACCACACCCTGGCGGAGAAATACTTTATCAGTGGGCGTCAGCTGGCATTTTCGGCTTTTACGGAGACCCCCAGCATCTCCACTATACAGTCATATGTCCTCATTTCAATGTATATGCTGGGTGCTTGCCGTCGCAACGGCGCTTTCATGAATCTGGGAATTGCTCTTCGTGCCGCGTATGCGGTCGGCATCCACAGGAAAGATGCGAACACGCTCTTCTGCACGCGAGAGCGGCGTGCCCGGGAACGTGTGTGGAAAAGCCTGCGCATGATGGATCTCTTCCTCAGCGCCTCTCTGGGTCGCCCTCCAGCCACGACGGACTTTGACTACGACCCACACGATGGCAACACGCCAGGGGCACAACAGCGCCTGCAGCCGGAAGAGCAACTTTCCCTGACGGTTGTTTCGCTATGTCGTATTTTCGAGCGGATCCTTACGGAAGTTTACATGAGGCAGGTGGTGTCGATTAGTGTTGCGGACAGCATCTCGAATCAACATCGCGCGTGGGTCCGAAACCTGCCAACCTTCCTACGAATGCAGACAGAACGACTTGATGCTGCCAAAACTCTCGAGGACACCTTGGCTGCAGCCCATATATTCGGCTCGTATTACTGGTCGATTATTCTGTTGACCCGGCCATTCCTGGTCTTCCGAGTCTCTCAGTATGTGAAAAATAAAAGCGAGTCAGGACTTTCCGAGAGTAAAGTCAACAACTCGCGACTCTCGCTTTTTGCCGATGCATGCGTTTATTCCGCATTGCGCAGTCTCAACGTCGTTGACGATCTCTCTCAATACTCGTCCCTGCCGCGAAGGCTTCCATTCTTAATCAATTCCGTTTTCAACTCGGCTGTTGTCTTAGGGGCGGCATTCTTTGCTGACTATGACAATCTGCTCCCACTGGAAGAGGGCTTGAACAAGGCCGAAAAGTTCCTTGGTTTGTTCGTTCCGCATGATCCTCATGCCTGCCGCTTTTTCCAAATCATCAAATACCTGCGAGGTGCAGTTGGTGAATACGTCCGCCGCCGGAATCGTCAATGGATGGAACGTCGTAGCAAACAAGTCGACCAGCTTTTTGGCGAAGTAGGCCCGTCCAACGAAGCTTCAAGCACTAGTAATAACCACCACACCATTTCAACCAACCGCGGGGATCAAGCAACAGTCCCGTCTCCTCTATCCCCAGACAAATTTGCCGACGGGCCCCTCCCCTCCCAATCTATAGAGCAAACAACTGCTACAGCCCACCCTGATGACGGTATCTGGGATGCCTTATGTGCCACTGAAGGACCCTTCCCATACGACACAGCCATTTCCACTTTGACGACGACAGGCATTCCCATCGGTTGCTCACCAGGAGGTACAATCCCTACTGGCCCACATGGAATGCCGGACAACGAAGGCCAAACACCTCTCTCTGATATGATCCTTTCAGATAATGGACTCCTCTATATGGCGGAGGATCTTCCTGTGTTCGGGCTTTGGGGAGAGACTTGATTTTATGTCACCTCTCCGTACAAATTTCACTTCAACCTTTGCTGCATCTCTTCCGAGACTGGCCTTTCTCTATTTGGCCCTCTTCGATCCCCACAGTATCTGCATATACCCCTGGAGCAAGATGAGTTGTACATTTATCCTCTGTATTTATGACCAACTTTATGACTATATGACCCCTTTGAATTAGGAGCTGGGCGTTGTACTAGCGTTAGACGAGATGTTACATACAAAGCCCTAGTTATTTATTCCATCTGGAATGCTCTGGTAGTCTGAGTTCAGTGGGACTAGGGCAGTCGTACAATTTCTGTCGGGCCCTCGGGAGTTACGCATGAGGTCAGAAACCCCAAGATAGGGCTGCTAAACCCTAATAGATTGTCAAGCGCGTGATAAGTTAGGGACCTTGGCATCGGCATTTGTAAAGTCACAGTTGCCTTAACTAAAGAAAAGGTGTCAAAGCTCCAGCTGTCCTAGTTCGGTGCGGTCCTTGCGCTCAATCTCCGCTAGCCCCAAGAGAACAGCCTGATAGGCTCTCTCAGTCACACTATGTCGAGCTATCCAAGATAGGTTCATCATCGACGCGAAGGATACGCTAAGCCGCCACACGGATCAGGTATGCAGGAACTGATACGATGACAGTGCAATAATGACTCGTAATCATCCGGAGGGGCGGTTTTAGCGCCTTGAATTAAATCAGGGAAGGATTCAGCTTCGCTCGAAGAGTCCCTGATAACCACTGCTTCAATTCCTCGTCGCACCACAAAGCCTTATCCCACCATGCGAATACTGCTTCTACTCCTGATACAGGCTGCCGTGGCAGCAGCAGCGCCCGATCAATTCCAGCACTGGTACAAACAATTCCGCTCGCAGATCGAATTCGTCCTCAACAACAACTGCTCCGAGCAGTACCACAACTACCTCAACCAAACCCCCGGCTTCAACCCAGAATACCAGCTCTGGTATGACCCGACAAAGGGCAGCGCCTTGACCGCGCCCCTGGTCTCTTGTATGCTAAGCAACCTCCCGGAAAATGTGAAAGCCAACATGGCCAACGCAGGCGTTATCCTCGGCCTCTTGCCGACCATGCTCTCCATGCTGGGTTCCAACACAGTCGACACTGCCATCCTGGCACGGGTCGCAGGCCGACCATTCCTCTCACTGTGTTTGGCCCTAGGATCACCGGCCGTTCTCCCGGACCGACCCTTCGAATACCCCAACGTGAAAGCACTCCTCGGCGCCGACGGGGTAAAGAAAAGGATCACCATCGCGAAACCGGGCGGGAGGACATGGATCCTCATCTCGGCACTGGAGTATATCGTCGCGTTAGGCGCCGTCGCGAATATTGCAACCGTCTGCTACCAGCTAGGCATCCGGTGCATATGCAACTACGCGACGGAAGTCACCGCGCAGCCGCTTATCTGGGCGTTCATCATCGCACTGATTCATATCGGGGGAATGATCGCTCTATCACTCCGCTACCGTGTCATCCGACACCCTGTAGTAGAACCACGTTTTAATACCCGGCTGGATTGGTTTCGGGCATATCTCGTCCGTGAGATCACCCCATCGTTATACGCTACTCCTGCCCCAGACGTCGACGAGATCGAAGAATCGTATCTATTCCTGTTGTTTTCTTGGTGTGTCTCCACCGGCGCAGTGGTTCATATCTTGTATGGCACGATGGTGCTATCCAGTCTATTGTTTATTTCAGTTCAAGATGCGCTCGCTAACGCCGGGCGGTTCCTCGCGTCGGTTATATGTTGTCGGGCTGTGTTGGCGTATGAGCTGGCTGGGCTGAGGCAGGCGAGGGCTGGGAAGATGGATATTGGGGAAGGGGCTGGGGTCCATGAGTTGAGCTGTAGGTGAGTAGGGGATATGATACGGGTGTCACGATGTATTGCTATACTTTAACTGTATTCTTCCGTCAAGTCTGGACTGTCGCAGCCTTGTGTCAAGGATTTAAAGCACTGAATTGGAAGATATGATATGAGTTTGATAGTGTGGTTGGCTGATCGTGATCTTTGGGCGTGTTATATATAAATTAGATCGTATCTCTACCGAGTATAACTTAATTTAGTATACTATGTTAGTACTCAACTACTATATAATCATTTTTAAATAATTGTACAGACAAGCAATCATGCAACTTGATAAACAGTTTTACTTTAGTGAGTTGCAAGATAATCCCACTTCAAAAGCCGATCTCGAAGACATCCGTAGCATGACCTTGCATGATAGTACCCCCTCACACAAAAGCCAGGAATCGTACCTCTTAAGATACAGACCGTTACAACTGCATAGAACGACAATAATACAATTCTGGAAAGATAGCACGCTACCTTATATTTCCTATATTTTTTTTCATAAGCAACTAACTGAAGGACAGCCTCCGAGCGGTGTTACAGTAATGTAATCATCTCCGTCAACGAACAGAGAGTCTGTGCGAGCCCGAGTCATGAACCATCCGGGAGGGTTTATGCCAATCAGTTTGTTGGTTCCGGCGGTCCCTCCCGGCGCTAAGGGGACCCGGTAGTTTCATTCATTATCATCATACCTGACTAGGATATGAGCATGATGGCGTATATTAGTGCAGATATTTGCAGATACTATTCTTATCTGGAGATTCCATGTAGGAAGGAAGTCCCGGTATAGTCTTGCTTATGTATCATACCACTCAAAGACAACTAACTTCCATCTCATTCAACCTAACTGAACCTATAGGCCATGACATCAAACGTAGGTTGTTAACATGTAACACAAGACCACAGCCACAACTAGGCCACCATCCCCGTCAATCCCTGTCTCCACGCATCATCCAGGACCCGAATCCACACTTCCACAATCCCCCTTTCCCACGCGTTATATCCAAACTCAACCAATCCACTTAACCGCACTTGCCATGCTTGACAATGTCATGGGTGCTACCGTGGCAGGTAATCTTGCGGTTATCGCGGGAGCAGCCAGCAGAGCCACCACCGGGCTGAACCACACGACGGGGCTCGTTGTCGCTACCGCAGTCGGCGAGATGATAGGCCTTGTTGTTGAAATAGAAGGTCTGGTCGCAGGGGCTGTCGGTGAGCCTGGTCAGGACGCGGGTGTTCGGGCAGGCGCTTTCGCCCTCGATCCAGACGACCCAGTGGTTGGCCTGGTCGTTGTTCTGGAGCTGCTGGCCGTATCCGACGGCGACGGTGCCGGGCACGGGGGCTGGCACGGGGGCTGGGGAGGCCAGGACGGCCGTGATGAATGGGAGGGTGGAGAGGAGGTTTTTGAGCTGCATATTTGATCCGTTGGATGAACTTGGTTTGTTGTTTTTGGTTTCTTGTGATGGAGTGAATGAAGCTGTTTGCTGTGATGATGAAGTTGGATTGGAGGGATGGGGAGGGGCCCTTTTATACCTTTCTTTGAGGGCTGCTTTTGTAATCGGGGATTCGGATTCGGATTCAGCGATGGTGGACTGGTCCGGTGTGATCCTTCAAGGCCACCATCCGGCCTGATGTTTAGACGACCGGATCACTTAGCTTCGAGAGCGTTACATCACATGGTTGTCCTGCAGGGATTCTTTCTTGATGCTGGACTTGTAGCCTCCGTGGGTCCCTGTAAGGATATGCTGACCTGTGCCTGATACTAAACAGGAACAGTTTGACGTCCGTCCAATGGTAATCTTACAGTGCCCAACAACTAGTGACAATCACCAATCGAAGGAGCACTGTATAGAAGACCCCACATCGCCAGTCAATAGCAGTGATGATCACTGGTGGAACAAGTAATGCTCTTCATGGATGTCCACCTTCCTCCGGCGAAGCCAGAACCGGAAGCAGTGACTCCATGAGAGCCGCAGGGGGATGTCTGCAAAGGCAAGGCCAGTAGAAGGCTTACAGAGGCCGAGTCAACATCCACAGTGAGGCAGCAGACAGGAGTGGCGATCAGGTATAGCAGTGACCGGGAAAAAGCCTCCTTGCATCTGAGTCAGCGGCTGTTGCCCCTTATCCGGCTTCCCCGGCTTCCCAGTATCTCGTGGCTGTACAGGTAGTACCCACAAATGCTTCTGGCCTCACGTCGAGGGCACAGGAATGGTGAAGGTGACTGCTGCAGGGTTCCTACTCCCCACAGTTGTCGTACCAAGAACCTTAGTCTATGGCTTGATTATGCGGCGCTAAATGGACCCTGAAACTTGTTGAATGATATAGAACGGCCCCCAATCCTGGCTAACCAAAAAACCAGAAGTAGGTCCCCCTTGTGGAGCCCTACTGAATGATCGATGAGATGCCATTGGCTTGACATCTTTTTCAGCTCTACCCCGATGGATCATGATGCGACACTTACACTTTGGGTACTGACTCGTAGATAAGGGGATCGGAGTGAGCGGATTAATATTCAGAAACATCCTTTATGCTTCTGGATAGTAGCTCCACAGATCGAGCTCCCGACGTTGCAAGCTTTTGAAGAAAAGCCAGAGGGTTCACAAACGTGCTATCAAGCCGAGGCATTAGCGCAGATCAAAGTACACGAGCAGTCGAATAAGCTTAGGGCGAAAGCATCTCAGCCGAGGTCCCTGAAGATCATGGGCTATGCGCGAAGCACTCCGTAGTAGGCCGGGCAATCACTTTCCCAATGAGGCTGAGAGTAGGACGCCTAAAAGGCGCTAACCGCAATGCTGAAGGCTGAGGCTCGGAATCCCCGCAAGCCATTTAGCCTCATAAAAACAGGGAAACGGGAGCCGAGCCGGGCCGGATCCAGGCCTTCTCCGTAACCCCACACGAGTCAAATCCCGGGTCATACGACGAGCAGATACTCTTCATGTAGAACTAGCCAGGAACTCTCAAGGTTCCCTCACCTTCTGTAGCCATCGCCGACGGCATTCTTCTGCTTTGTAAGGCTGAGGTTCTACAGCCCCTTTCCTCTGTAAGGCCACGAAACACTTTTCCCGGGTTTTGATCCTCTCTATAGCGCGGTGTGATATGGCAATGGGCTTGCAGATACGAAGATGCAGCAGGTTCTGTATGATGATTAGTTATCACCCCGACGGCCTACTACCCCGTGAGGGATCAGGGTCCTGTTTCCCCTTTGGGGAATTGGTCTTTGGCTCTACTGGCTCTGGCAGTAACTGTTGTGCGTACATCAATTAGGTGGCAAGAGAGGAGCTGTTATGATATACAATAAATAAAGTAAAGAAAGAAAGAGTGCAAAAAAAAGAAGGGCCCGAACCGCGGTTCGAACGCGGGGCCTCTCGCAGATTGGTACTATATAGCCCACTAAGAGTATTTATTAGTATCGATGATATTGATGGAATGGCGACGAGGTCTCCTTACAAGCGAGAATCATACCACTAGACCATCCGGGCTGATGTCATTGTTGACCTTATTTCGTCTCTCAATGTGAAACCCAAGGAACCATGAACGAAGCTCTTTGAACATGGAGAGACAGCGTGCGCTTTTCGGGTCTGTATTGCACGGTGCTGCAAGATTTATCGAAGCGAATGCACTTGGTGCTTAATTTGTTACAATGCTGTGCTAGTTCTATATTCTTAAGGGGGATGCAACCAAACTGCCAGTGAGATGTGAAAAGTTTATGGCTTCATGGAAGTACTAATTGCCCCACCACGCTACTTAATATGGTACGCTTCTATACAACTGGGATGTGGGAGCTGCAGCCGTGGCTGGCAGTGCTCTGCTTCTGATAGTTGGCTCCACTTGCCAACGACCCTGTCATAGTATTATTAGAGTACCCCTCTATGTATCGTACAATATGACTAAGAAAAGCAGAAAGGAGGTAACAAGAATAAGAGCACTTCTACTATCGGCCCGGCACCCTACTCCAGAGTAGAGAGTGAGAGAGAGGTATAAAGGCACAGTTCAGCAGCTCATCCAACCAAAAGGATATTTTTCCAGAGTCCCCAAACATACATTAATGTAACATAAGAAAACGTTGTATCGAGACAGTCAATCTGAGACAGGTAATTGGGAGTATCAAGTACCAATCAGGAACAAAAGAAACAGAACAGAGGTCAAGTCATATCTTTAGGATCACGCATTGCCTGGACAATGATAACCAAGAACAGAAAGAAAAAAAGAAATAAGAACGGCAAATCTAGCTGGCTGAAGCTGCGTCAGGGGGACACATGCGAGACATTGCTCCAAACATGACTGCGTAGATCGAGATTGTGGGCCAAGACGTTTAGTACGCATTACGGCGTCAGAGGTAGGAAGACGCGAGTTATTTATGGTTAGCGCGGGAAATCGCCGATGTGAAGAGTAAATAATGTATAAGATATGTGTCATGTGCCGCGAAAGCAAAAACGATTATATACATGTTCAGATTAAAAACCGAACGGATTTGTGGGCGCTGTGGAAGATAGTTAGTAGCCGCCTAAGAGATGTATGCATTGCTTGGCGGAACTTACTGGCTTGTGCAAGATTAGCCCGGAGACCTGTCGGCTGGGGAGCGAGCTTCTTTGGAGCGTCATGCTTGACACCAAACCTGATTGGGGGTGCGGGCCCAGTCTTCTGTGGGGTCAGAGGTGCAGCCGTTGGCTGCTGAGGAATTGGTGGGATTGGCGGTGGCGACGTAGTGTTGTAAGGCATGCTGCCAACGCCATTCATACCGGTGGGTTGAGGCTGCAGGGGTTGGGGAAGAACGGAGTTGATGCCGGTTTGCATTGGCTGTTGCGGCTGTGCCTGGAAACCGAAGCCAGTGGGTTGCGGGGCAAGTCCCTGGAAGCCCGCTTGCTGTTGCTGTTGCTGCTGGATTCCAAATTGAGATTGCGGTTGGAAGCCAGTGGGTTGTGGCATCAAGCCATTTTGGAACTGATTTTGGGGCATGAACGCAGTTGGCTGTGGTTGGAGTGGTTGCTGGAACCGCTGCTGGGTTAGTTCGGCCAGACTCTGACCTGGAGCAGCGAGTGGCGGTCCAGCTTGAGGTAGCCCTGTCAGCTGAGGCTGCAGTGGAGGGAGGCCAAAAGAGCTTTGCTGTTGAGGGAAGTTCTGGGGTGCAGAAAGTGGTCGCTGAGGCGGAGGGGGAAGCAGCGAATTTTGACCCATAGTCTGAGGAGCGTGCGGGCGTGGTCTGGAAGCTTGCTGGAACCCAGTGGCTTGGGGACTGAATCCCTGCGTGGGGTTCTGGAGTGGCTGCTGGAGCGGCTGCTGTGCCGGCTGACCCAATTGAGAGAAGAAACCGGGAGTAGCGCCCGTTTGTTGTGGCTGTTGGGGGGCAGGCGCGGGTACAGCAGTTGGCTGAGGCTGAATGACTGGAGGTGCCTGTGACGGAGGTTGTGAAGCGGGAGTCGGTTGGGTAGGAGTTGGCTGTAGCGGAGGGTGAAGCACGGATAAGTCTGCCATTGCCCCTGTAAGTTGCTGTTGTGGTGGCTGCGTTGTCACGGGCGAGGCTGCAGCAGGGGAAGCCGGCGTTGCAGCCGCTGGAGCTGCTGGAGCTGGCGCGGGAGCAGTCTGCTTAGGCTGTTTGACCTCCCATGCATCGTCATCAAAACCACGCTGGACAGGCTTTTCCGGAGCCGCAGAAGTTGGAGAGGCTTCCTTTGGCTCCGCGTGGTTAGAGTCTTCCTTCTGCGCGAAAGCCTTGGGATCGACCACATCTCCGGTCTGCACAGCCGGCGCTGGCCTGCCCTTACGCGTATTGTTGCGCAGAACACCTCCTGGACCCGCGAAGAGGCTACCGCCGTCTTCACCATTGCTGATGACTTCCTCTCCGCCGAAGCTTACGTTGCGCAACTTAGACTTGGCTCCAGTACGACTGAACATGGTATCCAGGTGGCGCATCACTCGTAAGATATCGCCTTCCTTCAAGCCAAGCGTGCGAAGTACTTCTGGCGTAATATCCGGAAGAATGCTCTCGTCCATCGAATCCTTGGTGAAATTCTGCGCATACCTCTCACATTGGTGTGGACCGACTCCTGCTTTCAGGAAGAAATCGAACCAATCATAATCGGACTGCTGGAACGAAGCTCCAGCAGACTCGGAGCGTTTGTTCTCAGCCGAAGGTCGAGATCTTTCAGGTTCTCGCTGTGTTGAACGACGCTTGATGTCGGAGAGTGGCTTGTCCTCGTCCAGTGACACTCCCGTCACCTTCTCAACGTATTCCAGGTCCTGAATAGACATTTTCGGGATAGGGACCGCGATCTTGACCCCGTTCATCTTGTGCAGATGGATCTTACCGTCTTGCAGACCGATGAATTGAGCCTCCACAGTGAAAGTTTTGGTACGATCGGTCCATTGTCTCGTCTTGGCTGGGTCTGGCTCTTGGGGTTCGTTAGTATGACCAATCTCCTGACACAGTGAAGGGGGAAAGGGGAACTTACTCGACTTCTGGCTGCTACGGCTGTCACGCTTGTGATGCTATAATGGAAAAGATAATCGTTAGCGTTTCTAATAACACCATTATATATCGGCCAAATAGCCAACGGACAGCGCCTACCTCTCCGCGGGGCGAATCAATTGAATCGGTTCGTGACTTGCGCAAAGCCTCCTTGGCCAACCTTGATTCTTCGAGACGGTTTCGCTCCACTGCCGACAAGCCCGAGTCAACGCCTGATGGCTGACTGCTGGAGGCATAGCCGGTGATCTCGACATAGCTACTTGGGACTACGCCCTCCTTGCCATTCTTCACGCGCCGGACCATCCACCATTCCTCAGACTTGGTGTCATCAAGGACGATGACTTCATCGCCAACACTTACACCCACTTCATCGTCTTGCTGTGCCATGAAGTCATAGAGAATCTGACCCTTCTTCTGTCCTCCCCCACCGGAGCCAGCCGCAATGACTTCCCTCAAGCCCTCTGCGCGGTAGGCTCCGGAGATTTCACCAAGTGCCGCGACAATCTCTCTGGCGGTGTCTTTTGCGCCGGCATGGAAATCAATGCTTTTGCTGGGGCGAACCAGGTCGACAAAAACGTGCTTCCCTTCAATGGAGTAATGAGACAGCTTGTCAGCTGTCCATTCCTGCTCTTCCCCATCGTCTTCCGGCGAGATGAAGATCGTCCCAGTAGCAATGTTGATACCCAGGGTTGTCGGCATCTTCTTCCTTTTGCCCATCACCTCAACCATTTCATTGACATTGTAGATGTGATAGCCGGAAGGAGAACGGGGTGCAGGGCCGACTCTGTTGTACGGCGGGGACTCTTTCACATGTCCTTTACTATCCTGCTCCTGCGCCAAGATGATCTGAGGAGGGCGTGCCGGGAGACCCGGGGACCGGGGAGACTCTACACGCGGAGATATCTGCTGGGATGGGGGACGTTGTGGGAGGGCCGGCGGCGGCGGCGAAGGCTCCCGCTGATAGCTTGGTTCGGGCTCATACGATGGCTGGGGCTGCGGGGGTGGCGGCACTGCCCTGGTGGCTTCGGGCTCTGCATGCTGTTTGTGAATTATATCAGCAATCGCCGCGGCGGCTGGGTTCTGAACGGCGCCGATGGGCGAGCTTGAGACAGGGCTGCTGGCCTCTTCTGTCGGTGCCGCCGTTGGGCGCTGCGGGAGTGTCGGAGGTGCGGCTTCGGCGGGAGGAGCAGGGACAGATGATGCTGCGGGAGCGTGGGCAGCCTGTTCAACAATCTCGATATAATTTGCCGGGGCGAAACCGAAATCCCCGCTGACCCCAACTAGGGTCCAGTCCGGGTCCGATATGTCGTACACCACCAGTTCTGCATCTTCGGAGAAGGATACCTCTTCGTCTGTTTGGCGTGTGTAATCAAATAGCGCTTTGGCAGAGTGAATTGGCTGGGCCTGTATATTCAATTCGGTTCCACAGTCAGTAAATGTCCGATTCAACGGTGATCCACTCTCTACCCCTGAGGGTGGGAACGAACAACCACCAACTCCGGTCAGAGGACGGGAGGCCCGGAGGACAACAGCAATGCCTCATGTGAATTCCAGGTTGCACAGCAAAGTGCGATAGGATGCATCCTTACCTCCTCTATGTAGTTATTAGGCACAAGACCTTCGGGCTCGTCCTCATCATCGTGTTCCGCCTTCTTCTTGGCCTTCCACCAATCGTCTTCGTCGTTGCTCTCCAGGAGGTATAATAGGTCACCCTCGCGAAGCTCTAATTCACCTTGCGCCTGAGGGTGATAGTCATAAAGGGCCGTGTACACACCGAGGAAACCCATGGTGGGCGCCGTCAGCTGGCAAACCGGGATAGAATTCCGGCTATCGTAGAAGGAGTTGTTGTATTATTGCAGCTGCTGCTCCCAAGAGCAGCGGTTCTAAATGGTCGTGTAACCAAATGGTGCTCCCGCTTGGGCCCTGAGGGAGATAGCGGAGAGTAGACTCAAAGGTCGGGCGATGGTCGATGGGTCGGTCGGGGGGGTTAGTTAGTTCGTGGTGGTGGGCTTGGCAATTACGCAGTGGCAGTACTTCAGGTACCGATATCGAGCCCGAGGCCGCAGCACCGCAACTGTCGGATAGGACGGGGAAGGATGAGGAGAGGGTGAAACGGAGAGAACTCCCGTGTGAGCCGTTGACCGGGCGGGGTGGGATAGGGAAACGAGAGAAATGTGGGAGAGAAAGGGTCGAGTCGGAAGAGTTTCAGGGAGAGACAGACACACGAGGGAGGGAATGGAGGAAGTTGGCCGATCCGTTCGTGGTTTGGTTTACTCCTGTGGAGGCTGTGAGGGGGTGCAGCCTTAGGCATCAGAAGCGCCCGGTCACGTTTTCTGCACTGCCTTATCAACCACTGCTGACGAGTGAGTCTGTTATCCGAACTTCCTTCTTGTATACTGCGTGCTCAGACAGTCAGACAATAGGTGATGGTATTCCTACAACCTGATTGATCTTCAAGGGTACCCCGAAGACCGTAAAATGGCCGAAGAAGAAGTGACACCATGTATTAAAGAGCTAGGGCTGCTTGTTGCTCAAGTATTACGGCTAAGCTCTATTATCTCTATACATCATACCAAAAGCCTGGAGCACGATATAGATCCCAATAACCCTCAGATGAGAGGTCCACGCTACAAGTTTATTCGCACCTCTCTGACAGCCTCATACATATATCCATCTACAGTGCTACCTACACAAAGCACAACCCTAAATAAGGCAGATAGAGTCACACACACGTCTTCCCTCTACCCCATCCATGGCTCAACACACCATCCAAATCTACACAGCAGGCAGTAATAATCACCACCATCATAGTGACAGCGACTCCACCCCCCACCACCTGACAACATTCCTAGTAACATTCCACATCCCTTGTAAGCTACACTATCCCTCAACCTCACTATCCACACGACCCTCACAAACCACCACGCATACACAACTCATTACCACTACCACCAGCCAGAGATAAGAATGACACAATTCCACCCGATCTCCCTCAAATCCCTCCGCAGGCGTCTATCCAGACACTCCAAGCCCAAATCACCCAGCACAACCATCACAATTTCTTCTTCAGAAGTCTCAGAAGCTGAATCACAGACTGTTAAGCCCATAACCCGACGCAAAAGCGTAAAAGAGATTAGGAAAGCAGTGATCGAGTTCCTGGAAGAGATTGGCGGTGTGGTTAGGGCTATTCCTATCGATGAGGACTATGGACGGTGTGACTGTGGACGGTGTTTTGGGCGGTGTTTCGGGCGGACGCCGTACAGTAGATATGGGCCGTATGTTCTACATATATATATATGTCTGTTTGTACTTGGTTGGTTGGTTGGGTGCTGATGGTATACTAGGGCTTTGATCGGTCGTGATCTGGATGATACTGTGTGTCTTTTGAGGTCGAGGCCGGTTTGTTGACGTGCAGGGCTGTCGGGTGGGATGGATTTGTTTGCTAAGTGCTTGGGCGTTCCTTGATATATTCATGGGATGGAGTTCCTCAGTGTTTATGCGTTGACTATGGCTATGATTGACGAGTTGCCCCGTAGGTTATGGACTTGAGGGATGGCCTATTGCTCTGTATGATAGAATCCTTTGCTTTGTATATGTGTCGAGGTACCCAGAAGTTGAAATTGCAGGTACTTTGTTGGGATGAAAAATGATAACCAAGAATAGACACAGATCTACAAGTCGTCAAGTACAAATATGACATAGTCTAAGGGTAGTTACAGTTCATCTTTGAAGATTTCCTCACTGCCCTCTTCCGCGTTGTCCGCAGGCAGCTCCTCCCCCTTTGGCTCGTCCTTCGGTTTAGCCTCTAGGACCTCCTTCTCTGGAACTTTCTTCTCGGCGGGAGCCTTCTCCTGCGGCTTTTCCGTTGTACCATGGTCCTCCGACTCTGTTCCAGACTTGGCTCCCGTTTCTTCCTCCTCTTCATCTTCATCGGTGTCCACGATGCCTCTCAATCCACGCTCGCCATTGGCCGTGACATGTTCCAATGTCCAGTCCTTACCCTGAGCGAGCTCTTCGAGTCGGGTCTTCAAGGTTTCGATCTTCTCCGGGTCAAGCCCAAGCTTTTCTAGGTCGACTTTGGACAACTGCAACACCTCACCATTCTCGCGTTTGGCCACCACTTCCACCTTCTCTTCTCCGGCGGAAGCCACGCGGCCTTTCTCGATTTCCTTGCCTTCGGTGCCCACGAGCTTCTTGGCACCGACCTCAATGTCACCGACGATAGGAAATTCTGACGTAGTAGCAGACGATTCGACAAGTCTCTGGGCCAGGTGATACTGCCGCATCGCCTCCCAGTCGGGAACCTGGTCAGGTAAGAGAACCTCGCGACACTCAATTGAATGGAGCTCCTCCTGCTGTGGGGGTAGGAAGGCGACATCATTGCACAAGCGCGGGGTGTAAATGACCATCAAGTAGGAGCAAGTCGTCAGCTCTTTGATCCAGCCAATGCGATCCGTCGACTGGGGATGACAATGGAACTGAACCTCAATCTTCCGGTTCTTCCCCGTCAAATCGCACTTAGTCCCGCCCTCCAACCGCTGCACCAGATACCGTGATCCCCCGTTCGTCTGGAGCTCGGCCACGTCCGTCGTTGTTGCTGTTGTTGTCGCCTCGGCCGTCCTTTTGCGCTCAGCTTCACCATCCTCCTCTTCATTAGCCCGGGAAAACCGGCCCAGGATAAACGAATGCGTTGCCGGATCCTCCATGGGAGGATAGTTAGGGATCCCACTGCCAGAAGGCAGCGCATGGAACTGCTTGATCTGCTTCTTGTAGCAGAACGAGTACGACCACCAGCCCGAAACATAGTACATGCATTTCCCTTCCATCTCGCTAAGAAGTTCCAAGCCGCGTTCCGTCGCCCGAGCCAGCTCCTGCTTCTCGTCCGTCTCACTGGCCTCCTTGGTCCTATTCGTCGGACCACTTTCGTCTTTCTCGACTTGCGGGATTTGACAGAGGAATCGTTGGCCTTGGAGGGTTAGCTCCTCGTATGTGAGCTGCGGTCCTCCTTCCTGTTGTGGACTGTGCTCTTGCGACCCATCTGTGCGAGGCTCTAGAGGGATCTGCGGCTTTTGTAGAGAGTTTCCCTGTTGGTCATCGGAAACGGGAGGGCTACTTTGCGTCCGTAGTAATTCTTTCGCGTGAGAGTCAAGAACATATTCGTCAGGGAAAAGGACTTGGTACTAAGTTTAGCTTTCAGATTAGCGAGAATGTCGGTTTTAGCGCAACGACTGGGAGTGGGATGTACTTGAGGAAACGCGAGTAGATCATCGTGAATATTGAAGACTTTCTTGTTCGCAAGGGCGGTAGAAGTCGCGCATGCTAAAGTTAGCAAGGACGCTACGATCCGGTTGCGCCGGCCCATGGCGGCGAGTTGTACCGATAAATGTCGATAGCGTTGGGCGCTGCTTGGCTGGGGCGTTACGGACTTGCAACGATCTGGCCTGATGAGAGCTTTCCTGGTGGAACTCTGAGGCCCACGTCACTTAATGGAAGGAAATCCTATTAATTAGAATATGAACAAGAAAGGGAGGGATAGTTCAATTGGTCATCATGGTACTATATGGGAAGATATGGATGCTGGAGGGAAAGCCCTCGCTGCAGTTGGAAGCAGAGCAACATGACAGCTGTGAAGAACATCCGATTGAACGGTTGCGTTGGGGTTTCGGCTTATCACCACGTGCCTTGTGCACTAGAGCCAGAAGGGAATGACCAACCAGATCAATGGAGGTCATAGATTCATGCAATTTGGATGAATATTGAAGAGCGATTGGATGGTTTTGCTATAGATTTGACATCTGTTTGATTGGTGGCTGACCTTCCAGTTTGTAGTACCTGCATCCCTCCAGGCTCTACCCAGTACTAGTAGCTGTATGTGTAGGTAGCGCAAAGTGTTTGTACATAAACTAGATAAATACAACGAACTACAGGGCGAAATAGAATATATTCAAGTGAGCAGTTACTAGGAGATGACACTATACAGGAGTCAAGGAAGAACTCAGCCATGACTGAGCATTACCTAAAATCACGGTAGATGTACTACAGTGTACATGAGCAACAGGCACCTGAGGAATGAATTCCCAAGCTGCTGAGTGAAGTCTGAGTCAGTTACCAATGAACGGCCGGAAAAGAGTCCACCGACCCACTGAATCAGCGATTGGAAATCCAGGGGACGCCCAAAAGCGGACTAGCGGCTGCTGACCTCGATCTTTGTAAGCCCCATCTCATCGCCGATCTACATACACTAACTAATATGCAGATGCTTATTAGCCGATTATAAGAATTGACTAAATGGCCATGTCCCAATGGCTCCAGACATTTCTACTCACTTCTCGTTAATGGTCCACTCCATATAAAGATCCCCTTCCAGCGCCGATGAAACTACTTCTCTCGTTTTCAATCGCAATCACAGCTATCTTCCTATCGCTATATTTTAGCCATCTCAAAGCGCTAGTTTCCTTCATACAACAAGAAGTGTCAACTCGCCTCAACATCACCACGAACACAGCCAACACGATCACTCCCAACCAAATCAACGCAGACTCTTTCCCGGTGACAATAACTCCTCCAACGAGCAAAATGGCCCTTCCCCGCGCAATCCGCCAAGTCGTTCTGGCCATCGAACAAGCTGAGGGTGCTGGTGCCCGCGTTCGCCGCTCAATTGGAACCGCCAAGCTGCGCAACTTCAGCCCCTTCCTCATGCTCGACCACTTCACCATCGGCAAGGGCGCCGGTTTCCCAGATCACCCTCACCGTGGCCAAGAGACCATCACCTACCTCCTGTCGGGCGGAGTGGACCATGAAGATTTCGCCGGCAACAAGGGCACCATCGGACCCGGCGACCTGCAATTCATGACCGCGGGGCGCGGAATCATGCACGCGGAAATGCCCCACGAGAACCCCGACGGCAGCCCCAACGTCGGCATGCAGCTGTGGGTCGATCTGCCCAAGAATCTCAAGATGTGCGAGCCGCGGTATCGTGATCTGCGCGCGTCCGAGATCCCTGTCGCCAAGGTAGATGACGACCGGGTCACAGTGAAGGTCATCTCAGGTCAGTCGCATGGAGTTGATTCGGTCCGCGATTTGGCCTATACACCCGTGTGGCTGCTGGATATTGCGATCCGGCCGGGTGGACGCATCGCACAGTCCCTACCGAAGGGGTGGAATGCATTTGCCTATACCCTTTCTGGAACAACAGTCTTTGGGTCGAACGATTCTACAAAGTTGGTGCAGGAATTCCACAACGTGGTCTTTGACCAGGGCGGAGATTATGTGGAGGCGTCGGTGCCGGATAATGCCGAATCGGAGTCCAGGTTCATTCTGGTGGCGGGTCAGCCGCTGGACCAGAAGGTGGTGCAGTACGGTCCCTTTGTCTTGACCAGCCAGGAGGAGGTTTACCAGGCGATGGTTGATTATCAGACTGCGTCGAACGGATTCGAGAGAGTCCGTGGGTGGGAGAGTGAAATCGGCAAGAGAATGGCGTTTTAGATAGGAGGTTGCATATGCGTTCCTGATGTGTGGACTTTTTGTACTGTTTGATGATACTCAACGTGGCGTTTCTTTCCTGTTGCCTTTTGTGCGCATAGATATAATGTTTCTGAGGTCCTATTTCAATAGAGCATTTTCATGGTGGATACCTCCTTTGTACCCAGTAGACTATGTATGTAGTAGCCTCATGCAGAAATGGGAACCGTAGGCATACATCTCGAGTGCGGTCTTGTTTTCTATTCATAACGTTTTATTGATTTGATATCACATAGGCAAAAACCAAAAGGAGCAGAGAAAACAACTCAAGGAGATGCGAGATTAAAAGATGAAAAAGAATGGTTCCGGCCCCAATGAGAAAGAAAATACAATGACTCAAACGAGCCCCAAAAGAGCACCGTCTCGCAATGTAGCCGCGTTGGGCTTCAAGCCACTTGCTTTCGCGGCGCTCCCGAAGCTTACTCAGACCATCGTGATGCACATTCATTCACTATCTTACATGCCATGTTTACACCATTCTCAGACACAGAAGGTTACATGATTTCGGGGCGCTTACATGCTGTCGGAAGCTGCTGACATACCCCGACTTAATCGCCTTATTTGGCGAAGTGGAGGTCATAGCCCAGCCACCGACGTGCGTTTACACCAGCAACGTCCAAGCCCGGGGTACCATAAGTCAGGGGTGCATAGAACCAAAATCCCCAGACAGTGATGGCCAGAATAGAAAGGGTGGCGATCCAACCCGCAACAAGAGACTTGCGGCTCATCCGTTCCTTGGCCGTTACGAAATGACGGGGACGGACAGACTTGGACTTGCCCGATGGATCAACCTCGCTATCGACAACGGCTTGGACCGGCTGGAGGTTGAAAATGAACTCAATCAGAGCGCCCGTCACAAGACAGGAGGCAAGGTGAGCAGGAAGGTAGTGATGCAAGAAACGCTGACGGCCCATCAACCAGAAGGGGAAGTAGTGGGCTCCCCAGCAGAGGAATAGGAAACCGGTGCTGTTGTACAGGCGAGAACGGGCACCGAGTCCCCAAACTATAGCGCACTCAGTCAGTCTTTGCCTCTCCGCATTTACTATCCGCCAGGTTTACTTACTTTCTTCCACGGCGTCAACTCCACGGCGGAGAGACAACTGATCGGCACCAATCACACCAGCGAAAACAGCCAGCAGACTACTGGCAATCCACCACCCGATCGGGTTACCTAGGAAATAAATCTGTTCACGGGTATCATTCTTGGTCCAGAAGCTGACACCTCGCAAAAGGAATGGCCACTGGAAAGGCTCACTCGCGTATGGGTGGCTGCTGGTCAAGGCATTGTTGTGGAAGAACATGGCGCGCTGGAGCTCCAGGTACTTCCGAAGGAAGGGCAGCTGTTTCACTTTGCGTTCTTCCTTCTGCTTGCGAGGGCTGTCTTCCTCCAGCGACTCGATGGACTCCGCGTACCACAGGTTGCTGGTTTGAAGGACGTTCTTGTTACCGTTGATCTCGGCTTGCTTAAAGCCCCACTCAGGCAAAGGAGTTGTGTGTGTCCACATGGCCACTCGGGTGGGGAAATGAATCAATTTGAAATGGCTGGACAGAGTTCTGAACTCCTGGCCGGCCTTGCCATTCTCAATCTTAATCTCGAACAAGGTCTCGTTATGTCTCTCGCCACTGGCCACATCCTTGGTCACAGTCGTGAACTCCTGGTTGGTCGGATAAAAGGGGGAGGCAACATCATGGGTCAGTAGGATCGAGTCGGTACCCAAGTGAAGCAGCTGGACAAGGTCGCCGTTCTTCACACTGTGGCCCTGGCCGTCATTGTCTTCCAGAGCTACCGTGGGAAGGATCTGCCATTGGTTGTTGGTATCATTGAACGGGTATCCCGTCACCTGCTGGCCCTGGCTGGAAATACGTCCATCGTCATAGCGAAGCGGGTACCGTTCCCAGTGACTGTGGAGGAACACCTTAGTGTCCTTATGCCGAATAGTGATCGCGTCATAGTATTGGATTCCGATGGACTCGGCCGCCAGGGCATTATCGCTGAGGGTTTCCTGGAATTCGGGGGTCATAAAGTCATCACCAGGGCCGGAGCGGGTTAGGATCGCGAAATGGACCTGGAACCAGAACAGATAGAAGAAGAAAGGCACGACGATAAGGCCAAAGGCACGCGCTGCGAAGTGCTTGGTCCACTCCAACATGCTGAGAGCGCCGGCGGGACGGCGAATATCCAACAGATTCCACAAGTCGACCATGACGGCAGCGCCGATGGTCACGAAAGTGAAAACACCGACATACTTGGTAGAAATGACGCAGCTGAGACACACACCCGTCAGTAGCAGCCACTTCCACCACTTCCGTCCGAAGGGTTCGTGGCGCAGCTTGTAGAAGCGAACGTAGCACAGAATGCTCAGAGCCATTGTGATGACCAAGGTGGCATCCAGAAGGATCAACCTGTCCTCAGCAATGTGCGCATTGTCAAACAACACAAGGCCAGCGGCCAGAACGCAAGCCGGCAGCGAGTATCCCGACTCCCACATGATCAAGAAGACCACGGGGACCGTCAGTGCGCCGAGGGTGGCGGGTAAGGCGCGAAGAGCGACATAGGGAACTTTGTTCTCGATATACGAGTCGCCGATGTTTTCAAACAAGAAGTGGCCATCATAGCCGACGAGCCAGCCCATCGCCGCAAAGAGAAGCTTGCCAAATGGAGGGTGAACATCGAAGAAGTACGTGCGTTGAAGGTAGTACGAGGCGAACTGAAGCACATGATCGTGTTAGAAACGTCCAGTCATTTTTCGGGTATAGAAATATGTATGACCTACTTTTCCAAAGTGCACCTCATCAAAGACAACTTCATCGGGGTAAGAAATCCTATAGAACCGGGTGATGAATGCCAGCACAGTCAGAACCGTTATGGCCAGCCTATAATCCCATTCTGACTGAGGCTTGGGGGTTGCACCCTGGTTGTTGGGATAAGGAGAAGAGACATCTGAGGGTCCAGGGGATGCCTCCTTCTTTCCGCCTCTCTTCCGGAGAGACGGTGGAGGGGATTGAGACATGCTCAGTGGCTGTAATCGACGACGAGAATTGATAGTAGAAAAAAGATCACCTAATGAGCTTCGACGGGGAGCACGGAGCAATTGGTTAGTTAGAGCAAGGAGAATAGATAGTGAGGAATATTCTCCATGCGATGACCTACAGAAAGTAATCAGGAAAAGGACATCATATAGAGAAATAAAAGAAAAGGGAAAGAGAGAGGCTTGTTGTCGTACGGAGAATGAAGAGGGGAGCTGCGCACTGATTGCGTGTCTTCATCCCCATACACAACACGCCGGAACGGAACAAGGAGCTCATCCGAACTTTATTTCCTTTGACCCAGAATTTCCGTTTGCTTGCTCTTCTATATTTAACCTCGGGTTTCACCTGTGGATATATTTGGTTTTCCTTGGTTGCGTGTCCTATGCAATAGAAAAATAAAATAAAATTCAAAATCAAAATAAATATATAAATTTGAATCTTGAACAAAAAAATAAAATATATATATATATATATGGAAAAAAAAAATCACAACGGTGGGATATCCAATGCAACATAATAATCGCACTCCAACGCTCAAACATCATCATGACCGAATGAAACATTATGTACAAATCGACCCTGCGGATTTCCATAAAACAAAGCGCCTCATAGACGGCCAAAACTAATCATCATCGGACATATTCAACAACTCAAGCTCTGTTCTGACGAGCGACTGAAACTCGGCGCGTGTGATCCCTGTGGCTCTAGCGAGCCGGAACAGACTCTTGATGTTAGAGCCAATATGCTGCTTGACGCCTACCTCGCATGCTGACTGATTTTCGGCCTCCAACTCGAGCTTGGCAACAGTCTCCGAGCTGTTAGACGAGGCAGATGATGGTCGTGGATGGTTCAGTGCACTATCAGCGTCTCCATGACCATTGAGGTGCAGTGAGTTCTCAGATGCTTGAGTATCAGCATGAGGTTTGAGGAGATTGGCTAGCAAATCTCCGCCCAGGGAAGATGGACCGAGTTCTGGTTGTTCTTCCGATGGATCATGGTTGTCCATCGCCGGCTGCACATCGGCATATCGCGAGAAGTAGGACGCTTCAGACATGTCCTGGTGCTGAAGGGCAGATCGCCCATTAGGAGCGGGGGGTTTCACCGATGGGGTCCTCCCCGGTGTAGCGTCATACTGAGCCCAGTAATCGTCGTCGTCATCTTCCTGGTCTTTAGCAGCTTCCTCCTCCTTCTCCGCCGCTCTTAAAGCATCCTCCATCAACCGTTCCTTGGAGTGTGAATTGGCTTCCCCTATCGATGCCGACCAGACATCACCATCTGCCCTACTGCTTTCGTAGGGCAAAAGTTCTGCGACTCGCCACCCGGGTCCGCCACCATCCTTGTCGTTGGGACACCACAGATAGATAGCCTTTAAACGATAGTCCGAGAGCAAAACGCGGGACTGTAGTGTCTCCTCATCCACGCGCTTATATTCCACGGGAACCTCATCGGGTAGTTCAATCTCGCCCGACACTGGGTGTGGTTCAAAGCTGCTCTCATTCACCACCGTTTGAAGACGCTCAGCTTTTCCGGAGTCCCAACAAAGTAGTCGCAGCCATGATTCGCTCGGAGAAGCGGCGAGGGAACTCAGAACCTGAACACGCTGGCGTAGCACGGGCGATAGGAGAGGCAAAAGTGCAGGCGGGGGCAATGGCGATACAAAAGCCGTAGGGAGACAAGCCAGTAGAGGCGGGAGTAGGGTGCGAGGATCAGGAGGGGAGATGAGGTCAACCATTGCGACTGACGGTATTTCGTAAGGTCAGATTGGCCGTAGGGAAGAGGAGAGCTCTGACGTGTAACGAGCGTTCGGAGTAAATTGGTTCTTTAATTTCTGTATTTACTGCGGAAGATTTCCTCGTTGGCGGTGAGTAAACTGATACGTACATAAACTGGATGAGAGAAAGGAGAGAAAGACAAGAGGGAGAGAGAGGGTTTATAATAAAGAAAAGGAAAGCAACGTGTAGCGATCGCCTTAAACCAACTACTACTCCGTACTTACTAGCTGTGCCACCACCAGTCGGGGGAAGGGGAGAAGCTTCGCATGGTCTCGAATCGCTTGGTCTCCCTTCGCCCGAAGAGAGCGCAAGAGAGAGAGAGAGTGGGGTCCCATTTGCGGGGTTGGGAGCCACCGTGGTAATGAATTAGATTGACTCTGGGAATGTTGACAGATCAGACCAATGTGAGAATTTAGGGAGATGCCCCTTTTGAACCATTTTCCCTCCATTTGGGCGGTCATCGAACTCGGATCGGCGGACGTGGTGGACTAGAATATTCAAGTCTTTAACTGTGCAATATATATTCCACGGTCGACCCTCTTTACAAACACAATAGGTGAATCTGTAGGAGGAAATTGAATGATAGAACCTTGAAAAAATTAATCGTGGGATTCAAAGAGAACAAATAAATCATAAAAATTATTGAGTGAATTATAGTCATTAGTTTCAATTAAATTAAAAACTATTTTAATTGCAACGAATTAATTGATCGACTTGATGCTTATCTTGGACAGGCTGACCATGTGATCTTCCCGACCAACTCTGTTTGTGTTTGTGGTCAAACAAATCCCAATGAACATTCCACAAACATTGGCAAGTCTTACTGGTGCCTCATGAGTGACGATGGCTTCAAGCATAATGCAAGGGATTCTTGTTCCACACCCCAAGATTGCCAATGAGATCGGAGGGACAACTCTGGCCAGATGTGCTATCCTAGAAGCCACTGAAATTATTGTCAGCTGAGGGCACAATTGGGGCTGAAGTGGCCATTCGATTTAAAGCGACCTCGGCACCATGTTAGGTATGTTAGCATGGTCAATCCTCAATACTCCCGTGGCTGAATGGCGCTATTGGGTGCTTGCCGTTGGGGACTGCATTAGTCTGCGGATAACTGCACGAAACATTGCCGATAAGCTGCCACCCAGCTAAAATTCGACTCTGGATCGAATTTCTTCTTTACCTTTGCTCGGCGTTGGATGACCATGGAACAATAAGGTCAAATGTGGGAGCCATTCAAGGGAAAGCGATATTAAATATAAGAAGAGGAAAAGGCCACCATTATGATCGAAGAAAAAGTTCCCGCGGCAGCCATGGACTCCTCGCCATTGACGCCCGATGGCCTGCAGTCGAACGGCCGTGAAGTCGTGGAGGCAACCCTTCCGGAGGAATTGAAAGAGTTGGAGAGGAGACTTCGCTGGAAAGTGGACTGGCGCCTCTGCACCATTGCCGGCATTCTCTGCAGTCTCAATCTGCTCGACTCCGGCATCCTCTCGTCGGCCTCGGTGACTAGTATGCTCAGCGATCTTGACCTTGAAGGTACTCGATATTCGGTATCGATATTCATCTTTACCATAGCCTCCGTGGTCTTTCAACTTCCCTGCACGGTTGCGGTGCGTTGGGTTGGTCCGCGGATCTGGTTTGCATCTATCACATTCTGTTTCGGCCTGCTTACTTTATGCACGGCATTTGTTCAAACGTGGAAACAGCTTATTGCTCTTCGTGTGCTTCTAGGCATGGCTATGTCCGGTATCTACCCAGGGTTGACATACCTCATCAGCACCTGGTACACCCGGCGGGAACAACAGCTCCGATTCGCATTTCTCCAATCGGGAGAGGTCACCGTGATGGCGACAGGCACGATCGTCAATTACGGCCTGAATCACTTGGATGGACGGGCGGGGTTAAGCGGCTGGCGCTGGATGTTCCTTGTCCAAGGACTTATCACCTGCGTCATTGGTATCGTCACGTATTGGTGGATGGTCGATTTCCCCGAATCAGCACACCGAAGCTTCTACTTCCTATCGGAGGCGGAGGCACAGTTAGCTGTACAGCGTATCCAGACCGATCGTGATGATGTGGTGCCCGAGCCTTTTTCATGGAGCAAAATCGCCATGAACTTTTCGGACCCGAAGCTATACGGATTTGCATGCATGTTTTTCATTCTCAATTTGGTTTCCACCGCATTGTCCTATTTTCTCCCGATCATTCTGCAATCGGGAATGGGGTTTTCTAGCAATGCAGCTATTATCCTTTCCACTCCAGTATGTCCCATCCTCAACGCCGCGTTCTTTCTTTGCAAGTTGCTATGTGTATACTAACTTGAGCAGCCATACTATTGGTCGGTTGTACCTGTTCTTTTCACTTCTCTTGTTGGAGACACGTACCGGCTACGCGGGCCACTGATCACGTTCAACGCCCTCTGTCTCATAGCGGGCTTCTTGATGTTCGGCCTCCCTTCCTCCACTCAAGTTACTGTGCGGTATATCGGGACATTCTTGGCCACTGGGGCATACGTCTCCAATTGGGCGGCACTGAACGCGTTTATGGCGAACAATATAGTGGGGCAGTGGAAGCGCGCCACCACCGCGGCTGCAGTATCTGCTTGTAACGGGCTGGGAGGAGTGGCGGGTAGCTACCTTGTCCGGCAGCAGGAGGCCCCGCAGTATCAGACTGCTGTGTGGGTATCGGTGGGGTACGTATTGATACGTCAATTGTGTTGAGAGCCTGGAGCTGGGGCTAATTGAAGCAGGTCCCATATTCTCATGATTGCCATTGTGGGTGTATTTACCCTCGCCTTTTACATTTGCAACCGTCAGCAGAAGAGGGGGCAACTAGTCATCCAGAACAGGGTAAGCTCTTCCCCAGTTAGAGTCAATATTGCATGACTTAATTGCTAATCTGCGCAGGCCCATTTTCGGTATACCTATTGATTTGACGTCCGTCCAACGAATATACGATCTTCGGGAGGATAAAAGTACCAACCACGAATATAGCTAATGTGCAAATGTTACATAGATTTCTAAGCTGACCTTTTTGACGTCGGTATTATTGTACGTCCCCACTCGCCATGGCACGAATATAGAATCTTCGCCTAGAATGGATTGATTCATATTGTACTGCTCAAGTCCCATGTAACATCCAACCGTATAGAACAGTCTACTGTTTCACCCCACCCTCTCCAACTTTACCAGTGTCACTAGGAACTTCGCCTCCCTTGGACTCCTGCTCAGCAACCAAGGTGCTAGCATCAAAGGATCCAAAATCCCGCAATTTGACCCCCAGATGAAACATGAGATCAATCTGTTCAAGAGTCTTACCCCGACACTCCGGCACGAAAAGGAAAGTACAAGCAAACGCGACAACGGCAATGGCACCAAATATAAACCCAACCTTGGAGTTCAGACCCGCATATTCCGCATCTACAAGGTAGGGGATAGTGAAATTGACGACAAAGCTGGAAGATGCATATTAGCCTTCGGGATAATAGGTGAATACGGGATAGACGGAGGACAGGCCGGAGAACGACATACTTGGAAATGACATTGACCACAAACCCCAACTGCAGCGTCATGTCTCTCAACCGCAGCGCAGGTAGCTCGGTGGCTACTACATACGTCTGTGGTCCCCATCCAAGAGAAAATCCCAGGGCCATGACCACGTACATACCCACTACGCCTTTCTTTAAGTCAATTGTCATGGGATTTGGAGTCCCTAGGCCTCCCATCGTCAACAGGCCTGCTGCCATTACTGCCGAGCTGGCTAGGAGCATGGGTCTATATTGCAAAACCGTCAGCATAACCTCTCAAATAGTGCCACAAGGACAGAGAAATAAAGAAGGAAAAGGCGAGCTTTACCTCCTCCCAACCCGATCAGTATACGCCAACGAGCCAATGATCGACACCAAATTTAAAAGTGAAAGAACAACCGTCATATCGAACGGGTTTACGGTCCCCAACTGCTTGACATAGACCGCTCCATATTGAGACGAAAATGCCTGCCCAGTACCCTGCTGAAAAAAATTGACCATGAAAACGAGTGCCGTTCTTTTTAGATTAACGCCCTTGACTAGGTCAATCCAGTGACCTTTCTCAACCTCCTGTTCGAGCACGGTCTGGAGCTCATGGAATTCGTTGCTGATTTGTTCGGGAGTGAAACACCCCTGGCGTAGTTTTCGGAGACTAGCTTGGGATTCTTCTACGCGGCCTTGTTGGAGGAGCCAGCGTGGGCTCTCGGGGACGAACCATATCAATGATAGGACTATTGTTGGAACGATGTAGAATAGGCCAAGCGGGATGCGCCAGGCTCGGTCGTCTTGGATTTTGCTTGTGCCCCGGCAGATGGAGTTGATTATTAGACCACCTAGGATAATGCTGAACTGGTATGTGCCTACGGCGAGGCCTCGCACTTGGGCAGGGACTATACGTCGCGATTTAGTGTTGGAGAACAGAACGTAGTAGTACAAGGTTTATGGGGCTCACCTATTTCGGATTGGAACATTGGGACAACAGCCAACTCCATCCCAACATAGACGTAGTTCAGGATTCGAGCAGCGAGAATCTGATCACGGTTCGCAGAGGTAACTGTGATCGTGGCTGTGATGAGGGCATAGCAACTCATCGAGAACATGCACCACCGTCGACCGAACCGGGCGGATATTTGGCTGCCGATGAGCACGCCTGACTAGTGAGCTCATACGATGCGCGTCGTTGGAGAAGGGAGGGACATACCAGCAGCAAATCCGATGTAGTTTAGACTGTTGAACAGCGACAGCCAGGCCGGGTCCAACGCATACTCCTTCGTTCCAGGATTGTAGTTGCCAAACCGTTTGTCGAAGGCGTCCATGGCCTGCGTGGTGGCAAAGCCTTGGTTATCGAAGCCATAGTTGAAAGAGGAGATGGCTATGAGCAAGCAGGCTAGGGCCAGTCTGGTGTTGAAGTATGCGAAGAACTGTGGGCGTCTCATATTGGGCATCTGTAGAGGATAGAGGCCACCATGGTCGTCTCGAGACGGAATTTGTGTATAGATGGTATATATAAGCATACTTATGTGCACACCAAGTCATAGTCATCTTGCTATAGCGTCGGATGAGACAATATCTCGTGTCATTGGCATCATCTGTATTCCGGTCAAATTTCAGGGCGATATCTCGTAGCTAAGGGATGTCGGCTGTCGGGGCCGACGTTGCGGGGATTGATAACCCTAAATAAGAAAGTTGGGGCTAGTTCAGAAGAACTTCGACGAAAAGGTGCCCCGAACTCTTTCTGACGGTGGTATCTGGGGTCTCTCTTCAATGCTCGGTGTCATGTGTACTGACATACTCATATTGTCTCTCTTCCAGATATTCGTGCAATATGAGCGAGGTGGGAACTGGTTTCCTATCTAGCTAGATAGCCTTTTCCACCATTAGTGGGTGAACTTGAAATGAATCGAGGATTCTCTTGTATAGCTTCGTCTCTTCGCATTGTGGATCAGCAGCAGATCACGCAATTTAGTGGCCCACCCCCGCAATCACAACTAGTGCTGGACCAATTAAACTATGTATAGACTGCCAATACATCTCTGCAACCGGCTCTAAATAGCGGAATGTTCCTCTACCATCCATCATTGAGTTACAAACTGTCCCCTCTAGAATTGGTACCACATGGCTACATCCACGACAGCCGCACCGAATCAGAGACTCAAGACCTGCCAGCAGTGTAGACTAAGAAAGGTGCTCAGATAACCGAATGTCCGTGTACACTAAAGCTCATTTTGATATAGGTCCGCTGCGATGGACGCCGAAGCATCTGTGGCAACTGTGATCGCCTTCAGTTTGCCTGCTCGTTCCAAAACCTGGACTCATCATCGCCTACACTAGAAAGGCCGGAGCGCCTTCGAGCTCGACAAGCATGTTTTCGTTGTCATTCTTTGAAAGTACGTTGTAGTGGACATCTCCCTGCATGTCTCCGTTGTCAAAAACGAGGAAGGGGTTGCGTGTATAGCTCTAGTCCACTGAAGACTGGGAACACAGATGAGAGAAACGGTCCGAAGGACGCACCACAGCGGTCCTCGGAACAAGAGGCGCAAACAAATGCTGAACCTCCGACAACCATTACGTGTGTAGATCTTATATGCTTCCTCTTTTCATCTAATGTCGCTGACGGATTCAGTACGGATGCCTTCAGGAATCCGGACAATATACAGATTCAAGTAGCTCTGGACACTTTCTTTATGCGCATCTATCCCCTTCCGGGATATGCCTTCCTGCACCGCGCCTCGCTGTATGACCGGTTTCACCGAGGACAGACTGACCAGTGCCTTCTTCTCGCTATCATTGCTATTTCGACTTGTTTAACAGAGGTAGACTCCGCAAAGCGTGAGTACGCCGCTCAATGCCTGAAAAAGGCAGAACAGCTCATCATCAATAACCTATCACAACCATCCATCATCCGAACTCAGGCTCTACTTTTGATAGTACGGTGTAAGATGTGCTTTGGGGAGTATTCCTCTGCATTTCCACTTGTATCGCTACTTTCTCGGTTCGCCTTTAGTTTACGATTGAATTACGATGACCAGAGAGTTTGCTTTCTGGCCCGGGAAGCTCGTCGCCGTCTTATGTGGGCCATCTATATGCTTGACCAAAGCTGGGCTGCGGGCCTACTAGAATTCACCACCTGTCCAGTAGATGCTATCTATGTTGGCCTGCCGTGCCCCGAAGAGACTTGGGAATTGGATGTTTGCCCAGAGACGGAAGTACAGCTCAAGTCACAAGCTAAGCTTCCTGGGTTACTAGCAGCAAATGTCTGCGTGTCCTATCTAAGAGACAAGATTTTGCGGTACGTTTCGGTGGTAAATATTACTATGTGAGCTTATAGGATATGCTAAGATGTTCAGTCATGCAAAGCGATTTGCCGCGGGGAATTGCCGTGCCATTGAGATAATGTATGGGATACGAGAACTGGAAACTGAGTTAGAGAATTTCTATCTCCGATTGCCCCCATCCAGTGCCTATTCAGAGAGAAATCTTAGACTTCGTGCTCATTCGCCCTGGCTGCCTCGGTTTATTGTTCTACATGTCCTGTGGCACCAGTGCTACTGTGATCTGTATCGCTGTATTACTAGTGGGCTAATCGAATCTATCCCGGCAGCCACATTGGATGAGTTTGATAATGCCTTTGTTCTCAGGTGTCGGGAACAGTGCACACACCATGCAGCACAGATCGCAGGGATTCTTACCTCGCTCATGGATCTCAGGTTGGAGTTCCCAATCCTTCCACTGGACATGGCTGTTTGTGCGTACCAGTGCATACGTCTCCTCGTCCATGGGCAGAGGACATATGGGCATAAGATATCGGTATCGCGCGAGAGGGTCAAGCAGTATCAACACTCATGTTTGCAAATTATACAGACTGTAGCTCGGACTTCTCCCTCAGTTCAGACAATTGTAAGTCAGTTGCTGACAGGCAGGCAACATGAGTAACTGACCGATTTAGGAACATGACCTGAAAAGTCTGATCGATGAAACCCAGGATCAGAACGCCCATCCAGAGAACCGCCCTAGGCACACCCAACCGCAGGGTCCTCGCCAGATCCTGTCAATCCATAGCTTGATTGCTAGATCGGAATTCGTTGATGACAGCGAGGAACTAGCACTTCAGGATGTGCATGCTAGCGACAACCCCTCTGCTTATGAGAAGCATAACCATGAATACAGCGGACCACTAAACACGTTGGAGCTGCCATCCCCGTTGCCCAGTTTCGACACTGTAGAGCATATGACACCAGGCTCAACTGTGGCAAGCCAAGTGTGGCTACAGGGTGGCAATGCATTTGAGGGAGCATGGGATGAGCCCGGTATAGGGTTTGATTTGATTCGGCAGATGCAATGGGATGGTATGGGATACTTTGGTTGATATTCGGCATTCTGATATCGTGCAAGCTCAATATTTCATAGTAATTGCCACTATCAGTCCTTTAAGGAAAGCCATGCTTCATGATCATATGTGCATTACATTCGCAGTTTATTGCTATATTTCAGAGTTATGAGTAATGATGCCAAATAGTTTCAGCGCTCCGCGAGGCTTGTAAAACTTGGCTTGCTCAGATCTGTATAAATATCCGATGCTTCTATATAGATACTACATTGCAAAGAGACATTATATAATTTCTGACGATGGGCTTCCGTATATCTTCTCAAGACTTTCTTAATATCCTTTTCTTTCTTTTTTTTTGCCAATGTCAATCTCTAAACTACCAACCGCCTGGACTTTCGAGTATCTCGTCAACCGGGACAGCGGCCCTGCGCTCCGCCAAACTCCGTCCACTTTACTTTAACCTCTTTCATGCAGGAAGATGCGAGCTTAATGCTGATTGACTGCCCCACGAGCTTTAATATACTGTGGATGGTGTCATCTGGTGCATGTTTGACGCTGTACTTACTCGTCTCCACCCCGACAACCGACAGTCGGCACCGACAGCCGATATCCTATGCATGCTTCCAGCAACCCTGTCTACATATATGCTCAAGAAAGCCACCCGCCGCATACATTAGGTAGACAGATAAATAATCACAGTAAGCTACACCACAGAAATGACGGTAACAACAACAACAACAAAAACAACCAAAATGGCCTCCAAAAAGCCCAACCTCGTAATCTTCATGCCCGACCAACTCCGCTACGACAGCCTTTCCTGCACCTCGAACCCCCAAACCACCTTCCTCAAAACCCCCAACATCGCCTCCTTCGCAGCCCGAGGCACCCTATTCACAAACTGCTTCACGCAAGCCTCCGTCTGCTCCCAATCCCGGTGCAGCATGTTCACTGGAACATACCCGCACGTCAGCGGCCACCGCAGCCTCGAAAACCTCATCAAACCCTGGGAACCGAACCTCTTCCGCAGCCTAAAGGAAAACGGCTACCACGTCGCCTGTCTGGCACCCCGCGGAGACACCTTCGCGCCCACCGTGACCGAGCTCTCCGTAGACGAATACGGATTCCTCGAGACTCCCGAATTCGTGCCCCGGTTCACGGGCGATCGGTCCAACACCCCCAAGGATGAGAGTATCTGGGGTCGACTGTTCTACAAGGGGCTGAGGAACGCAGCCGAGGCGAGCGATTACGATGATGCCGTTGTGCGGTCTGCGCTGCGGTGGCTCGAGTGTCCGCCGCAGGATAAGCCTTGGGTGCTCTTCATGCCGCTGATTTTCCCGCATTGTCCGTTCCAGGTCGAGGAGCCGTATTTCTCGCTCTATGACCGGGACGCCATCCCGGAGCCTGGGGCTGCCCCGGGGGAGAAGACCGGGTATGAGCCGCGGTATATGCGGGTGATTCGGGAGCGGTACGGGACTGGACGGGCGACGGGGGCGATGTGGCGGGAGCTGAAGGCGACGTATTACGGGATGATATCGAGACTGGACGATCAGTTTGGACGGGTGGTGGGGAGGCTGGATGAGTTAGGGCTGTGGGAGGATACGATTACGATGTTTTTCACCGATCATGGTGAGTATCTCGGGGACCATGGGTTGATTGAGAAGTGGCCGTCAGGTCTATCGGACTCGCTTGTGCATGAGCCGTTGATTATCGCCGGGGGAGGACTGCCCCAGGGCCAGGTTTACACTGGGATGGCTGAGATGGTGGATCTCGTGCCTACTGTTCTCGAGCTCTGTGGTATCCCCGAGCAGTTCCCGCATAACGGGAGGTCGTTGGTGCCTGTTCTGCGGGATCCGAGTCTGGCGCATAAGCAGTATGCGTTTAGTGAGGGCGGGTTCTTGACTGCTGAGGAGCCCTTGCTGGAACAGGCGCCCTATCCGTATGATATCAAGGCTGCATTGCAGCATGAAGATACGACGCTTGTTGGCAAGGCGGTTAGTATTCGTTCGGTGGAGTGGACGTTTGTTTATCGGTTGTATGAGCCTGCCGAGCTGTATCATCGGCAGTGTGATCCGGAGGAAATGCATAATCTGGCTGTGGAGCCGAAGTATGTGCCTGTGGCTCGGATGTTAGAGGCGGAGGTGTTGAGATGGTTGGTTGAATCGTCGGACTTTCTGCCGTGGACGAAGGATGCCAGGTTTCCTGAGGTGAAGCTGAAGTCACCGAAGGAGCAGCTGGAGGAGCGGTTGCGAAAGAAAGGTTCTGGGGAGAGCATTTAGATGTATGACGGGTTACCATTATCTTAGGGACTCAGCCGCTGCGTTGGACAAGTCTATTTTCCCCTGGGAGGAATTATTTGAAATACCCCTGCCTGGATAGCCAGAATTTGAGCACATAACTGCCCTACATGGGTGTAGTTTATGATATATCAGAAAGAGTGGAAAGATTGCCTGTCAACGATACACGAAACAAGGCGTCGTTTCGTCCAAAGATCGACGTCCTTCAATTTATCCTCCGTATACATTTCTATGTCTGATCTCGTGAGATCTTGAACCTTGATCCTTCTGTCTGGCGAAAATCCATTAAGAAATACATGGTACTCCCTGCTTGAGACGCAGAACTTCACGTATTCTGGAGCTATTTCGGTCCACTTCCGGAGCAGTTCCACAATGGTTTTAAAATCATCTTGATGTGTTTCCTGATACTCATCAAGACCGTCAATGAAGAAACAGAAGCAGTATCTATGATAAAGCGTCCCGTTTCTTATCGACTGTATGAATGCCTCGCGGATCTCATCTGGTCGAAACTCTAGTTCAGATCGATTATTGGATGACCCATTGTACACTTGATCCCAATGCTTTGGGAACACAACGGCAATGAGCTCAGGGCATTATTTCAGCAGGTCATGAAGAATTGATTGTAACAGGCCCTTTAGAGTCTTCTGCAGCTCGTTTCCTGGTTTCCAAAAGAAAAAGTTGGCAATAACGAGTTTTCGGGCGCCTGTGATGAACGGTTAGAGCCATGCTTCGTCCTTCATAACTTAAGGCTATATAGAGTCGCTAATGTCACAGAAATGAATAGCATACCTGCCCATGTATCTAGTTCTTGTCTTGTTCGCGGGTGGTTATATAGAAACTTCACGAGTGTTGACTTCCCTGACCCTATTTTCCCAGTTATGTGGAAAATTCCCTGTCCGCGGGATAGCTAGTCCGTGAACAATCGACCAGCAACGCCTTGTTTATACTCCTGACTGTTATGAGAGCAGTTATCATTCCCAGTGTCGGATGACGGTTTCTCCTCAAACATCCATCGAAAGGTCTGCTTGTGAGCTTCTTCAACAGCGTCGAATCTCCTGCGCATAGCACTAAAGGCAAGAGTTTTAAGGATTCGCTGCTGAGCCATCCTTTTCGCAGCATTTTCCGAAAGACCCAGGAAATGCTGCAGCTGTTCTTGAAGTTTCTCTCCGAGTGATGATACCTGAACTCCTTGACGGAGCTGTAGAACATGGGATTGGAGCATATTTAGTTGAGCTCCATTTTTGCCATCGATATGTACTAAACTGTCGAGCTTATTGTTGATCTCGGACCTATGTGGCTATCAGTTCCATCTACTCTATGAGTGTCTTATCTTCAAGCTCATTCGTAATGCACAAGGAGTGTGTGATGAGAACCATCTTTGCTACATCGGACTAGGAAGCCCTACCTCGACATGTAGCTCAGCTGCAATTCCAGTTGCTTCTGATAAGAATTGAGCCTCGTCTCCTTTTCTGATAGCTGACGCTCATATAGTTTGAGCTTTATAGCGGAACTCATGTTTTGTATCTTGGAGGAACAATCTCTCGGCTTTATCTTGCCCAGAAGGTCTATGATTTCTTCTGACACAGTCTTGCATCCTTCTGCCAGACGGTAAAGAGCCTTCTCATTCTCGTTCTCAGGCACACTGTCTGGGTCGAGCGCCATGCATAACCTCTGCAGTTCAGAGACGGTCACATCAATAGCCTCTGTGTCTTCCTTCAATTTGGCGTGATGGGCACATTGGATAACCTTCGTACCGAATTGGACGAAGGTTAGTATGCTGGAAGCGAGCCCGACTATTGTGATGGGGTCCATTTTGGTAAAGAATCTGAGATCGTCACTTAGACAGGGGAAGAAGAATCGGAAGAGAAGAGACCACAGAGAAAGGACTCCAAAGCTTTGAAGAAGAGAGGGAGAGGGCGACGAATACTACCTAGTTGCAGATCTCCCCCTCGCAAGTACTGACCAGGGAGGCTGTGCAAGTGCAATACTATGCTACTGTCACCATAGGTGTAATTTTGGCAAGGGAAGTGCGACTGTCCCGTCTCTCGTAGTGGCGAAGCCCCAATGGGTGTCAGTACTGGGTTACATTTGATGCAGGCATTGCTGGGATTATACTCGTAGTCTGGACCTGTATAGTGACTCAAATCTCTCCGAGTCGCTCCATGATGGTTACTCAAGTGGCCCACAATAGAGGGCCTACGGGCTGGAAATTTTGTCGACTCATGCAGCTGTATCCTGAATCGGAAATCGTGATTCACACATCCATACCTCCTGGAAAATCAGCAAACATACATGGATGGTTGGGCACGAGGTGCTGCCTGACCGATATTGAACCATGTGCGATAATAGGTGTGATGTATCCCTGATCAATAGGTCTCATGTGTTGACAGGCTGGGAGGAATGGCTTGCTCAGCCTTGTACTACATCATAGGCCTCAAAGAAACGGCACTTAGCATAAATGTTGGATCACTATAGCCCAGCAGAAAAGGGTCTGCAAGTCTCTCGTATGATTCAGGTCATGTGGACGCTATGCCATACACATAAACCCAGGTTGCACTACTGGGGAACCTTCCTCCTCCTTTTTCTTGTAGAAAAGAGGTCTGGAGTTGCAGCAATACAAATTCGACAAAGCACGGATTTGAAGACTTTGCTACACAATATCCCTGACCATGCTTGACTCATAAAAACATGTGACACAAAACAATTAATCTATATTCATTTTGGAACGCCTTGTATATACATCATAACTAAGTCATCACAGTTCAACAAACTCCCGCTTCAGAAGCTCATCCTTCTCAACCTGTCCCAGATAGCCGTGAACCTTCTCGGTCAAGGCATCGATATCATAACCGAAGTACTTGTACGCCACCTTGCCCGGCAAGCTGTGACCGAAGCGCTTAATGCAAACGCCAGCGTCCGCATACCGCTCCCAGCCGTTAGGCGCATAAGGCTCGATAACGACAGCAGGAATCCCACGGTGCCTCTGCAGAACAGAGCGCTTGTATTCGAGGGATTGCTGTTCGAACAAACGCTGGCAGGGGAAACTGACTACCCGCGCAACGATGCCCTTTTCCTTGAGCTTCTCAGCGACCTCCAGAGCAAAGGACAACTCAGCGCCCACACCGATGAGGGTAACAGCTGCGTTCTCGGCCTCCTCGAGGACGTATGCACCGTGTGCGACGCCGTCGCGACGGGTTTGCTTCAGTTGGGGCAGAGTGTGACGGGAGGTAGAGATAATGGTGGGTGTCTTCTTGGCTTCGATGGCGGCGATCCAGGCACCGGCGGTTTCTTCGCTATCACCAGGACGGATGTAGAGAAGGTTCGGCATGGCACGGTATAATGCGGCCAATTCGATGGGCTGATGAGTAGGGCCGTCTTCACCCATACCGATGGAGTCGTGTGTGGCGGCGTGGATGATCTGGAGGTGCTGCAATGCGCCCATGCGCACGGCGGGAGCAGCATAGAGGTAGAACATGAAGAAGGACGAGGTGATGGGGATGAAGGTGTTGGGGGCATAGGCGGCCAGGCCGTTAGAGATGGCGCACATGGCGTGTTCACGCACACCATAGTGGATGTAACGACCGCCGTAGTTGCCGTTGATGCCGCAAGTGGTGCGCAGATCAGGCTATAAAAGTCAGAGTTGTTCGACTAAGTGATTCGGGTTGGGATAACTTACATGCTGGAAGTCTACCTTGCCAGGCCAGATCATGTTGACAGATGGCGAGAGGTCAGCAGTACCGACCATGAAGTTCTCGATCTCCTTAGCAATGGGGTTGAAGACCAAGCCCGACGAGGCTCGTGAAGCGGTAGGCTTTTCTGGGAAACTGGCGGGGATCAGGTCCTTCCAGTTAGATGGCAACTCTCCGCTCATGCGGCGCTGGAACTCTGCGCCGAGCTCAGGGTACTGAGCAGTATACTGCTTCACAAGGTTGTTCCATTCCCGGACGAGAGATTCTCCACGAGCAGGAAGATCTTCGAAAAACTTCCGTACCGTTTCTCCAATAACAAAGTGCTCGTCTGGGTTGAAGCCGTTGTCCTGCTTCATCTGCGCCACATTGGGAGCTCCGAATGCAGCACCATGGGCTGCGGCCTGACCGGCAACATTGCTACCGAGGCCAATGACAGTGCGAACGTTGATGAAGGTTGGCTTCTCTGTGGAGGCGCGAGCCTGTTCCAGCGCCCGCACGAGGCCCTCAACATCGTAGCAACCGTCTTCGACGTCGATCACATCCCACCCGGAGGCGCGCATCTTGCCGTTAATGTCTTCCGTGTTGGTCAGATCGACCGATCCATCACAGGTGATTTGGTTGTTATCGTAGATAATCGTCAGGTTGTTGAGCTTCAGATGACCAGCATAGGAAATGGCTTCCAATCCAACACCCTCCTGCAGACAGGCATCTCCAATCATACACCAGGTGTGGTTGTTAACAACATCGTATCCTGGCTGGTTGAACTTCGCAGCCAAGTTCTTGGTCGCCATCGCCAATCCGACAGCATTGGCAACACCCTGACCGAGGGGTCCTGTGGTGACTTCAATACCCTCATGCTCAATCTCAGGGTGGCCAGGGCAAAGTGCGTCGATGCGATCCGAGTGGTAGGATTTGAGTTGGTCAAAGGTCATAGCCTTGTATCCGGTCAAGTGCAAGAAGGAGTATTGGAACAGGCAGGTGTGGCCATTAGACAGAACGAAACGATCGCGATTGAAGAAGTCGGGGGTGTGTGGAGCATAGCGCATCACATATCGCCAGAGCGCGACACCGATAGCGGCCATACCAATGGCACCACTGGAGGTTTGATGTCAGTATTCTCAGTGACAACTGTCTGCTGGCTAACATACCCTGGATGACCTCCTCCGAATTGCTGGCACAAGTCCGAAATGAGCATACGGAATGTCTTTAACACAATATCGTGGTCTTTGGACATTTGCTGGACCAGCGGCAGGGCAGATTTGCCGCTGCCGTTAACGGTAGCCAGACCGACAGCCATGGAGTATGTATGTGTTCGCTAAAAAGTATAGTATAACTGTGTCTTCCACAGCTCATGATCAGGAGCCGATCAGACTTATATTTATAACTCAAAGCGCGACGGGGACTTTGATGCGCATGACAGATACGGTAGGGTGAGCCCTTTTGCCCGATCTGGCAAGTCGAGGCACTTCTGGCCGAAAGAGGCAATGCACGAAGCGCCCCACATTCCTGCTTTATCGATAAGACGATCCACATTGGGAGCGGGTCCCGTGATTCCAGTGGTTGCAGTTGCCCTGCTCACATTCATGCAAGAATACCCCACAACACCCCATATCACTAAGCATCGCCTTGCAATCCAGAGTCCCTCAATATAATATCCACGAATTTCCCCCCACAATGTTTTCCTCTGTCTTTCGCTTTTCATATCCTGATCAAGGAATAATCTGATACTACTAATTTTGGTTCACCATGGCGCCTTCTCTCCTCGATCCCAGTCTCAATCCCCCCACAGCCGCAACCCCGGCCAAACATTCTACAGAGACCCTTATCACACCTTTCCCAAACCCTTCTCTCCAAGTCACAGCCGATCACAAGCTCAAAGCCGTTGATGCACCAGTGTATGCCCCAAAGCACGGCGAAGTTCTGCTCCAAATCAAGGCATCTGGAATCTGCGGGTAAGGATATCGTATCGATTCCATGCGCCAGCTTTACTAACACTTGAACAAAAGTTCTGATCTTCACTTTTGGAAAACTGGCTGCATTGGAGAATTGATCTTCAAGGGCGATTGCATTATTGGACATGAAGCTGCAGGCGTTGTCTTGAGATGCGGCGAGGGAGTCACTCACCTCCGTCCTGGTTGGTTTCACCTCATTTGACCCTTTCGACTGAACAGTGTTGATGCGGAAGAATAGGCGACAGAGTGGCTGTGGAGCCAGGCGTGCCTTGCGGAGATTGTTTCCTCTGCCTTGATGGCCGGTATAACCTGTGCGAAGATGTCCAGTTCGCAGGTGTATACCCTTACGCCGGGACTATTCAACGATACAAGACGCACCCAGCAAAATGGGTCCACAAGTGAGTCTTAGCCGTTATCATACACTCTTCGTGTCTAACCGAAAATGTAGGCTACCTGATAACCTCACTTACGCCGAGGGTGCCCTCCTCGAGCCCCTCTCGGTTGTTATGCGTGGAATGTCAGTCGCTGGTCTGCAGCTTGGTCGCGGGGCCGTCGTCTGCGGTGCCGGTCCCATTGGACTGATCGCATTGGCTGCGGCACGGGCGTCAGGTGCTCATCCTATCGTTGTTACAGACTTGGAGCCTAGTCGGTTGGCGTTCGCCAAGGAGTTCGTCCCGAGCTGCATCACATACCAGGTGAACCGCGATCTAGATGCCCAAGGTAATGCCAAGGCAATCCGAGCGCTGTTCGGTTCCGAAGAATACTTTGCCCCGGAGACAGTTCTCGAATGCACAGGTGTGGAAAGCAGTGTATGCACTGCTGCGTTCACAGCCCGACGAGGTGGTACGGTCGTGGTTATTGGCGTGGGTAAAGCTGTGATGAACAACTTGCCGTTTATGCATATCTCGCTGGCTGAGGTATGTTACTTATCCATATTTTATTGAGCTTCTATTAACGTTCTCGCTATAGATTGACTTGCGCTTCATCAACCGCTACCGCGACACTTGGGCCCCAGCTATCCAGTGCATGAGTGGCGGAATCCTCGATCTCAAGAAACTTGTTACCCATACATTCCCATTAGAGCAGGCTGAGGGGGCGTTGCAACTGTGCGCTAACCCAAAGAACCCGAGTATAAAGGTCTTGGTTGTGGACGAGGTGGAAGCAACATTGTAGTGTTATATTTGCGGGGATTGATTTGCTTAAATTTGTTCTGGCGTTGATGATAGAGCGCGAAGTGTGTAACAATTCGATATTAGGAATAGTTACGAAGGCTATTTGGTTTGCAAATGAATTCACATTTCACGAACAGTTTGAATGGCACACTTTGCAGTTTACACATAAAAATAATGGTCACTTTCCCAAGGTAATGATCTAAGCATGGAAGTTGTGGGCCAATGATTCTACCATCATCCTTTTGAGCCAGTTCAGTCTATCAAAATGGCACAAAGGATTCTTAGATGTGATTCACAGAAGTAATATTTCTGATTTCTCCCAATAAGCGTGTTCACCTTCCGGCTGTCATTCCTGCCGTGATTCATGGGTACTATAGACAAATATACCTCCATATCCTTACAAAAGCGATAATACTTTCCCTAATACTAGCATCCCTAATCAATACCAGGTAGTTAGGGTTGAGCAATGCCAATTTAGCCTGGAATACTCCAATACTTCAAAAGTTAAGGTTAACTAATATAGTCAGATGTTACTACCAACCTGACAATCCAGGCCAAGTGGGACGGTGCCCAGTCACGTAACCATTAATATACCATGTAATAAGGTAGAGGTCATTGGTGGGTTTGTGTGTGTATTCGTCAGAGCTGAGCCTCGTCTATCATTCCTTTCTCAGGAATTTCTCTCAATACGGATAAATCAGATACTAGGGCAAGGCATGGGCCGTGCCCTGACCAGGCAGTTTTACTAGTACTTCTTTGGTAAATGACGCACGATACTATAGTCATTTGGGTAAAGCTAACTACTATACGGTCCGATCCGAGCCGCTGCAATGTTGATCCTCTGGTATGTTCTAGTGCTGGCTAGCGGTCTCAGAATTGACTACCCTTGCCGAATCTGGTGAATCATAATGCTGACATGTAGGGTTTCTGGGTATTGTGCTAATCTTAGGCAACTGCGTCAATAGAGAACAGGCAGCTTCTTTATTATATATCAGTGTGGAATGTAACGACTTCAGCTGCTGATTCGTTTTAATAGTGCATGTTAGGTTCATAATGTGTGAATATTTCTTATACTGCTGACCAACGGCTTGCGGCACTTTCCCAGTTCCCTCTGGCAACAATGCCTGGGGTCTTGATATATACCCAGTTCAAGAACTAACCACCTTCCAATACAAACACCATGAGTATAGTTCCTCTTTACGGTGATGCCATTGAATCGAATGCGAGGGCTATGAAGATGTTGACCGCCATGGATAGGCTCCAGGCTAGTAATCAATGAGCGTGAGAGGATAACAACCAAGTCATGCCTCTCTAATTTAAAAAACTATGAATATTGACAGCCAGTCAAGTGGTAATGCATGCATGATAGTTAACCAGACAATAGCACTCTAATACCTACGCCCTTTTGGCCCCAACTCTGGCGCTTGTGTGGTTCTTTGTCAGCTAATGAGCCCCCGAGCAAAGGAGTCTATGTTTCTGCTATAATCACTCGTTTTTTCTTGCACATGTATAAACGCAATCTGCTGTAGTAGATATCTGGATGTACCCTTGTTGTCCACATCTCCCTAGTGCCTGTTCCCGGTCATCAAACTCACTTAGCAATGAACAATGCCGACATCCCGGTATTTCGCCCAAGCCCCAGCCTTCCCCACCGATACTCCAGTCGCTAGTCTGCTGTCTATCTCTCTTCAAGGTCTACAGAATGGGAGCTCCACCGAATGGCAGAAATTGTTCAACGCATGTAGAGAATGGGGATTCTTTCGGATAGACCTGAGAGATTCCCATGACCGAACGACATTGTTACAAGGATGCGGAGAGGATGTTCGATCTCACTACAGAACTCTTCGCTCTGGACCAGCGACCCTGGATCGATATGCGTGCGATGCGCCGAGGGATCTCACTGGGTATGTCCACATAGAATCTATTCGGAGTAGATCATCAACTGATATCGGATGATAGGTATAAAAGCATGGGCCGATTGGAGACCGACGATGGCAAAACAGACCACATGCATCTGTACTCTATCAATCAAGATAGCATTCCAGGAAATTATCCTCCACGGACTAATGCCGGTCCAATCGAGCCCAAGCGTTCACAACTCCAAGCGTTTATTTGACACTGCTCAGCCGATCGGTACAGCGCCAAGGTGTGGTCTATGTGGTTCGACCTGCTCAGACGGCATCCTATGCTGGGCCACTTGAAGCCGCAAAGCCGAGGTGGAGATGTGACGATCAATTTATGAAAGTGCGATTTGTGGGTTTGATGTTAGCATCCGTTGTGCTCTTCCATTGCTTTAGATCTACAACATCGTGATATAAGCAGCAGTGGCCAGCCTAATTAGTATATCCCAAGCATCTCACTGAAGCAGCCAGACATGATCTCTATATTTTACCAAAGTCGGTTCCTCAGTGTTTCTCACCATTTACGCGACTCCTTAATCAGGAAAGTATGCCCTTCAAAGTACCATAGGTCTATAATACATACATCCCGACAAGTTGATGTCCCCAACGCCGAGCAACGGGAAAGCATCCAAACAAAACTCCACACGGACAAAGATATACCCCGATGGCAACCGTGGCTATTCTTACCTACTAAGGAAGGGTCTCTGACAATCCCCCACCAATCGGGGTTAGGCGGTGGAGACGCCCCAAATCACGGGGTAAGAAAAAGCACGGGGGGCCACCTTGCCTGATCAGGACTGGTGCATTTTCTCCAGATCCCCAATCCGGCAGAATCATTTCAACACTTTCTGATTTGCCTGCTTGGTTTGTGTATAGTTTGTTGTGCATGGATTTCTGCGCCATATCTCCGTGGAAAGCGATGTTTTATGCGGGAGAAAATTGCACTAGATTTCACGTGATATTATTAGTGTCCTGTTTGAATTTGAGGTTTAAGGGAGCTCTTTTGGGTGGGATATATATATCGTAGTTTGAACGATTGAACATCCTTTCTACGGTCGGGGGTTGCGAGTCGCATATGCCGTCTTGCGTTATGGACCGCCTTCCTATGAGGGCTCCGCTTTTGTTTTTGGTGTCTACAGTGAATTAATTGAGTTCGTGATCAGTAGATCGCTTAATGCGGACTTTTTTTGTCTGGTGTACGATTGATGTGGATACTAGTATTCTGTAGATCATTGTGGTAAGGTCCTGAGCTGTGATTTAATAAATATCCCCAGGAGTCTACATAAGTAGCGAAGGTGCCCAGACTATGTCAATGCTATGTGGTTCATTATTTTCCGATCGTACAATGTCTAGATACATAAGGGAAGATGCATAGCTATCGCCATCCATGCAATATAACCGAACTGTTTGAACATATGATCCGACCAACTTAGTACTCAATGCTCTGCTTAATGGCGTCGTATATCCCTGCAGAAGATTAGTATAGCGACTCAGGATACGACGATAACACCACTTACGAGCAACATCAGGCAGGATGAACTTCTCATATTGAAGTCCTGTATGTGTACTCCATCCCGCAACCCGCTTGACGGGTGCCTCCAACCGCAAGAATGCCTGGTCCTGGATAGTAGCAGCCACCTCAGCACCGACTCCATAGTTGATCATGCTCTCGTGCACCACGATCGCTCTGCCGGTCTTCTTCACGCTATCGAGGACCGTCTGCCGATCCCACGGGTAGATAGTGCGCAGATCAATCAGCTCCACACTGACACCAAGGGCCTTCTCCGCGGCGGCAATGGCTGCGGAGCACAGATACAGCGGCTGGCCGTAGGAGATAAGCGTGACATCATTTCCTGGCTTCAGGATCTCCGCCTTACTGAGCGGGATCGTGTAGTACTCGTTCGGAACATGCTCGACCGCCGCCCGGTACAAACACTTCGGCTCCATGAAGATGACGGGGTTATTACTCTCGAAAATGGAAGACAGGAGAAGGCCCTTCGCTTGCGATGGCGAACGTGGAACAACAACCTGGACACCCGGGACGTGTGCGAAAAGCGCCTCGGGCGACTGTGAGTGATATCTAGTTGGGGTTAGGGTCAGTATAGCGATTCTAGTGCACTCATTGGGTGGGGCCATACAAAGCGCCGTGTCCAACCGCACCACATGGCATCCGCACCACCATGCCACCAGCATGGACCCCCGTGGCACCTTCACGGTATCTGAATTTCGCGGCTTCGTTGACGATCTGATCGAAGGCTGGGAAGACATAATCCGCGAACTGGATCTCCGCCACTGGCTTCATGCCCTGCGCGGCGGCGCCAATGGCAAATCCGACAATTCCTTGCTCGGTCAATGGGGTGTTGAATACACGTTCCGACCCGAATTCTGTTTGTAGATCCATTGAGCAGCGAAAGACACCTCCGAAGGCGACATCTTCGCCGAACAACATCACCTTCTCCGACTTGCTGAGTGCTGTGCGTAGGGCGGAATTGATGGCTTGGTAGAGGTTCATGGATTTCGAGGTTGTCGAGCCGGGGAGCTCGAGGCTTTCGGAGATCGTGGACGATGTGTGATGGAGGAGCGGAGTGGATTTGTAGTCAATGGGCAGGTTCAGTCGTGACGATGGCGACGCCGCAGCCGAGTATAGTCGACGACCGGACGGGCGTATTAGTCGGGGTAAGCGGAGGGACGCCATTGTGTGGGTTGAGGAGGGTAGGGCAGAGGAGCGGAGAGTGTAGGTAATGGAAGTCGGTCACGGAAATGCTCGCAGAAGGGATCTTTGTCGTTCCCCTTGATTTATATTCCATTCCCCAGAATGTCATCATGCGGGGATTCCTTCCGCGCCGCCTCCGCGGATAACCGAGCATGGCTGGCCTCGGTGCCTGGACCCTGCAGGTGACCTCCAATCAACATCCCCATGCGTTATAAAATCCTGCCAGATTTCCATCCATCTTTGCATGATCCTGAAGATAACTCAGTAAGGGGTGTTTGATGTGCTCTTGGATACGTTGTATCTTATCGGATACGGACTTGGTTGCACACAGCTCGTTCACCGTATTGTCCTGTCTTTGTATGAGAATCTTAATAATCGTACCAATATTCTTGATTAATTAGAATAAACAAAGAAGTTCCCGGGCCAGGTCAAACTGAGAGCGGTATTGAGCTATGTAGCGGGTCCATTATTTGGAGACATGTTAGAATATACATCAAAGCTGGACAGAAGCATGCATACAAGCCAACATCTTAAACCCTTCAGATTCAGCCTCGTTTGGAGTTGAACCAATCATTTAGTGCCACACCTTGCGCCCCTCACCCTAGTCGATACGAACAATGCATCGAATATCAAGAGAGGAAATCAGAAACCCATATCCTCCACCACCTCAACGATCAAATCATGAATCCTAGCGTGTTGGAAGACTGTCCTGTCTGCCATAACTTTCAGCCAGAACTGGAAGAAAATAACAAGCGCGACTCACACAGCCGTCTATGGAATGTCGGCTATCATAGGAAGATACCAATCAATGCAGCGGGTGAGGCTGGCTTTTCAATTGAGGTAAAAGTCACTGAGGCCCGCAACCAAGCATCCAATGGCTGTAATGGGTGTATGCTACTATATGAAGGATATCTTCAGTGTCTGGAATTCACGCCCAATGCATTGAAGGACGAAGACCGGATGTATATTATAGTGAGATCCGCTCCAGGACAAGCGATGGATTGTTCATTAAGTGCGCCACTCGCACAACCACGTTGTGCTCGAAATTGGGGGCTTTTCCAGATACTCGCTGGTAAGACCGTGATACTTACTTGTCCAGAATATATTTTTTTAATATGTGCCATTTCTGATGGATCTTAAGACCACCGAAACCCTTGGAAAACGATAGCGAAGATATCGTCATCTCCTAGATATGTTCTCACGGATGAACATCGAGATTGGTATCTTTCGTGGGTGCAGGAGTGCCTTGAAAATCACCCGAAATGCCAGAGACCGTCTGCCATGCCTACACGGCTGATTGACCTCGGGGAAGATGATAAAGCAGTCATGTGCCTCCGGGACAATATAAATCGGAAAGCTCCATATATTGCCCTTAGTCATAACTGGCAGTTTTCGGAAGCCAGGAAATCCATGACACTCAAGGAAAACTATGAATCTCGAAAGCGGTTTCTACCGCAGCAAGGGCTTTCTCAAACTTTCCATGATACAATCAAGTTTACCCGATGGCTCGGGGTGCGATATCTATGGATCGACACCTTCTGCATTATCCAAGATGACCCTGACGATTGGGCAAAGCAAGCATCTCAAATGGGTGATATATTTGAAGGGGCATATATCACTATTGCTGCCCATAGTGGCCTAGATAGCTCGCCAAGCGATGGCTGCTTTCTCGAGAGAAAGAGTGTCCGCGAAGTGGGCCTGCCTGATGGCAATGGAGACCAGTTTTCCGCGTTTATTATATACAGGGGGTACCGGGGAAGCGATCTTCATGATTTGGATAACGGCCCATCCTTGATGAGAAGGGGGTGGTGTGTGCAAGAGCGTCTTCTTTCGCCCCGCATCCTCCATTTTCGGCCATGGGAGGTTAGCTTTGAATGCTTTACCCTCAGGCACTGCGAGTGTCAAAAAATGTCTTTAGGGATTTATGATGGACGGAACATGCATGCACCTAAGAGTCTTCTGGGCGATGCTTTTCATATATCAGTGCGTGGACAGGAGTTGAATGGGAACGATTATCGGTACGCTTGGGATACTATTGTCAGTATTTACTGTACAGCCGATCTCACAGTCCCGACGGACCGACTAGCAGCGCTGTCCAGTCTGGTTCAACGAATGCCACGGCAGATATTTGGCGATTACCTGGCTGGCTTATGGTCGAAAAATCTGATTTCGGAGCTGACCTGGTCGACCATGGAACTCAGTAAGCACTTTCGACATCAACAATATGTTGCTCCGAGCTTTTCGTGGGCATCTATTCATGGTGATGCCATCTTCATAGACCAGGGGAGCTATTTCAAAGGTGCTGAGCAAAAGGCTTGCGTTCTTGACGCAGGAACTGTCCCTGCAACTCACGACCCCATGGGGCCAATCCAAGAAGGCTTCATTTACCTGCGACTGCGAATTTGTGAAGCTGAACTCATATTGAGTGGGTCTAATCCGAAAAAGGTAGAGCTCTTATACCATTCTGAGCATGACCAGGCGGGTGAATGCTGTGCAGTTGTCGATGTCGAGGATGACATGAAAGAACTAGAGGACCAAAAGGTTTGGCTGGGAGAACTGTTCAGGAAAGACTGTATAGCTGGCTTTTTGGTTATGAGAAAAGTGGCTGAGAGGGAAGGAGTATTCCAACGGATTGGGATCAATTGCTATTCAAAGATAAGCCGCGGAGAGCAAAATTACAGTGGCCATTATCCTTTCCATCGAGACCCTGAGCGAATTAAACTGATTTAGGATGGGATTTTCTAATGAACGCATTCATACAGTCCGAGCTAAAACGGAAAAAGGGGAAGTATCTCGAGATCGGGGTTTATATAGCTTGTGCGCATATTATATTCGATATAACAACACTCAAAGTCGCGATTTTACCTGGAGTACAGAAATAAGAAGGAAGGTGTTATATCACCTAGATGTAGTGCTTGGAAGACATTCTATTTCAGGAACCTTGTCACCAAGATGCATGCTGTGTCTGTAGCATATATTCAAATACAAGGTAGCCTGAAGCTCCCTGGAAAACGCCCCGGCCAGGTTGAGCGGACCTGGGTGAGTACCACCCACACCTTACGATTGTATACTTTCCTTTATATAGAAGTTTGGGATCCTTAGAATTCCCTGTTCCCTATGGTGTATTTTACTCCCATAAATTTTTCCGACAGCATTGGTTTCTCCGCCATGGTTGCCCGCATATTTGAGCTCCGCCAAATGAGGCTACTAGCTGATACATAAGAGTGTGCCTCGCATGCTCCTATAGCAACATTACTAGAATTCTACGTAGACCGCCCGGCCGACGAGTTAACAAGCAGGAAGATGTGATGATTCATAACATGCATAACACGACAGAGAAGAACTACCTGTATCCACACCCCAGCAAGTCAACTCACTTGTTCTCGTCCTCCACCGCAACCCTAACCGCCTCCCTCTCCAACATCCTGCCCAACCACCCCTTCACAAACGGAAACTTCTCCAGATCAAAATCCTCCACACCAACAACCGCACCAGGGATCCTCTGCCACGGCACAAACGCCAAATCCACATACGACAACTTCCCCCCAACAAGCCACGGCCCATCCCCTCCGCTCTCACCCTCAGCCTGCTTCTCCAACCACCCCTCCAGAACCCCCGTAACGCGATTCACCTCCTTGACATACCGCTCCACGGCACTGGGAAGCTGCTCCGCATGGAACTTCTTAAACCACACCATCTGCCCGTAGTACGGGCCCTGTCCGGACATCTGGAAATGCAGCCACTGCTTCGCGAGGTAGAAGTCGTGCGTCCCCGGCTCGAAGCTGAGACGGCGGGCGGTGTCGTACCGGTCAACGAGGTACTCGATTATGGCGCCAGATTCCCAGATCGTGAGGCCTGTGTTCGGGTCGTGGAGGGTTGGGAGGCGGCCGTTGGGGTTGACGGATAGGTAGGGCGGGGATTTGACTTCGCTGAAGGGGACGGTTTCGATTGTGTAGGGGAGTGAGAGCTCATTGAGGAGGATGAGCACTTTTACGGGGTTGGGGCCTGGGCGGTCGCCGTAGAGCTTTAGGGGTTGGAGGGTGGACATCTTGGTTTTGGTTTTGGGTGTGGGAGGTTGCTTATGTGGTGGGATTGAGGCTTGTTTGGTGTCTGGTGTCTGGTGTCTGGTGTTTGAGAGTATTTGTGTTGGTGGGCTGGGATGATGGGGTGTTTGGGTAGTGATATATAGCTTTGGAATGGGGAATATAGAATCAGGAAGAAGGATTACATTTGTAATATTGTCTGAGCGGTTACAAATCTATCTGGTGATATTTGGCTTGTAGATCTGACATCGATGTCATGTTTATAAGCGATGGTCGTCGGAGCTAAACCGTATCGGGCGAAACCCGCGAGCAGCGCTGACATCCAGCTGGGGCAATCCAGAATAGATGACACTCTAACTTACTTACTAGTGTGGTCAGAGCGTATCGAGCATTTATTGAACTTGAGATACAGGTCTTAAAAGTTAACGCCTGTGTATCCAGATCTTCCCCGTCCAGACCAGTTACATCCCAGCACAATGCCGTTTCCCGGTGGCGGATGCCAAACATGTAGAGATCGACGAATCAAGGTACATACGTACTGCTAGCATGGAGGCCATCCACTCCGCCAGGGCTTCAGCTGACGCTGCTCATAGTGTGATAAGGCCCAACCAATCTGTCAACGATGCATAAAATCCCGGCGAACATGCTATGGCATGCGGGATCACCAAGTCTGGCATACGGAGAATGCTTATGCAAGCCGCCAGAAGAAGCGCCCGAGAGGCCCTCGCTCGATGAAAATGAATCTAACTGTGTCTTACAAGCCTGCCGATCTAAAAACATACGCAGTTGCATACTTTATGCATAACTATCTGCAGGCGCCGCATAATGTTCCCGATATTGTCAAGGATGTCACTAGAGGATGTCTAGCCGTGCTTCCGTCAGCACCGTGGTGTTCAATCCTCGACCTAGCGGTATCCTCTTTGGCTCTAGCTATATTTTCGAGGACCCAAAATTACCCTCATGCTACCGTAGTGGCATCTGCCACGTATCATCGACTTCTGCAGGTAGCGCAAGCTGCGATACATTACCTGACACCCGAGAATGTTGACGGGTGTCTGCTTGCGGTCTTCTTTATGGGTCGCTACGAGGACTCGGTATACCACCCACCGACCAAGTCCCCATTTATACATGCCTCACCGAGCTTCTCACATCATGATGGAGCATTGGCAATCTTGAAGGTGTGGAACGACCATTTAAGCGGCGATCGGCCCGCAACGAATGTTATTAAGCATACTAGACGGGGTCTGCTCAGATCAGCCCTCATGCGAAATCTAGCACTGCCACGTTGGGTGCATGATGGTGCTTTCTTCGCTGAGCATGGCCTTGAACTTGAATACGACCGAATTATCACAGGCCTCCTGAACCTCCGCCATCGGTTGTTCACTCTCATCAACGAGATTACCACTCGGGGTGCATGTCAAAAAGCCGAGTTAATTTCCATACTCGAACAGCTCGATGAAGAGTCGCGCACCCTTGATCTAGACTTAGAGACTTGCATTTCCCATGTCCCTGATGCATGGCACCAGGTTCAAGAACATACGCTATCAAACGCGGACCTGCCGTCTTGGCCATCTGCAAATTTCTATGCCCCAGCACTATACAGCTATCCCAGTCCGGCATATGCAGCTTTTTGGGGTCAATACAATGCCACAAGAATACTTATCAAGAGTACGCGGTTAAGAATTCTCGCCCTCCATAATCCACATAATTTATCCCTGAAGCAAAACCTTCTTTCCGATATACAGTCTGTATCTGAAGTTCTGGCAGCAATTGTGCCCTTTGCACTTCAGAGATTCAGATTAGTCAAGAACACGCTTTCAGCATCCTCTCCTGGTGTATCCATCACACTGAATCTAAAGGAAGAAATTAAACCAGCGGACGCTAGTCTGGTTGTCTGGCCGCTGACCATTGCGTCAGGCCTTAAGTATGTGGATTCTCAGCGTCAGGCCTGGTTCAAGGCTCAGCTAGCTCGTCTGGGGAGATTGGTAGGGTTTGGAGTATTGGAGTCTGCAGAGACGGACCAATGGCTTCAGTTGTAGTTAGATCATAAACATAGCTCAGTCTTACGTGTATTTCGCGATCAAAAGCCGAGACACGTTAATTTACTCGTCATTCAGATCTCCACAATACTCATGTATCTCTCTTTCAGCGAACGCTGCTGGATTATTCCTCTCACTCGCTGGATCCAACTATTCCCCTTTGGGCGATACCAGCGAGCATCCATCAGTATCCAAATGTCAGATTAGAGTAGGCATTAGACGGGTGTTTGGCCAGGTTAGGTTATTTTAGTGTATAGTTAACTATAGTTAAAAGACTAATTGATTTTAATTCAATTATATCTATATTAGTTAAGGAATTTTATATTTTAATTCATCCGAGACGGGTTAAGTTAGATTATAGCTAGTTTAAGCCATTCTAGACATGATTCAGGAAAAAGCAGTGATCCCATTGGGCAAATCATGAATCAAGGAGTAACGCCAGGTTGCTGATCAATCTTGTGGGAGTCTCAACTCGAGAGTCTTGGTCTCAAATCTGTCCGTATTCAGACTAGATGGTTGGCCCAAAGACTCTCAGATTGAGATGGAACCCAGTCTTAAGGTCCGCGCACCTGGGTGATGCATATTGGCTCTGCGTCCCCATCAGGCAGCCGGCCCAAGTCCGCCAGCTTACGACGATTAAACCCCCCTCACCGTGCGAGCGTACAGCACACGATGGGACCCTTTTTCGATTCACCCGCGGCCGCTTCCTCACCGACGAAGCCAGTGAATTGGCCAAGAGACATGTCCGTTTTGACGTCGATGAGCTCGCCCGGTTTGCTGTTCGGGCTGCAGAGGCGGCAAGTAATGGACCGCGAACGTGTATCGGCGTTGAAAAAATGGCAGACGGAATGCACAATAAGGCTATACGTTTCACAATGGACAATGGGTTCCAAGCGGTGGGCAAAGTTCCGAATCCGAATGCTGGGCTTCCGCACTTCACCACTGCCTCGGAAGTCGCTACGATGGACTTCGTATGCACATCTTCCCTTCTTTGTCGTGGCTATTCACGAAGTGCTAACATTAGATAGATGACCAACGTCCTCGGTACGCCAGTTCCCAAAGTTCTTTCGTGGAGTTCTTCGACCGACAATCCTGTTGCGGCGGAGTACATCGTAATGGAGAATGCACGCGGCGTACCACTGAGTAGCCTGTGGGACAAACTTGGCGCGCCGGTCAAGTTCAAGGTTCTTGAAAAAGTCGCCTCCTACCAGGAGCTCTGGTCCCAGGTTTGCTTTTCGCAGTATGGGAGTCTGTACTACCGAAGTGACCTCGACCAGTCAAGTCCCAACCTCCGGTACACCGATAAAGATGGGAATCTCGTCGTCGACGAGAGGTTCGCTGTTGGGCCTTCGGTTAGTCGGCAGAATGTCGATGATGGCAGGGCAAAGTTTGATTTTGACCGAGGCCCCTGGGATACATTAGACGCTTATGAACGGGCAACTGGAGAGCGCGAAGCTTATTGTATCAAAAGTATGGAGCAATTACCACAATCGCCCATTGCTATTCACTATTCGGGGACGTACCAGCCATCGCGTGAGACAAAGGTTTTCGCCATCGAAAGCTACCTCAAGGTGGTAAATTTCTTACTACCCGAGGACGAGGACATATCAGCGTCCTGTATCTGGCATGACGACTTGCATATCGAGAATGTCTTTGTCAATCCAGAGGATCCATCAGAGATATGCGCCTTCATTGATTGGCAATCTACAGAACTCGCCCCGCTATACCATCACACCATCGAGCCTTATATCCTAGACTACAATGGCCCACCACTCGAAGGCCTCCTCGACCGACCGGAGCTCGCCGACGTCAAAGCGCTGTTCCAGGATGAACATCACCAAGCAGTCGCAACCCGCAAAGCGGAGTCCTTATTTACTAGCATGTCTCTGCTCGCGCTGTACAGATATCTCCTGCACAAAACAGAATCTACTCTAAATTCTAAATCTTAGAACTAAAATTTCTAAATATAAAATTAACTATATTTATCCAGTTCATTACCGCTCAGGCGACTTACAATCTTCAATTGTGTTCCTGTTTTGCCAATCCAAGGTCAGATCGACTCAAGACTAGGCGGAACAAACTCTGTCTTCGCCTTCAACTGTTTCTTCCCAATCAAGCACGATGCCTTGGCCCGAGGCTAATTTTGTCACTTGAAATGACCTTGGTGGTTCAAGCTATTGCGTTTCTTTGCGCACTGCGGTCCGGTAAATCGAATGGCCACGCGCGCGAAAGCTCAAGCTCTTCTTTCTCGTTGCGCGCATGCGCCCGCACAAAGTCATCTCTCGCCTTTGGGAGAATTCGTTCGAGCTCCGCGAATTGCGCGTGGCTCACTAATCCCCGCCCCTGGAAATACTGGCTACCGATCATGCGCTGCACGTCTCCCATCAGCGCCATTGCTGCCGAAGCGCCTGCACTGTCACATTTGATCTTTCGGAGAACATCGTGCGAGAACGTAAGCGGTGCCTTTGTTCCAGTCCTCAATATCCTCGGGACACCAGTCCAATTCTCCTCTTGCTGCTTGGCTAGGAGTCCGAGGTAGATAGCCTCGCCGTCGACAAGTAGGTTCCGTGCGAATAGAAGTAAGTCAAAGCAGTCTGTCTGCCGGAACTCGAGAGCTTTGAACAACCGGGGCATATTTTCTAAATCTACGTAGATACTTGGCTCGATAAGGCTGATGTTTTATAAGAAATAAGGTACAGATTCTCGAGGGCCATATATATGAAGTGTATCTCGAATGATCCATTTCTCTACATCCTCTCTTCCCCGAGAACAGTTCAGTAAAGCCGTATTGTCCGCTTAATATCTGTGGCTTCCTTGACGTTGAGGACTCTCGATGGATTGCGTAGTGCGAACCATACAGCAAAAGAAACCCACTAATAGCTTGCAATAGCTGCCATACGTATTCTAAGATTGCTTCTTCATCCTACTTCTGGACACAGCCCACAACCGCTACCGCCGCAAGCATGACCAACGCCACATCACCCTTGTAGTCCTTGCCTGCCAGTACCTGCATGGCCAGTCCCATGGTGAAAAACATAAGGCTTACAGCCGCGGCGGCATATTTAGACATCTTATTCCCGAATAATAGCGTGACTCCAACGATTGCGTCCATAATTGGAGTGATCAATGCAACAGTGGATCCGTCATCTGGGGCATGATACTCCTGGAATTCGTACCATCCCGGGGTATACTCGCCATGCGTGAAGCGCGAGAAGGCACCAAGTAGCACGACGGAAGAGAGGAGGTATCTCGAGAGGGTGGTGAGCCGTGACAGCATTGTGGTTAGATAGAGTATCGAGTCAGTGCGTATTTTGTTGATTCACTTGCACCACTGTAAAAGGAAAAAGGAAGATAGGACAATAACTGGTTTCGTTGTATCACCTTCGAGGGGTTGAGATTTGTTTCGGGCAGCTTCAACTTCGGTGAAGCTGTGGGTTTCGCCCCCACGATGACACGCTATCCGTAAGGCCTCCAATGAATGCACGTGACATAAGATGGCGTTCATCTCTCTTTCTATATAAAAAAATGAATAGTACTTTATGGCTTCTATGACTCCCTTTTCAAGATAGGCGGCTATCGCCGTGGGCGGGTATGCCCGATGACATAGGGTTCAACCGCCTCGGAACCCCAACCTTAAGCTTTCCAGTCCCGGACTCTGGGAAACACTCCGCACCACTCGGAGAAGAAGTGATAGTGCTGATGTCATTATGAAGTTAAAAATTATTCTCCATCATCTTAATGTCGTCTCACCCCGCTGGGTAGGACTTGGAGAGACTCAGGAAGATAAGTTACTAGAAACCAACTGGAACAATTCAAGATGATGCGCTGGCGGTCCCTTTTCTCTCTCGTACGAGAGGCATGTTATCCTTGTAGGACTAGGCTTGAATGATCGGGGAACTAATCGCTAAACAGCATCATGGTCCGTTCAGAAAACATGTGCGCCAGTTCAGCCTCCTAGAACACCACTCGCATCAACTCTTGAAACAGGTAAGGCAGTGTGCCACTGTAGGGGCATGAAGTTGTTAAGACCCTTCCCAGTTCGAGATTCCAGTCCCCCATGGGTTTGTAGTGCACAGTCCTGAGGCAGCTCGGGATGTCGTATACAACATTGGTAAGTTCCTGGTTTGGCGATGCCGTTTGAATGTTGGGAGGAATACCGGGACCATTGTCCAATGCTAAGACAACATCAGGGGCTCCGTCAGTCCTGAAGGCTCAGATACTCGCCGGTGGACGAGGCAAGGGCAAGTATAGCAGTGATGGGAAAGGTGGTGTTCGCATTGTTGACTCGTAGGTTCCTACGAATCCAGGGATACTTTTGTAGCTCTGACACAACCCAAGGGCGGACGAGGCTTTTGAAAACGCATCTAAGATGCTCGGTTATTCTCTCGTCACGAAGCAAACTACCTCCAGCGGTATTCCAGTACATAAGTTATACATCTACAAATCGGTCGATATTGCGCAGGAGTTTTACGTGGCTATTACCTTCGATCGCCAGCGGTACATGCCTGTCCTCCTCATGTCAGACGATGGAGGTGTCAATATCGAGTCGAACGTGAACCAGCTCCAGCGGTTTTGGTTCCATCTCTCGACCGGAATCACTCCTGAAATCGCGGCCTATATTGAAGCACAATTTGGATTTTCTGACGACGATATGCGCGTGGTCACACACATCTTGCGTCAGCTAGTAACATTGTTCCGGGAAAAAGACGCGACTCTCCTCGAGCTGAACCCCCTCGTGCGGACAACGGAAGGGTCCTTGATGTGTCTTGATGCAAAGTTCAACTTCGATGACTCGGCGAAGTTCCGACAGCCAGAGCTGGTTAGTCTTGAGGAACACTTGCCGGAGGAGAAAGATGAATATGAAGCTTCGAAATTGGGTCTTTCCTACATCCGGTTGGACGGTAATATCGGGGTTATTGTTAACGGCGCTGGTTTAGCGATGGCAACTAATGACTTGGTCACCTTGTACGGCGGGAACTGTGCGAACTTCTTAGATATTGGCGGGGGCGCCACTAAAGAGACACTGTCGAAGGCATTTTCGATTCTGCAGGGGGATTCCCGCACGAAAGGGCTGTTCATAAATATATATGGCGGTGAGTATGTCTTGGCTCAGAGAGTTCGTCACTAATCGGACCGGTACTAGGGATTGTTCGGTGCGATATGATTGCCGAGTCGATACTGGCTGCTGCTGCTGCGATGGGAGGGTTCAGGATTCCAGTTGTCCTTCGACTACAGGGTACAAACTACGAGAAAGGTGTTAAATTGGTAAGTCCACATCTTGTACCTCTTTCTATTTGCTATTCACTAATGGTATGTATAGATTCAAGAATCGGGCCTAGATAATATACTTTTAGAGGCCGATTTCGATGCAGCTGCTCAAAAGATCGTCGAGCTTACCCACGGCTCGAGATGAGTATTGGAGTCATGAAGGCTATTGGAAACACATCACTCGGCTGATCAGGTCGGCCTTGGTGTGAGGACGTGCAGGATATTGCGTGCACATGGATCACACCTAGTCAAGCAGAAGCAGGTTGAGTAGGTAAACATTTACTCTATGCAAGGACTTCCTTCAGGAGGATCACAATACATAAAGTTAATTTGGCTCCTCTCCGAGAGGGAATTCCTTGGATTTTTACAGGAAGATTGCCCTGGCTGTCTTCGCTGCAGAAGACGCTATATGAAACCATTGACTATGTCTTTCTGTGAGAGCGCTTTGCTCTTGCAAGCGGCGTTAAATGTCAGTCAACAGGGTATCATTCTCCCTCATACCAATCTAGTACAGCCTCCAGCATAGTAACATCAATTCATAACGATAAAACCTGCTATTCAAATTCAAGGCTCCTATTTTCACCTGAAACATATACTATTCCCTAGCCTCATCTGGCTTAAACAAGAGCTCGCCATTGATGTTGAAAATATGCTCATCGAGGGGGCAGTGAGCAGATACATATTCACCTGAATCGGTTAGAAGATCGGCATGCAGGATGGGCACTCGAGATGGCCCTTCTCTGGTTATCGAGAGATTTCGACTCGTTTTGGTAACGTTTTTTCCGCCCCAGACGAAATGTCCTAGTAGAGGTAGAGATTACCACGTGTCAAAAGTCTAATCAAGAAGAATAGAGGCCTTACCGTTATCGTTACCAAGGAAGTCATCGAGTAAGATGTCGCTGGTTAGACCTGATCCTTCCTCGTTATTGCAGATAGCGACTAGGGAAGTTCTCCTTTTTCCACGCTCGTGGTCTAGGTGAATATCGCAGGCGGTTTCATGGAAAGACATCGCGAGAGGACAAAGTAAATGATATGTTCTGGTTCAAAGTAGGTTACATTGGTCAGGATTCGTCAGTGGAATTCAAACACGCGTGATCTGGGGTGTGCGTTTGAGATCCACTTATATAGATGGATAGTGGCCAAGTCTGTTGATATAAAGTTGGGATTGCATAATCATGATGTAGCGGAATAAAGATCTTCCAGTACCAGACCTTATTCATTGGAAATATGTGTTGATGCAGGTGTTTCTTTTCCTCTCTGGAACACAATATCCCATAAGTCATTAAGATGGGCCATGCAGTCATATGATATTGGCAGTGTCAGGTACTTTCTTTTGCCTCTTTAGTAAGCCACTGCGGGATATTCCTATTATATATATGAAGCAACTTCCACGAGAGACCCTCTTAAATGCAGGTGTTTATTAGAATTACATACGATTATAATAGGATGGCTATGATTTATTACACTTGTGTATTCTTGATGTTGTATACGGGAATTCAGAGAGCAGCGAAGAGAAAAGTTAAGAATGTTTCGGAAACTGGAAAGAATTCCATGATCTGTTCGGGGTATATACGAGTAGTAACTATGTACAAGAAGAATGAGACCGGCAGAACGGGTCATGGGCTGCCTAGCGCCCAGAGCAAATATTTATACATGGCAGGTGAAAGCCTTTTGAACTCACACAGGCGGGTGTTGACCATTTTCGTTTATGGCCACCAATTGGTAATCGTTAGAGCGAGATCGATATAGCTTGAAGAGTTTGCAACAGCACCGATAGAGACCAGCAAGCAGCCCACAGATACTTACCACCATAGCGAAGCCAAGAATCCAATTGTGCAGATCGAGAAACGTGTCAAATCTTGACTTTTGCTCTTTCTGGAGCACGTCGGTGACACCAAGAACATTCCCTTCCCCGTCTAGAGCTGCGAGACGGAATAAAGGGCCAAGGTCGTCAGGGATGTCGATTTCCGTCTCGAACCCGGTTTTTTCGAATTGCGCCACAACACCAAATGAGAACTCGGTCAAATCATCGGAGTTCCACACCTCCAATCTCCACGACGTAACTTCCGTTGCGCCGTTCCAGCTCACGTACACTTTATCACCGTCGACCTCAGCATCCGGGGTCGTCTGAGGGAGTCCCACCCAGTCACCCTTGAAGGCACGGTAAGAGACAACACGCCCAAAGGAGAAGAAAGCTGATGCGCCAAAATGGACATTGCACAGCAGTTCTCCATCGGCGCTGAATTCGCTATAGGCAGCACTGTGGCCCCAGCCAACTAGAACCCGGCCAGTATCATCCAGCATCTGTACATTGCCTTGCGATACGGACTTCATCTGTTGGGGATGATAGTAAGCGGCCAGCACTCTTGCCTGCTTGGAGGCAATATCTAATTGAATGGCCACCCCACGACTCTCATCATCTGGATCATTGCTTGAGTGGGCGGCGTTGTCAAACAGTGTTAAAGTGTTGTTCGCGTGCCAGCGCGCATCATGTTGCCAGGCGAAATTCGTTGCTTCGCCATCGGAGAGGTCAGTGAAATCATTCATTTTGCCCCCTAGTGTCCACAATAAAGATCCCGTCTTTGAGTCAATGCAGCCGACCGAATGCAAGTGGCGGGAAGACACAAGGTAATTCCCTTGATCATCTTTCTCGACGCTGTTGATGTGGAAGTAGTCAAATGCTGATGTGCGATCTTTGCCCGCCTTGCCCAGGGGCTCGTACGTGCTGTCGACGGGATAGTGTTTTGAGGCGCGCCACTCGAACAGCAATTCACCGGTCTCGATATCGATCTCCTGGAATACGCCGTCGAATATCCAGCCTAGTTCCGGACCTCCGACAGGTGTTAGATCCACTGGCGTTGGGTCGTAGATAGTCACCAGGGCCGTGCCCTCGTCGGTTATCGTGAATTCGTGCAGGTCACCACCGTAGTTGCCGACGGGATTTATCACGTATCGTTGGGTGTAGGACGAATCGAGCTGGTCATGGTCAGTCACACACATATCGCCCCTTGTGGGATCATACGTACCATATACCACGATCCATAGCCGCGACTCTCGATCTCGTGACCTTCCCAGTACGTTATGAAATCTTCACCCTTATATCGCTGGACTTTGAAATCCTGGGTGGTGTCCCAGTTATACTTCATCCAAACCAGATTGCCCTGAGCGTCGAGAATCATTGGACCTGCTTGGGGCACGGAATCACCGCGCGGCGCAAGAAAAGTGTATCGCGGGTCACATCCTGAATCTGATTCCGTGATTTCGACAATTGGCGATTCGTAGTCAAAGGAAACGTAGCCGGTTGAAGGGCCAAACCCATACAGACCTAGGTCATATTGGCTCAGATCCGTGCGGAAGCGAAATCGTAAAAGTTGCGGGACCGCGAAGACATAAAAGATGTAGAGAAAGCTGATGACCACGCCAACCGTAGCAAGATGGCGGCCGGTGATGAGGCTCAACCGCGAGCGACGGGCATTTTTCGAAGGCCAAGTCCAAGAGGACATTGGGACATGACGGATGAGGTGCAAAGTGTCTAGGACAAGAGCAAAAGGGATGGACGCGGGTCGTGGGGGGGTATATGAACCCCCTCCCTATGAAGTACGTCCATGCTCCAGAGTGAGGTACGCAATCGTAATCGTATCTCCCCTGTTCAGCATTCAGGAGAAACAATGGTTTCGAGCACAAGACCCAGATAAAAATGCCAAGATGCCCCGTTCACGCACCACACAACGTGGTTTCAGGTTCCGAATCTGCGGCGTATTAAACGCACTCTGGTCAAGGAAGGTAACTCGACCTTTGTGCCGTTCTCCGGGCTTTGCCAAGATAACCCACAGTGGGTCGTAAGATAGACGAGCTCTAGGAGACATTCTACCATGAGTGGTCTGCTGAAGATTTAGCCATCTTGGCATGCTTTCTTCCCCACCCCGAATGTGTATGGGTGCCGACTGCCGGCAATTGCTCGGTTGATAGAATCAGCTTGGCTGGCGCTGGTTGCGAACGCCGGCATGCTTTTAGGGTTACATGCAACAGAAAGCCAAGGCGTAACGGACACTACCAGTGGCTGAGCGCCGCTGGAGAATCATGGATGATGGGGCCATCGGGGAATCTTTGTGATATCACCGACGCCGCGTGGATATTGTCATCACTTAATCTTGCCGAGTTTATGAACGCCACCGGCCACTGAGAGTCTGAGACTTTACCGAGCCCTTCCTCGCAGTGGGGCCTTGTCAATCTAACTTCACACTACGGTCCAGAGTCCTGCCACTACGCTCAGTCAGGAGAGAACTACACGATAGCACCAGACTAGTAGAGAGAGGAGATACACTTCAATACCCAATTCAGACAATCGCAACGTGGTACTGTGGAGTGAGTTTCCTGATCTTTCTCAGTCCACGACTCCACGCATTCTCGAAGTTTCAATAGCTCCATCGATCAGCGTAATAACGCCCCCTTGCTCCACACTTACACCCGAGCTTCCTATTATTGGATCCAGAAATGCTCGCTTTACTCGGCAATTCGTTCTGGATTAAGTTTCCATGTCTGCGAAGTAACATTCTCTACATTAACCAAGGAATCCATGACAATTGAACGATATCTTTCGCAACTCTCTTGTAGCGGGGTCGCATTGGACACTTCGTCCACTGATGTTGGACATTGAATCTATGCACGGCTTGGCACCTCGACTATTAATCACTTGGCAATGACTAATGGACTTGGTTTCATCCTCGGTTAGCATTTTAACCCTGTTCAAAGCCAGTGTGGTGTATATTTGCTCCGCTAATGCAGTCTGCAGTTTGCGATGCATGTGTGAGAGAGTTGCAGATAACTCAATTATCCGATGAACCCGGTTCTAGCCAACAACAGCCCATCCGATATATCTCTAAGTACGTCATACGGATCTATCGTTATCTGACACTCGGAAATAGATCGTGGCTGTGCATTGCTGCCTATTTCTTGCTATAGCTCTTCGGATGCGTGTGCCGTGCCATTGATGATATGAGGCTTTGTGCACCTATACTCAGATACAACCATATTTACATCCAAGACAGGTTAACTTAATTCGCTACGTCCAAAGATCCTTGCAGATACGTTGCCCATGTTCTGAGCCAGGCCTTGAATTCTTATATAGGTACCTAATACTTGTCGGATATAGCGCGTAAAACCAGAATTATGTAGGGTTTGTGCCCGTTTATCAACATAAAGATTTGGGGTTTCAATCCTATAGACGGCCACCAAGCTTCTATGCGCTTGAGAACGATTCTATGTCATGAGTTTTCTCTTCCATCAATTGAGAGGTGTATAAATTAAGGCATTGTTACGGTGCGTACGAGGCCGTGAAAAGTGCACACTGCATGATAATTTGACGTCCAACTATGCCCTGTGGATGTAGTGAACGAAATGGCCTACCGTAAAGACGGAAACCTTGAGTGTCATTTTACTGTAAATTGTAACCACCTCAACGCCATACGTTTTTTTTCCAACCCCTGCATACACCACCACTTTATCGATATATTTAGAGTTCGTCAAATCGTAGAATGAATTCAAGATCTCCAAACGTCAAGACCAGCTAACTATGCATTTTCTTATAGCTGATCCAGGAACCTCAACTAATAGACTACTGTAGAATGCCGTACGTACAACAACCTCGATATGGTTGATAGAACAGAGAAAGCTAAGAGCTGACATTGTCCTCGAACCACCAGCAGTTGTGTTGGCTAACTTCCTTTCTGAACAACAAAGCCACATTCCTGAAGAAGGTTGAGTAAATCCTTAATGGACTTTTTGTAATTTTCTTTCTCACCACTCTCCTCGTAAGATTTCCAGTCAGCAGCAGGTATAGTAAGATTGAAGGCATTATACTGGTACTTGGCCAAGTGATCGACTAGTTCCCCGTCGTGCTTAGCGTCCTGACCCAGTTCCGTTGGAACCAAACAGGCCCCATTGTTATAGATCATGTCCAGAATTTGACCAGCAATTCGCTGTCGGAAATCATCCTCTCCGTGAGACTGGTCTGCCGCTGGCAGAATCTTTTCTGCGATCCTAACTCGAGCCATTGCACGATGGTTTTCAGGTTCAAAAGCTTCGACAAAGCTAGTATAGTCGACATGAAGACCTAGCTGCTTCGCAGAAGGCAGCGCAGAGCGTCTGAAGACCTTCTGTCCATGTAATTGGCTCATTGCGATAATAGACTCGAGCGATCGGGCGCCATGGCGGAATTGTGGCACAGTCAAGAGTGCGTTCAGCACTCCGTCGTCCAGTTCGATCTCTTCGTCTGCCTTGCAGCGGAGTCGGTTCTGCAGCATTGCACGCAGATGGATACCGCGGCGAACATAATACATATAGTCGGTGTCTGTTGGGCTTTGGTGCGACCCTTGAATATTCACAAACCCCCGTAGTCGGCTAACAAAGTCCGGCTTCTTCGCGTCTTTTGCGTCTTTGGTTGCCAGATCAGTGGTGAAATCCTCAAACGTGGAACATGTGCCACCGATAAAAACGAAGATAGCCGGCCCCAGCGGTCGCTGATGGCCGTGTTCTAAAAACTTGCCATCCTGCATTGGTGCTAGCAGGTACTGAAGCCACCCCAGTTTCGTCTCGCCAAAGCCGCTATCAAACTCGTCGAAAAGCACCAACGGGACTTCATTAGACAGCCCGCTGTCACGGACCGTGTGGAAAGCGACGACTAGATCATCATATGCCCGGAACTGGGACAGGTTGAACGTCAAGGGTTTGCTGACTTGCTTCCCTCCGTTGCTCACCCGTTTGGCAACCGCTTTGACGACCTCTTTGATCCCGAATGACTTTCCTGACCCGGGTGCGCCAAAGACACCTATCGAAATTGGCTTCTCCTGCGGTGATTGCAGGTACTCCGTCACCAAGTTGGCGATCGCTCTAAAGCTTTCCTTTTCCTGTCGGTCTGCCGTCATGAGGTTTCCGAACTGTGCAGTAGGAATCCCCGCGAGCGCCGTCTTGCATCCTTTCGTCACAATCTCATCTGCGAGCGCTTTGGTTTTCTTGCGAAGTTCCTTGCCCTTAGGATCTTGTAGTTTCAGAATTCCCGCTCCCAGCGTAGTAATATTCGTTTCAATTTCACCATCAGCTGGCTTTGGTCGACCTTCCACAGTTTTCTTCGCAAAGGGCTCGATTTCTGTTTGTATTCCATCGAATTCTTCCTTACTTAATTCTTTCTGCAATAAGCTCTCTATTGCGCCTTGTACTGCTGCAACGTCGGCTTGGGCCTGCAGTTCCAGGAATCTTTCCAGAACACTCTTAATATAGGGTTTCAGTTTTTCAACGTCAGGTGCTGCTTCCGATTTCGCAAGAGCTGCAGTCCCTGATTGCACAGAAGCCGCAATCTTTGTCGCCAACACTGCCACATGGGCATCTTCTTGCATCTGCAGAATGACTTTGACAGATTCTTTGATTTTGGGCCTAGTGGCTCCCGGAAAGCTCGAAAGCGTGGCCGAATCAATCCGCGCGTCTTCTTCTGCCCCAGCCTTTATGATTCCCTCTGCAAATTCTCTAATTGGTTGTTCAAGGTATTGCCCTTCGAGTATCGTTTGGAGGATACTCCAACGGTATTCCCTCTGGTTCTTAATCTCGGAGGATGGCACAATAACTTGGACGCCTGGGAAATCCTCTCCTTTAATCTTATCATCAAGCACATAATAATCACCTTCGTCATTTCTCACAGGTAGTACTTTTGCCAATGCCACTTTGTGTGAGGCTAGCAATCCAGCCTGGATCGCTTCCCTGTAAGCCTCTTTGCTTTGAGCCAACGGTCTAACCAGACCTGCCACGAATCCAGCAGCAATGGCTGGTGTGCGTCCTGGAGTGGACTGGATGAAGTCTCCTTCGGAGTTCTCCGACTTGTGAATGTAGAGCTTTGCTGTCACATCCTCTGCTGTGGCATTTTCAACATGAACAACGCCGTCGCAATCAAATCGGACGATCAGATTCGGAGTTTTTCGAAGCACCTCAAGCTCTGGCTTTTCCTGTTTCTTAAAAATGAAATTTCGGAGCAAGTCCTCTGTGGTTTGCGCCCAAGACAGATGGCGACTGATCTCGACGTGCTTCCACCTGAGGTATTCGGCATCGATGACCACTCCTAAGGGGTCCCAACCATCATCAGCACAATTCCTCCCATCAGCCAGTTTGGCATAGCTGTCGAGCGTAGTCCACTGCATGTCGCTCTGCTCAATCAAATTTCCAGATCGTTTAAAAATCCGATACGATGGGTCGACTCCAAAGACGTTCACCTCAGGCTGTTCTACCAGCACTAGCAAATCATTTTGCCCAATGTTGGCATTGGAGGGATTTTGGGTATCGCCCAGACTGGACTCTAGCTGAAGGCATGACTTGATGTGATGGCGAGATGATGGTTCTGGTGCCAGTTGCTCGATCTCCAAGGCTGTTTGGATGGCGGTGCCATTTTCACGTTTGATAAAATGACATTGGATTGTAGAACCAGCGTTACTAGCCTTGCGCTCTAACTGAGATACAATGTCACGAACCAATGCCGCACCTCCGGGAGGATTACTGGTAGTGACTTTGCGCCCGCCATAGTGTAGGTATCTGAAACGATCACAGTACTCCTTCCCTGCGATGAAAACATTGGGAGCCATGTTTCTGTAGTTGACAATGCGAAAGAGCTAGTGCTTAATGCCTTGGTGGGTATAGTATGGAAGGAGACAAGTGAAGAAGAAATAGATGTGGAGGTTTCTGATGGAACACACGCAGTGCTTTGCCTTTATATAATTTCCGCTTGTTTTTGTAGGACGCATAGTCAGATACTGAAACCCAGCGCATCTTACTAGTGTATCAACCGCCATAGAAACTTGCAGGGTCAGGTCAATCATAGCCTGCATGTCTAGGCTGACCAACCATGGAAGGCCCCACTCCCACAACAGATGAACTAGAAGGATGTCGGAGACCAATGTAGGTAGGTATACGTGTGCAACCCCCATTCAGTGCTTTCCGAGCCTTGCAGATTGATCTAGAAAAAGATCTGCGTCTCGATGCTGGAATGGGGCGAGCCGACGCTATAAAGATACTCGTGGTCGTTGACACAATGGTGACTGCGGAAATACTAACCAACTTCGAAAGGATGTAGCTTTTGAGCATCTCTGGAAGGATAGCTACTATTCTTGCATAAGAATCCCTAGACTGGGGAGTGATTTCTGTTATTTACAGCTGCTAAATTCTAGTGTCGCTACTCCTGCTAGGCGACGTCTAAGAAGAATATCACCCAATTTCAGAGCGGGCCGCAACCTAAACCATGCGGCTGATCGCCAGTGGGCTGAATGGGTGAGGACTAATTACTTATCCTGGAGGTAGAGGGATCCTGCTAGCCCTGAGCTGATATGTCCAAGCGCAAAGAAAAAGAAAAAGGGCAACTTGGGTTCCAGCTACAGTGTACATCTCGCACAATCTTTCCTGTCCCAACACAGAACCGGAAAGTATTTACAAATTCCTTATGCACTATGATTGCCGATCGCGAACAACGCGGTAGGAACCCGTATAATTGATGTTCAGCTTTTTCAGCTGAAGCGTGAGTAACAACCAATTGTATCCAAACACATCGCTCTGCAGACGGTTCGAGCTACGGCGGGTCTCTCATTGGTCAAGTCTGTCTGCATAGTATGCATGTAACAATCTTATGCTCCATATGGTTGCTGGGTCAATGCGCTAATCTTCCACCAGATGGAGAGCTGTGTATTAGCCCCCGATCGGTGATTTTCATCGTGAGAGAAGTACTGCTTAGCCCGACTACTTGGTGCGAATACCTCCCATTGTTGAAATACATAAACGACTAGACACGCTGCCAAGCTCCCATCTACCTTCGTAGATCTTGGTGAAGCCTAGACATGGCAATGTCACAATCCTGATGCCCATTCCGCATTGCATGGGGTAGGATAACTCGGGGATTTAGTCTGGACGATCAATTGACGTGTTCAGTTGTCGAGACCCATCATGCCATTCGTGCTCAGCCTTGACACTACGAGGACGGTACAGGAGCTCATGCAACGAATGTTTCCCCCTCCTTGAGCCAGGCCCTATCTCTGCACGCGGCGTATTTCTTCTTCTCAGTTCATTTGTTCTCAATGTAGAGCTTTATGGCGCGCCTCCAGTTGTTAGGTTCCTATTGTTGACTAAATGACCCACCGGCTACTGCGTAGGCTCCTGAACTAAGTCTAGTGCAGTTGTTAGTCTCCTTTATGCATACACTACTTCATAATAGTTACTATCATCGCTATCACTTCAGAATATCCTGCTATGCTAATACGCTTTCATCTGCCCTTTGGAATCCTTCCACTCCAGATTGCAACTAGGAATACATAATACGTCTTTTAACACACAGTGTTATTTCTCAACTGATCGCACACTTTATGTAAATCACTTAATTCATGTAGGTACTACAATACGGGGAACAGCCTCTGCAAGAGGAGACGCTGTACCTAATGTATATCTAATTGGTGAATCATATGAAATCTCCTCTTTCCCATGCATGTAGATCCACTTATTCCTTGCGCACTACTATGAGGTAGGCTCTTGATTAAAAGGAACACGGATACTGGCATCCGGCGAGCGGGCTCAAGTGGTGACAAAGTACCAGCATGTTATTGGGTCAAGATATGAGGTATGTAAAGTATGCGCCTCGCTATGCGTAATACCACTGGGTGTGGACCGCGAGGATGAGCCCCAAAATCCTCTTCTGCCATACAAGTGATCACTTATGATCAGCGGCTTTCGTTTCGTGGGATCAAGTGCTATCCATGTGTATTCCCACGCCTTCATAGTCTCGCTGGATCTTTGCTGGATGATGGAGTATTCTCTTGCTGAGGACGCGAGTGCTGCGTCCGGCTCTTGCGGCGTCTTCATTTCCTTGGTTATATCTACCGACGCCAGAATCGTACTTCTCGTTATATATCTTATCTATTTGCTTTAGGCTATGCACTTTATTTTAGCAACGCAACCCGGCAAACCCCCGAAATATGATCATACCCTACGGCGTTGGACCTTAACAGCCTACTTAACGACCTAGTCAACGGTTTGGTTTTGTTCACATTTTTCCCATGCCTCCGAGGAGCTTGCCATTAAAGACGAAGTAAACCCCACAATCGAAATTACGAATGAAGTAGCGACAGCACTACTCATCACCTATCTGTTTCTCTAGTAGTCGTAACAAAGCACCCTGAACATCTTCCCGGCCCATGAATACTTCAACCATCCTCACTCCCGTTCCGTCTTGTATACTCTTGTTTCTCAAAACAGCATCCAACTGGCCCCAAGTCCGAGCAGAGAAGTACCTCCTCGTGAGATGTGTATCGTCCGCACCGAAGAAGCCCAAAGCCTGAGCATGCCTCCAAGGAGCAATATCGTTATACGACTGTTTCCTTCCATGAATAGCCCGCTCAATGGTATACCCTTCGTTATTAATGATGATGATGATAACGTTCAGACTCTCCCTGATTATCGTGCTGATCTCCTGAACCGTCATCTGTAGGCTTCCATCTCCGATGAAAAGGATGGCGCGGGACTCTGGATTCTGCGTTCGTTCTCTCTGAGCTAACGCCGCTCCCAATGTCGCAGGTAGCATGTACCCGATTGATAGCCAAGTGGCAGGGCCAAGAAGCCGCGTGTTTTGCGGCAGGACCATATTGCGGCCTCCGTGTGCTGCAGTGCCTGTTTCTGTGAGGACAATGTCACATTCACGGAAGAGTGAATTTGCAATCCTGTAGAAGTCTTTCTGAGTGATTGGATCGGACGGATTGAGCTGGTCTGCTTCGTTGGTTGACTTAGCAGGCCCGGTCACTCTGGGGACTCTGCTGGTGTCGAGTGCTTCCAGTATCTGAGGGAGGATGTTGCTAGGATGTATATCTCGGTATATGTCACCGTCCATTTGGACATAGGTGTTCGACAGCGTAATTGTCACGGTCGGATTGGGAATGGTTGTGAAGTTCTGGCTGTTTGTATCGCTGTAATGCGGGCCCATGTTGATGATTAGATCTGCTGAATCGAAATACTCTTTCCATTGCGGATCGCCTAGCGACCCAGCGTAAATCCCGTACACATTTGCCAGTTGTTCGTTCACCAAGCTTTTGCCAAAGATGGTCGTCCACGTTGGCCAGCCGGTTGTCTTTACCAGTCTATCGATTTCATCCAGAATTCCCATACATCTGCTTTCGCCATCTACCAGTATTAACGGTCGCTTGGCAGCGTAAATCCGGTCCAGGATGCGATCCAATACGACTGGTTCATATCCAGTGACTGGCGCAGAAGGTGTGCAGATCATCGTTGTCAGGTTCGACGCATCCACATGAACATCAACCATATCGTCTGGTACCTCTAGGTAAACAGGCCGACTGTGAATCATGGCCTCTCGCAAAGCCCAGTCGACCTGATCGGGTACTAGCCGGGGATCCTTCAGGTCCACCTGTGCCACTGTTACATGGGAGGCCATGTCTGCAAATCGTCGGAACTCTCCATCTGCGAGGGTATGATGCACCAAAGCTCGTGAATCTTGAATTGTTCGAGCAGGTGTGCCCACAATGTGAATAATCGGTGCTTTCTCGGCATAAGCACCTGCTATACCGTTGATCGCAGAGAGTTCCCCAACGCCAAACGTGGTTATGAGAGCTGAAACACCATTTATCCGGGCATATCCATCAGCAGCATAGGCAGCGTTAAGCTCATTGCAGGTGCCCACCCAGGATAAGCCAGATGGTTGAACGAAGTCAAGTAAATGGAGGTTGTAGTCGCCTGGGACGCCGAAGATAGACTGGATACCCAGTTGGCGCAAGCGAGTGAATAGATAATCGGCTAATTTGATCGACATTGTTGTTAGATAGCCAGAGTGTTACCGATGCATTGCATATAGCTACCTTGATTCTGTGTACTATCGGTAGTTTATAAGATTGTAGGGTTAGCTCGGAGAAAGTTGCAATTCATTCGCCGACACTCCGATCCGATTACCCCGTAGCAGAAGAGAACTTTCTTCCCGTATCAACGGCCAAAACTCCGCTCCGTAACAACGTGCTATCGCAGCGAAAATGACACCAAGATTAGCAGCATGTGAAGCATGCAGAAAGTCAAAGCTCGCATGCGATCACAAACGGCCGGCATGTACTCGCTGCCGGAATGCCAATCGGGTCGGCATGTGCGTTTATCGCGCTGCGCCGTTCAAGCGGAAAAGAACGCAGGTGCCCTCTCCATCGGCTGTGGAACTTTCCGAAAGGTCAGTCTACTTCCTGTCCTCTGTTTAGTATGTCTTTCTGATAGTAAACCCAAGTAGTCCGCGTTCTCCAGGCCCACTGCCTGTAACGCCGACTCTGAGGCGCCGCCCATACCCAAACCCTGGGTATCTGGGGTTTTCCAGCCATGTGTCTATATTCAATCATATCGCGCCAGACGGAGATAGCAGTACTGATATCTCAACGGCTACTATGCCAGGCTACCCGTCCGAGAGCTACGAACTCACACAACGGGCAGCCGACGCTCTAAGCCAATTTTTCGGCACATTTCCCCTAGAGGCCACCATAAGCTTCGTCAATTTCTGGCTAGCCACAGGCATAAACCTGGCCTTAGCTGGGCCTTTCGTGAAGCATTGTGCACAGACCATGAACCATCTACTACCCCTGCTATCACATAAAGATTGGCACTTGGTATACGCACGACAGTTGCTGCAGAACTCAGCGAAGCCACTGCAGTTCAACCACGAATCCAATTTTGCGAGTTTCTCGGCCCAGTTCTTCGATGAAAACGCAAGATGGGAAACGATTGGCATATTCTTTGTTGTTGTCAGCCGAGCAACACTAGATGTGCCGTATTTTCCCTCCTTATATCTATCAGAAAAAGAACAATATGCACTGCGGAGATCTGCCACCAAGTTGAGTGACTGTGCCTTGGAAATCTCTCTTTCCCTTGATTGTCTCAACGATTTACAACTCATATTCCAGTACGAGAATTTCATTGTCCATTCACACGTAGATGGGGACCAAAGTAAGCCATCCAAGATTTCAAAGTTGCCTGGCTTGCCATTGACTGAACAGGTTACCATTCCTGGAGGAGACTTGGGGATGCAATAGCCTCTACCTTTGCACTAGGTTATCATGAAAACATCGAAAATAAACCCGATCTTCCACCATTCTTAATTGAACTCCGCAAACTTGCCTCTGCTCGGCTTTACTCGGCAGACAAGAACATAGCCATTTTCCTCGGGCGCCCACCCCGAATGAGCAAGCGATTCTGCCATTTCCAGCTCTCATCAAGCTGGGCTGGATTTGACAGTGACGCCCCTGAGCACATCACGGCAGCTCTGCAAGATGCAAAAGCTAGCTATAAAGCTGAGACACGTTGGTCTGCGTTGTGTGCGTCCCTGAAGGAAGAGATTATGGAAATGTTTTGTGACAACAAGAAGGATACCTTCACTGAGCGGGCTAGGTATGCTATAGCCAATGTTATAATGAAAGTGGCTAACGACGGCAGTGTGATCCAAGAGAAAGCGGAGACTTATTGGGAGGCACTCCCTCCTCAGTTTCGACTAGAGGGAAGCTTGAAGCAGTGCACCCAGAATCCGTTCGAGAGAGACTTCGTAGCTGCTGTCCGACTAAACCACTTGCATGTGTTATTCCTCTTGCGCCTCCTCCTCCTGAACACACCGGCTGAGCCAGATATGCCCATAACAGAGGTGGCGCAACAAATGATGTCCCTCGTTGTGGAAAGTATCCTTGTGCGAGATCAGCTTGTTAACTCTGGGACTGCACTGGTTTGGAGGGTAGGCACGTCCTATCCATCATTATGAACGTATATTAAACGTGACCAGGTTGCGCATTACGGCCTCCCAGCCGCTGGAATCATTCTTCTAGCCATGCTTCGACAGCAGGATATTCCCAGTTTGGCGCAAATTTCTTGGACCCGGGCGGTACAGGACTTGACCGTCTTCGTGGCGGAAGTCGAAGCAGGATCATTTATCAAGCAAGGGGATCCAAATTATGCATTATTATCCAAAGCATCACAGACAATTCGGAGGTTCATTGACACCGTACAACCTCCAGTGGCCCATCGCCGCGTGGATGAAAGTTGGACTGGGTTTCTTAGCCAGGATCCGTGGGACTTCGAGTACTCCTTTTGGGAAAACTTGGCGGATCACCCATCATTGGACTCCTTGCCTACTCTTTGATGTTTCACTGTTTCATTATAATATAGATAAGACGTGAGTCATTTTTCCCGCGTGAAGCGATGATGCGATCCACTCTATAATGGCCGTATCAGTCGTTCCGATCACTCCGACTATCCATCCTCTCTCCGGTCCGAAGCTGTATGGATCGGAGAACACAACATATATATGTCAAATTTTGACCGGGTCCCACGAGTCATTGATGAACAACATTACAATTCATCAATAGCTATTACACTATGACTAGGTCAACAGTATCTTCCGTCCACTCTACCACACAACCATCTTCTTTACGTTCTACCGTATCATCCAACCGCAATGGCAAACCACAGTCCAAGTCAATGAAACACCATTTCAGCACGGAAAGCAAAGATTTCTCTGGCTCATCCCTCAAAAAGCTGGGCTCCCGACTGCATGGACGGAAGGTCATCCCTCTCGGAACTGGGAGACCAACCGCCGACTTTTACCCTTGGGAGTTTCTGACAATTCGAGGAATGGTACCTCATCCACCAGCATCTAGTGCTACCGGTTTAGACACGGCGGAGTACACCATTACGAAGCACGATAGCACATATAACCTATCCAACGGGTTGAACTATGGACCGACGGTGGGGTCACCATCCCTTGTTCGGTTTTTGACAGAGCATGTAGAGATTATGCATCGTCCGCCCTATGCAGACTGGAGCGTCAGTCTGACTTCTGGCTCGACGGCTGCTCTAGAGATTGCGTTCCGTATTTTCTGCAATCGTGGAGATACAGTCCTGGCTGAACGATTCACCTATCCCGGAGCGATTGAAGGGGCAAAATTATTAGGGTTGGCTTTTGAGGGCGTGGAAATGGATGTGGAAGGCCTTCAACCGGAGGCTCTGCAAAGGATTCTGCGGCAGTGGGATCTATCGCGAGGGCCCAAGCCTCATGTGCTGTACACCATTCCCACGGGCCAGAATCCCACTGGAGCCACGCAATCGACAGAGAGACGGCAAGCCATTTACGACATTGCTGAAGAACATGACCTGATCATTATTGAAGACGACCCGTACTACTTCCTTCGTATGGGTGCCTACCAATCTAATCAAGAAAGTACAGCGGAAACCTCTGATCTGCCATCCTGCCTCTCGCTCGATCGATCAGGTCGTGTCGTCCGTCTTGATTCAGCGGCTAAGATCTTAGCCCCTGGTCTCCGGGCTGGCTGGGTGACCGCGAGTGCGCAGATCATAGAGAAATTTGTGGCTTATCAAGAGATCACTACAGTGGAAGTGAATGGCCCATCGCAGTTAATGCTGTGGTCCCTGCTTGGCCAGACATGGGGCCATCAAGGCTTTACCTCTTGGTTGAACCACATATCGTCGGCATATCGCACCCGGCGGGATGCTCTACTGCGTGCTTGTGATCAATACCTACCTCGAGATATCTGTACCTGGGACCCACCGGAGTATGGGATGTTCTTGTGGCTGCGCCTGAACTGGGCGAAGCATCCTTTATTCAGGAACAACATGGAACCGGTGGAGAGCGAGGATTTATTGTCTGAGATTGCTGAAAAAATTAACAACAATGCAGTAGAGAATGGGGTACAGGTTACAAAGGGATTACTTTTCGCTCCTAATCAGAAACCGAATGGCGAACTGCAGTTTCGGTTGACCTTTGCCGCTGCTCCTGCAGAAGAATTCGAGCAGGCTGTAAAGGCTTTGGGGGATGCTGTGAGACAAGAGTTTTCGGCTATCTGCGACTAGGACAGGTTTCAGAACAGTAGAGGATGCACATTGTGGCACTTCGTTCAATGTAGAGTTCCCCAAGTTCTGAGCTACCACTCTTTTCGATTCTATATCTTCCCATCCTCAAGAGGCACCTCAGGTAGAAGCAGCTGTAACCATTCCCGGTGCCTGCGCAACAGGAGCAATTCTACCGGTGACCTGACCAAAGCCGATGCGAGAATTTCCCTCGCCTACCCATCCCTCTATCGTAATCTCATCGTTGTCCTCCAGCCAGCCCAGTGACACGTTATTTGCAAGTTGAACCGGTGTCTTCCCTCCAGCCGTCAATTCATGAATGCACCCAAGCCGACCTAGACCCGTAGACGCTTGCTCCAGATCCTCGCTTGCCTGCTTGGCAGAGGAGGACAGTGTCCCTGTTCCAATCAGATCCCCAGGGGCAAGACCACAGCCCGCCGAGGTATGATGCGCAAGCATCTGGAATGGTGACCAGTATGTATGCTTCAAGTTACTTCTGCTGATGGGAGTCCGATGGCTATCCCCTCCTGTGTTTTCCATCAGCACCATAGCCCAGGAACTCATACACCGGGAAATACATACTAGAGATAAACGTAGAGACATCTATCGAGACATCTTCCGCACATTGTAAGAAAGGATTCGCCGTGAACTTCCCCTCGGTAGCAACATCCGCTTTGGCGGGACCGATGGCGCCCGCTTCTTCAAGCGCATCCATCGTCACGACCCAGGTAGAGATGCTGGTTCCACAGCTCTTACCGTTGAACGGTCCCAGGGGGATCATCTCTGCGAACTGCACATCTCTTGCGCTCCAGTCATTCAGCAGAACGAAGCCGAATATATAGTCTCGGGCGCGGGACGCCGGAATGAGTTCACCAATAGGTATCTTCGTAGAGACGAACATGCCAAGTTCGACCTCATAGTCCAGTTTCTGGCAGGGGTAAAGTCCGTCAGAGCCGACGCCGTATGGTCGCTGGATCGGCGTGCCACTGGCGACGACCGATGAGGCGCGGCCGTTGTATGCTAACGGTTGCTTGCGGAAGCTGGGGGGTACATCGCCGAAGCCTGCTACGCGACCAACCTGTGTTCACATGAGAGACGCGGGTTAGTGATGTACTTTGTGCAATGGAGAGCCGGGCTTGTGTTTGGAATCCTCGAAGATTCCAAGGGGATTGCTGCTTACATTCACGACGTGCTCTAGAGAGCAGGTGTAGTCTGTGAAACCGCCCATGGAGAATGGGAGGTGCATTGATACTCCTGCTCTTGGAATTAGTAGCTTGGGCTGTTCTATTTGGTTGTATAATGGTGAATCCGCATTTTCAATCAGCCCCTGGATGTCCTTCCGTATCTTGGACCGGACAGGACGAGGAAGCGCTGCGAAGCGGTTGAGCGTCGGCTACCGGCCACATTTCAGTGAGATGGAGTGGACAAATTCCTGCTACCATTCCTTACCTCGCGGAAGATATTTTCTACTCCATTGGCTTGCTCAACGGCCAGAGCACCACGGTTTGCGACTCGGAATAAATCGATCACATAGTCACCAATCGCTGCTCCTGGGCGTGGCGTGGGCTAGGCACATGGCGCAAAGGTGATTAGCTATAGTGGAATCAAGTAGTCTACTTTATCTACTTACGTCCTCTGAAGTGCTGAAAATGCCGAAAGGTATATTTGATACTGGGAAGGGAGAACCGTGTGGTATGGGGAATGGGTGAGAAACGAAGCCTGATGTTACAGTCATTGTGATAGGTGTTGCAATTTTGCCGAGTAGAGAATTGAGAAAGCTTGTATATTCAAATGGTCAAGTTCTTCTTCATTTTTACAGTCCAACAGTGCTTTATAGTCCATTCGGCTAAGGTTCGATTGTTGACCACCGTCAACCGGGATAACCGTTCGGGAACGCCTAGTGACATCCGGCGTTGGACATACAGATTAACACCCTGTTCGATGAAAGAAGCCATGTTCACATATATCTTGCATGCTATCTTGAAGCTTCAATGACGACATTTAAAGTTGCATTCACTTTAACAGCATGGTAGAAGCAATGTTCAGTATGCTTTACGTAGTAGACATCGTATTCTTCGTTTGTTCTTGGTGAGCGTGTATGTCGGAGCCTCGGTGGGCACCCGAAGTCCAAGAGCACGAATACCCCACTCGGGGGATCTAGACACTCAGCACCAGTTTGGCCTTTCAACAGCACTACTTCGTCTAATTTCACACGGGGTATATTGGCCCGAGCTAGGGCGATTTAGTTAATCTCTAACTGGCCTCGATTGACTTGCAAAAATCGATTACTGGTCAGTGAGTGATGGTATTGGCTCGGAGCCCTAATTCGGCCCCACATGACTCTATCACGAGAGACTGTCGATATTACGGGGTTGACGAATTGAATGATTCATGATAGGCCAAAGCGCACTTAGCAACTTACTCAGGAATAGTGCCAGCGAGTCATGAGAACAGCCCCGAGGTGGGACGCATATTATGAAAGCCCCGACTCGGCGCAACCCCACGACAGCATTCGGGCGCTAAGTCCACGCTAGATGCTCCGAGCAATTGTCCCTTGGTAGCTTGTTTCTGTACGCATAGCTCTACCCCCACAGACTATCTGCTGGGTCTGTAAGAAACGCTGCGGGGAAGGAAAGAGCCTATGGTGGTGCTCCGGCGGACTTTGTTGATGTCTGGTTATTTTATATAGCTCCAAGGCTTGGGGATAAAACATGCCGAGAATAATTTCCATTACGAGCTCCTCAGAAAAGCCTTTCCAACTATCGTTTTTCATAGAAGTATCTTGAAGCCATCCCCAACTTTATTTAATTAATTACCTACCATGCCTCCCCCCGTACAAGTCGCATATAAGAAAATCGGCAAACCAACAGTCGGCGAAAACGGTTATGTCGAATTCCAGCCTGGGAAAACAGAAGTCCTGCCGAAAGGCTGGAATGGCTTCAACGCGAAGCCATTGATAAGTGATATTCGCGTGGAACATGACGTTGAAATCGTGGTCCGTGATGGTGCTCGACTTTACGTTGATATATATCGCCCAGCAGATTCAACCGAGAAGGTGCCCGCGGTGCTGAGCTGGTCATTTTACGGCAAGAAATACAGTGCATTGGATATGTTACCAATGTGCGTGTGGAACTGCTGTGTCCCGCGCTCCGACCTCAGCGGCTTGGAGAAGTTCGAGGGACTGGACCCCCAAACATGGTGCCCGAAGGGTTACGCGATCGTCAGTGTGGATACCCGTGGCGCTGGGAATAGTGATGGACAGATTTGTGTCATGGGGAGTCAGGATGCAGAAGATGGCTACGATATAGTGGAGGCAATCGCTGCCATGGACTGGTGTAATGGGTCCATCGGTATGGCTGGTAACTCCGCGCTGGCGATTGCCCAGTGGTTTATCGCTGCCCAACAGCCCCCGTCGTTGAAGGCCATTGCTCCCTGGGAAGGACTGGGTGATCTCTATCGTGAGCAGTTCTGCCGTGGCGGCTGGTTCTTTATGAGCAATTTCGATCTTATTGCACAGAAGATCGTTCGCGGACAAGAGAATTCCGGATTGGAGGACTTTGAGGAAATGTATCGCCGGTCGCCTACCTCGAATGCTTTCTGGGCCGACAAGCGCGTGGATATGACGAAGATTCAGTGCCCAGCGTATATCCGTGGATCGGACGTGAGCACAATTCATACCATGGGTTCTGTTCGTGGCTATCTCGAAATCCCACACGACAACAAGTGGCTCCATTGGGGGAGCAAGCAGGAGTGGTACGAGCTCTATAGTGAACCTGAGTCCATGGAAGAACTCACGGTCTTCTTTGATCGCTATCTGAAAGGCATCGAAAATGGCTGGGAAAAGACTCCCAAGGTTCGTTGGTCTGCTTTGCAATTTGGTGACCGCGACGCCATCGACAACATCGTTCTGGAAGACTTCCCTGTACCGTCCACAGAGTACAGGAGCCTATACCTAGGCGGGAACCAACAGCTTCTGAGTGCACCGGTCACGGACTATTCTACTGTCTCCTATGATTCCGAAACCAGAGTCAGCATTGCCGAGTTCGATTATACCTTCGAGAAACCATCACGCTTGATTGGCTTGCCGAAAGCAATCCTCTACATGTCCGCCGAGGAGCAGGATGACTTTACGGTGTTCGTCATCCTACGAAAGAAAGATAAGAATGGAAAACTATTGATGCACCTCAACTTCCCGCTCCACGCCACCCCTGTGAAATCAGTTGACGACATCCCTGAGAAGGATCAGGCAGGTCTGAATCTACACCTAGGACCCGTTGGAATTCTCCGCGCCTCTCATCGTGCGATTGACTCAACTAAGAGTATCCACCCGCAATTCCCGTTCCACCCGCATTTGAAGCAGGAGAAGATAGAACCAGGGACAGTGACGAAGCTGGAGATCGGTATCTGGGCAATGGGAGTGGACTTTGATGCTGGAGAGTCTATTAGTTTGCAGGTTAGTTGGATAGCCCCCTTCATCGTGTTTTAGTTGGCCTTGAAGTACTAACATATTTGTTCTAGGTTGGTGGCCAGTATCCTAGCATTTCGCAAGATATCACACCCTTCTCCAAGCCCCGTCCAGCGTATGAGCTCAACAAAGGGAAGCACACTGTTCATTTCGGTGGAGAATATCCCAGCCATGTTATCCTTCCATTTATCTGAGATTAGCGAGAAATGAATTAGATCCCTGATGTCTATTTCAACTCTATCAGGGGGGTGGGAGATATGGGTATCATTTATGTCTGGTATATGGTGGCAGAATACGTACTGTAATATGCGAATGGCTTATGGTGATGACCTGGAGTTTACTGTTTTCTGATATGTCTTTTTCCAGTGAATAGAAAGTTTACACAAATGCAAGTATATCTAAAGCCAGATAAAGCTTCGTAGCAGTTTATGACTTGGTGTCTTTCTGCAAGTTCCGCCCAGCCACCTATTAATGCTCTGAGCCACTCTGATTGCTCATGGAGTATCCCGGCTTAAATTCTCCCACAGATTTGCCCTGGCCAGAGACTGTCATTAAGCTTCACACGCTATCTTTGGCCTGAGCAGAGTAACTAGTATTCATATATTACACTAATCGTCTTGATATGCCATGACATGAGTGTTTTTGAAATTGCGAAGTGGGGGGGCTACTCGAATAGGTTACAGAGTACCATAAACTTCTCATCTTGATCAGAAGAAGGTCAAGAATTGAGGATATGCGTTTAGAACTGTATTTCTTAAAGGCGTTATATTATGACGGTAACAACTAGCTTGTACTAATAACATCTTTCATTAAGCAGCTACAGGTGCAGCCGAGCCCTGCCCCTGTCGCCGACGATTCCAATCCATCGCACCATCGTAAAGGCAATTATAATCCATGAACTCAGCGGGATTCATGGTCACTCGGTTTTCGGTCGAATCAGTACCTGGCTTCGCTGCTTGGCGACTATACATCTGTATGGTGGTAGCCCTCTCATACCGGCAGTTAAAGATATCCTCGTTGGTCTTGCGCACGTCGCTCAAGGACCGATCGGGGTGTCTCTTCTCAAAGTCCTTATAAAATGCACCAAGAGCTTCGGCATCCTCAACAGCTTGACCTGCGCCCTGTCCCTGAGTCGGAAGCATCGCGTGTGCAGCATCACCTATCAATAGCACACGGCCGCGGCACCAGGTCGACAAAGGATCCAGGTCGCGCAGCTGCCAGAGACCAACCTCCTTGGCGGATAGAAGCGGTCTCTGAGCCCACTCTGGAAAATTAGAAAACGTATCCAGCATCTTACCGCGATCACCTTTTGTTGTCCAGCTCGTGTCCTTCGAGGACTCATTCATTCTCTCGTCAGGAACGAGAGCTACCACACCATAGACAGAGCCATTTCGTGCTGGGCCCATAACGAGCCGGCGGTCTTGGCCTATGACCATGGCCGTACGACATTTCCGAGGGTCAATAACCTGCATAAAGTCCGTTTCCTTGACAAGCTCATCGGTCGCAATCATCATTCGATACGCCGATAGACCCGTTGGACGAGCCTCCACATCCTCGCCCAGCACGGCCTGGCGAAGCTTACTTTTGATCCCGTCTGCCCCAATGACCAAGTCTCCTTGAATACTCTCCCCATTCTCAAGCTTCACAGTACCGCTCTCACAATCGCAGTCTAGCACTCTACTCGACAGTCGCAGCTCCACTGGCCGGCCAGGGTAGTCAGGGGATGTTGCCCTCTCTCTGAGCGCCTGGTGCAGATCGGCCCGATGATAGCACACTCTGTCGGCGCCGTATTTGGATGACACGGCTGAGAGGAGAATCTGCGATTGAAGTTCACCCTTGGTATTGTATATTTCGAAAGCCTCGTCAATCATGGAGCCCTGCTCGCGGAGACGTCGTCCTAGTCCCCATTGATCTTCGACGATCTTGGACGCATTTGGTTGTAGTGAGATCAATGCTCCGATTTCTTGGCTTATGGATGATTGTTCCAGGACAGTTATATCGCGTTCATCATCCCGCAGTGCGATTGCCTACAGAATGTTAACATGGTAATCTTGTTATGTAGTGAACAACAAGGCACCTACGGCAGCTAGGCCGGCTATTCCTCCGCCCACGATGATTATCTTGAATGGACTCATCTTCTGCTAACAACTTTCACAATGATCATACAATACTCACTATCTTCTGACATGCACACACTAAGAGTGAACCTTTATGCTTCGGATAGTGCTCTCTGATTGTCCCTAGAAGCGTAAGTATTAATTGCGTGGGGGATCATCTCTCGGCGGGGCCTCGGTGGACGCCGAAGCGCTGAACTCGGCCGCCCACACTGGGTCCGAGAATGTTGCTAGGAAGGCAAATTGATGATCATGAGGTTGGTTGTTTTAATGCTCGGCAGGCCTTCGGAGTGTACCTGCTGCGCCGAGATGCACCTAGCAACAAGCACTCTAAGTGCCACAGAGGTTAGGTAGAAAAGGCTTTGCAATGCAGCGATTGTGATAAGCATCATCAGTCTTATGTCGATGACCGAGCTACCTACCTGAACTACAATATCACTACACTTCAAAATAATAGAGACCATGTCTACAACAGCCACTATCCAAGAGACAATCACTCTTGATCAGCCCAAGGGCCGAATGGCCCTTGATGGCCAGCCAACCAACTACGGCGACTTCCGTGATGCTCTCAACAGAGACGGCTACGCCGTGGTCAAGGGCGCTATTCCCCTAGACCGAGCCAAGAAATACGCAGATTCTTTCTATGGATATCTCGAAGGCTTGTATGTTCCTGATAGCAGGCGAACTGGTTCTTCCATGTTCCCGTATGCTAACCATTTGCAGTGACTTGGGTTACAAGCGCGATGACCCCTCCACCGTGAAGCGGGCTATGCTGCCTGTGATCAATGAGAAGGGTATGATTCTCAGCTATGGTGTGACTCATGAGAAATGGGTATGGGATATTCGATCGGAACCCGGTGTAGTGGAGGCCTTTGAGAAGGTATATGATGATTCGGACTTGATTGTATCGTTTGATGTGGTCAATGTTCAGTTCCCAGGGTAAGTTCCAACACCATCACTGTCGTCTTCGATCAGTCGAACTAATATGCTGCTGTGTTTCAGGCGTGGCGACTTCCCCGAAAAGTAAGTAAATGGCCCTTATGCATGGCTCCGAGGAACAAATACTTACAGTGTCTAGCAAACCCTGGCCACACCAGGACCAAGACCCCGAATGTCCAGGCTTCCGCTGTATGTATTCCCCTACCTCCTGTCAGTGATCATTGTCTATCTTGCTAAAAACTTACCCATGGTTCAGGTCTTCAAGGCTTAGTGAACCTAAACCCCGGTGGACCCGACGATGGTGGCCTCATCGTGTGCAAAGGCGGCCACAAGCTCTCTGAGCAATTCCACCGCGAGATGGCCGACGAGCCACGTATCCCCGCCTGGACGAAAGAGTGGTTCGGGTTCACTGAGAACGGCATGAAATGGCTGAAGGACCACGGCTTGGAGTGGGAAAAGGTCTGCGTCGAACCGGGCGACTTGATCGTCTGGGATAGCCGAACCCCACATTACAATGTGCCACCCACCGGGAAGAATGATCGTCTGGCAGTGTACACATGCTATATGCCTGTTGCCGACGCGTCGCAGGCGGATTTGATTCGGAAGAAGGAGGCCTTTGAGAGTATGTTCCACCCCTTGTGTGGGCCTCGTAACAGTGGGATGGAATGGTTTACTGACATCATATGCAGAACGTCTGGGTACTACGCATTGGCCGAATGCCCAGCATGTCGCTCCTACTAATATTGCCATGCGTGATGGCGCCCCTTGTCCTAAGGCTCGCGAGATGCCCGCTGAGGATCCGGTACTGGGTGAACGGGCCTTCCGGCTCACTGGAATTCCGTATATCAAGCAGGAGGCATAGGATTGTGGAATGATACAACAGTTTGTACTCTGCAGGGAAACGTAGTGCAGGGCTTTTAGTACATACCTGCGTTTGTCAACCCTGATTTGGTCGCATGTATATTTGGTTGTGGATTTATCTTAGTTTCGCGTTTTATGTGACCTGCTCATGTTCTCTTTCGAAGGGGAAACTGGCCTGCATTGCTATTACAATTATGATGATCGCCTGATAGTTCAAGATTCATGACTGCTGGTCAATACGTCGTGAATCCAAAATATCTTTAAAATTACACACTTATAACTTCATCTTAGCCCTTGGGCACCTTCGAGAGCAGGCCACTCCAGCTCATGACGTTACAATACAAGCCTAGGAGACATGAATAGTGGTCCCCAGCCCATGAGGAAGAACATCATATCTATAAACTTTATATATAACACCTTAAGACAAATAGGCTCGTCTATGCAGACTGTGGTCCGTCAAAGTACAGCATCCAGTTCCACAAATCTTCTACATTGTATCCCTCAAAGGGAAATAGTCGGTCTACCTCATTCGAGCCATCGCCAGAGGAGGTCAGTTGATCTATCAGGGAACCTGTATCATGAAGGCCTGCATCACCCTGATTATGAGGCTGATCCTTGCCTGTTGTCGGTAGATAATCAAACAGGGGTGCCCTCGCAGCATGGGCTTCTTCGCTACATGATGCATGTCCTATGTTGTTCATTGCGGGGGCATCGTCGTATGTTGCAGGGGTCAGGAAGCTATGGGGTATTGTATAATTTGATGGATTTTGGGATATAGCAATGTTTGAGGCGGTAGATTGTTGGTTGTGATTCCGAGGCGGCCATGTCGAGGCTTTGTGGGGATGTTGATCTGATTGATACGTTGTGGCTAGAGTGTGCCTTCTTTCTGCAGATGTTGAAACGACACGATGGTGGGCCACGATTTGGTCGTACATGGCAGCTAGACCTATCGATGGGATACGCGGTTAGTGTGCTTCCAGTGGCTTGAGAGATATAATGGGACTGAGGGCATACCCTCCATGAATCGGGGATCTGAATTACAGCGGGCTAGCTGCTGTCTGCAGTTTTCGAGACATAGTTTCAGGAGCTAGCCACCGTCAGCAGGAATATTTGTCGATCACACAACAGCGGGCGCTCACCTCAAGGTCCATCGTCTGGAGGCGAGATCTCGGGTTTTTCATTAGATAAATAGCCAGGACAATACATGCGAGCAATGACGGCCCAACGGGAATCAAGCGCGAGGCTGTTCCCCTCTCGGAGAGCTCAATGCTCAGCTTAGC